GTTTCGCATTCGGTCTAGGAGGGCGCTATAAGTTCAAACACTTTTGCAAGCTGGATACGCATGTCCAAGTACTCACGATATTACAACCCCAGGAAACTTATGTCCAATTGGAAGATCTCTCATCATTCCAAAGTGCATCAGCTTCTTTCCAGAGCACTTCTTGGGATCGCAATGGCCCAGGTCCCAGCAGGCAGCATTGAAAGGAACTCGTGGGGTATCATCATTCTCGTTGTCCGGATCGCGAGGTGGGAGGCGCCGATGGCCTTCAGGAAACGCTCTCTTACTTCGCTTAGCTAAATTATCTTTCTTGTGACGGACCATCGTGTATGTTGGGACCGATGGTAATTTGTAAATAATAGCTCTAGTACTCCGTAGATCAAGCCAAAGAAGCTGCTCTGAATAGTGGAGTTAAGGTTGGTGACATCAGAAAAAGCAGGATCGGACCTCTTACACAACCAAGCGGGCCGACAAAAGTCCGGGGTTATCTTCTCTGCCAATTGCTTTTTTTTTTTTTTTCGTTTTTTTTTCGCTCCATTCATTCCGCGCAAGGATGTTTTCTTGCTAATACCAGAAAGATTCATCTATCTCTGCTGTTTGTCTTCAGTCCTGGGTCCTAATTTGTGTCTTCTTGCTTTGATAGCACCTAGTATCCACCCTTGTAAGATTCGGAGCATGTCTTAATACGGGATGCCATGATGAGTACTGCAAGCTCATGCACAAGTGGCACGTTCTCAGTGAGACTAAACAATGGAATAGTATTCTGCATACCTAAGGGCTGCTAAATTCATGTCTTTGTCTAACAGAATCATTTTATGCTAGCTGCGGAATTGACAAGCCTCCCTGATGGGTCCACAATGTTGACGATTAATAACGAACACTTGCTGTAGATGACAGACCAGCAGGTTGCAAAGGGCAATGCTAAAATACGAATGCCGGTGTAGCCAACCCATCATACATATATTAATCGCATGCAATATGCGATAAACGTCAGAACCAAGATAAGGAAAGGCTGAGGGCCTGTCGCAAGTTCGCTGTTGTCAAAAAAAAAGGATGGATACAGATAATAGTCACTAGCTCGAGACGTTTTATAAAATAAGGATATCCACTGACACCCATTGAAGTACAACGAGGATGCGAAGTCGAGTACAAATGTTCGTTTGCTGCCTGTCCGGTCTGGCGGCTGCTAGGCGCAAGAATACGGAGTAGTTAGTGAAGATTACCCAGCTCGTTCAATTCGACCCATATGTCAATATAAGCCCCCTCCCACAGCATGCAGCGGCTCACATCAGTCCAAAGAGGCTCTGTCATGGATGCCGGGTCAATTGCTCTTTGAGACTCAGTCAACTGGGTAAAAATCAGAAAGCTTTTGGTAAAATGAATGTAGAATTCTGCCTGTCATTCGAGGCATAGCGCCCTAGCAACTGCAGTGCATGGATGCGTAACAGGAACCTCCATTATTAGATGAGAACATCCCGTTCTTAGAACCTCTGTGCTGCCTTATATCGGCGTAGTTGCATCGTGAATGCGATGGCTGGTTCTTAGACAATAGTTGGACAAAATTACCTCCCGCGTGTAGCGACGGACTAGCTAATAGACTTCTAAAGAATGCAGAAGCCTGTTGTTTTCCATTATCAAATTTTGTTGCCATTGGTTAATCGCAGGTAATGCCGCTTACTCGGAAGTTAACTGCCAGATGAGCGAACCCGAAGGACGGAGAAGTTCTTCAAGAGGCGGGGAGGACGATGATTGGCTGTTCATTTGTTGGACGTTCGAGGGCACGTCAGCGGAGCTTCGGCCAACCAACTCCCATATGCATCTTGTCTATTTGCTGTCTTAGGGATTTCCGCGACTTTTGTTCTTCCTCGCATTGAAGCCGCCCGGCTCACTCTGTCTCTCGGTTTCTATCTTGCTTGTTCGTCGATCCCACTTCCATCGTCAACGTGGAGGCCACATCCGCGCGCATGGCGGCGAGGGACCGCTTTGGTGCCTATGCTGAGCCGGCAAGGTCAACATTACAACGCTACATCTGTAGGTCTTCTATTTAATCCCGATGTGAGAATTAAGTGATAGTTTGCTCATGTGCGTTTTACGTAGACAATGCTTGCGACCCCCAGAACTACGAGCCCAACCTTGCTCTCAATCTGGAGGTTGTGGATCTCGTAAATTCGAAGAAAGGCAATGCGTACGTATCTACAAGATATAAGGGCTATGGAGTATATTGACCGTTTTAAAAGCCCTCGCGAAGCTGCTTTTACAATAGTACAACTCGTCAATTCTCGGAATGCCAACGTTGCCCTACTAGCTTTGGCTGTATGTCAAGACCGTTCTCATCTGCGCCTATCTGGGTTACGAATACTTATAGCTTGTTTCCTTCTTTAGCTCCTCGATATCTGCGTGAAAAATTGTGGATATCCCTTCCACCTTCAGATCAGCACGAAAGAGTTTCTGAACGAGCTGGTACGCAGATTTCCAGAGCGGCCCCCTATGCGGCCCTCGAGAGTGCAGCAAAGAATCCTTGAATGCATCGAGGAATGGCGACAAACTATATGCCAAACTTCGCGATACAAAGAAGATCTAGGCTATATCAGAGATATGCATCGGCTGCTGCTCTATAAAGGATACATGTTCCCAGAAGTTCGCCGCGAAGATGCTGCTGTTCTGAATCCAAGTGATGTAGGTCGAATATGATGCTCTCTGGCGCCATCACATTGTCTAACATAGTGGTAGAACCTTCAATCTGCGGAAGAAATGGAAGAGGAGGAAAAGGAGGCTCAATCCGCCAAGCTTCAAGAACTGATACGAAGGGGAGGCCCGGACGATCTGCGGGAAGCGAACCGGCTTATGAAGATAATGGCAGGCTTCGATACCAGAAACAAAACTGACTATAGAGCGAAAGCTGCAGAGGAAGTGGCGAAGGTGCAGCAAAAGGCAAAGATTTTGGAGGAAATGCTTCAAAATCATAAACAAGGTGATAAGATTATCGAGGGAGACGTCTTTGAGGTGCGAAACAATGCTCAAGTTGCTCGTGTGGGTTCTGTTCTAATTATGTTCAAAGGAGCTTGCAAATGCATTGCGAAGTGCGCATCCGAAAATACAAAAAATGTGTGAGGAGGAGTCAGAAGATGCCGAGGCAGTTTCTAAGCTTCTAGAAATAAACGACAGTATCCACCGTACGATTGAACGGTACAAACTAATCAAGGCCGGCGATGTCGAAGGAGCTGCGAAGATTCCCAAAGGAACTCTTGGAACGAGCACCGGAGTGAAGAAGAATGCCGAAAATGAACTGTCGCTCATTGACTTTGATGAACCTTCTTCGAACGGAAATGCCGGAGCCACCCAGAGCGCTTCATCTCTTGAAACCGACCTTCTTGGTCTTTCTTTTCAAGATTCCTCTCAGCCAAGTGGCTCGATATCGCTGCCATTGGGTCGTGCAGCCGGTAAGTTTCCGTTCCTTTTCTTTCTCAAAAAAAAAAAAAAAAAAAAAAAAAAAAAGACCAATGCGACAGATCTAACTCTTGCGTCAAGATGTCTCAACCCAGAACACACTGCCATCAACTGGCTCACCTTCGGGAACCCCCTCCACCCCCCAACCGCATATTCTTGCCCAAAGCAGCACGACAACCAAACCATCAATCGCCACCCCACAGAATGACCCATTCGCCTCTATAGTATCGACGGGTTCCCGCACCTCATCCCCATTTCGCCAACTTCAAAGCCACCAGCTCCCATCCACTTCCCCATCGTCCTTGCTTGATCTTGATCAGCCATCATCCTCGGCCGGCGCCCCGGCAACAGCTAAAGGCTCAGGGGATGATGAGTGGACATTTACCTCTGCTCTGCCGGAAGACTCACTTCCAACTTCTAGTCAAATCCTGGTTTTGAATTCCTCGATAAAAATAGAGTTCGTCTCACAAAGAATCCCGGGAGAGAAAAGAATCCGGGTGATGGTACAATTTTCCAATAACACGAGTCAAGTCGTCTCTGAACTTCACTTCCAAGTTGCAATCGAGAAGGTAAACCCCCTCGTTTCCTCTTTATATATGCCCCATTTGGATTGCTCTGACAACGTTGGGGGTTGATCTAGGCGTATAAATTGCAGTTATCTCCACAGTCGGGGAGGCAAATTGCCCCGTTACAGAAAAACGGGGTGCGTCAAGAGTTGCAATTACATGGGATCGAGCAAGGAAACGGCAATGGAGTGAGACTTCGATATAAGATCTCCTACAAGTTGGGTCAGGAGAGCAAAGAAGAAGACGGCTATGTACCCCCACTGGGGATAGCATGAGATGACGATGAATGATGTACTGCTTACTCGAGTCAATGCCTAACCCTGGACCTTCCTATACTGCGCATCCCAGACGATTCTCCACGTTGCGTGGTGCATCATGTAGGCACGATGCATATCAACGATTCATCACTTTAACGGTTGTGCTCCCCCCTCCGTGGCCGGGATATAGGTGAGACATCACAGTCTCGTAAAATATCACTTTCCTCATCCAATGGCGAAGTTCCGGGGTATATCAAGCTTGTGCCTTTACAACTCCGACCTAAACTGTCTGTCTAAGATGGGCCGATACGGGCCAGTATCGATGTGGTTCGACATTCCGTCAACCTTCTGTACACCCTGTAAAACCCTTGCTCGGAAAACTCAACCAATCACTTGCCAGATGCCAACATTCGTCCTAAGCTAAAAGCAAGGGAGTTTTACAGGTCGGCCCTTAATGTAGCTAACCACCAGGTCCTCTCCACTAGAGATTCGACCCGCTTCAAGCGCAAATCAGTTCCCTGAAAGCAGCTTCGCGAAAACGCCATATCCCTTGCCAACTACTGGTATGTATTCGGAAGTGAACCATGAAAGCGTGCCGGTTTGCCACCCCTTGCTACTTTTTTGCCTTCGCCGCGCTGCCTCCGTTGCTGGGATGACATAAGAATCTGTGGGATGTTTTTCGGCTTGTGGGTCTAGGCCAAATAGGGCTTAGGGCGGGTTTCTGGAGGCGAAAATGGCAAAAGCCTCTGTTCTGCCGCGCTCCGCGCATCCAAACTCTGCATTGCAGAACTCCCCACGACAGCCTTGCATCGCGCGTACTTCGTATGATGTAGGTACCATGTACTTACCCGGCACTAGTCGAGTTCTCAATCCAGATATCAAAAGATCATGAGCTGCTAGCCATGCACGTTCCAACTGTGGAGAGGGTTCGTCTGCGGGCGTGCTGGAGCCCCATCTGAGGCAAAGCGGGACATACATGGGCGTGAGCGAGATCCTGTTCTTCTTACTTCCCGCTGTGACCCGCATCCTGTTCGAGACATACGGACCAACCGAGGAAAATCTTGCAGCTACTCGAAGAACGAACCATGGAATCGCCAATGGTAAATTTGCTGCCTCCCATCCTCCTAGGGAGAACTTGCCTGCGAATTACTGAGAACTGGCGGGTTCAATTTAGGGTACCAGACAGAAGCTTGCGCACCGACAACCCTCTGGTTCGAGAGAGGGGTTTCCAAATTAAACTCGCAGAATGATCTGCCACTAAATTCAGAAAAGCCCCGAGCCTGTCCGCAGGATCCGCAGGCCTAGATTGCCAACCCTCATCCACGAAAGCCTTGAGTTTGTTCTGCTAACTAAGCATTGCCAACGGAGGATGCCGTGCTATTCCTCCGTCTGTGCCAGAAGTTGCACAGTTCCCCTCCCAGTTAGCCTGCCTTGACAATCTTGGGCTCTTGGTTAAACAAATAACCCTAAATCTGAGTCGCTAGAACCTTGTTTGGAACTGCTATCGCTCGCAGCCAAGGTACTTCCCCTCGCTCCAGAATTGGACCAGTCACCTCTCCGTTTCTCTATCTGCATGGGCGAAAATATGAGTGGGAATGCCCGCACCTTTCGCCTTCTGATAAGGGCATGCTATCGGCTCCACAACCCGCTATGGCATTTGGCGGCTGCCAAGAGAACGACCAGAGCATGGATCCTAAAACCCCCAAGGCCTTTGGGGTTGGGGCACTCCATATGTTTCGATGGTTGGGTTGTTGTCTCCATTGTGTTTGAAACATCAATTGTCGCGTCTATTTCGTTCGGATGGACCTTTTCCCCCCGCGCGCCAGACAGAAAGGGAAAAAAAAAAAAAAAAAAAAAAAAAGAAAAAAAGAAAAAAGAAAGAAAGAGGAAACACCATAGCTCCATCCGTGCGCTCGGATATCTTGTTTAGGCTGGAGAGTGGTTAGTTAAGCGCAGGTGAGCGTAAGGTTCAGTGGAATCGCGAATGGGATGGCGGTGTTTGCGGTAGGTCCTTCGAGGCCACGGCAAGGCTGAGGGAAGGATGTTGCCGGGGTCCCAACTACCCCTTGAATCTGGCCTTCAAGGGCTTCCGGGGACTAAACTATTCTACCCTAGCTGCTTCTTTTTCGATCGCGGAGTCTTGCTGCAAGCATTTTCGCCGGTGTCTGAAAGCGAGTGGAGCACCAAATGGCCATGGTCACCCATTGCAATGATGGGATACCGGGCCCTGGTATGGGACAGGGAGCGCGGTGTGGCCTCCGCATGTACCGCTTCAGTTATTGCTCTGCGGAGTACTTTCCCGGCTTGCCTTGCCAAAAAAAAAAAGGTGGTTTGATAGAATGGATCTAGGCGCCTCGACTGCGGAAGCAAAATATCGGATGTACCTACGTATTGTGTGAACGATTCCGGAGCTACTTATGTGTACTAGCCGCTGTTCTTTTGTTACATTGTAACGTTCCCTACGCATGGATTAGCTTTTGGCCTGCCCTCCTTCGTTCTACATAACAGGCCTCTAGAGGTCGAAACCATAAATTGAGCTTTGAACCACGGTACCTTCCTCTCCCTCTTCCTACATGCTTGTGATTTAAGCCAGAACTCATCCGCTTTGATACCTCCCGCCGCCCCTTACCCTTCTTCGTTTCCTTCTTCCATCTTGCTCACCCCCTTGCATTTTTATTGTATACTGTATGCACAGTATTACTATTCGTTATGCTATTTCTCCCGACAACCTCCACTTTCTAGTTGACTCTCCAGACTCTGCAGACTTCTGTCTCTAGTACCGTGGGTGCTTGTAGCCTCTCTCGCTGCCACTTCCCCTTGCGCCACCGCATCTTTATTGTGTTTCCGCCGCAGTACTGCGGTTATATTTTGCTATTATCTCTCGCCGAGGATTTATTATACACGGATTACTTTTTGTTATCTTGGATTCATCCGGTGTTTCACCATGGGTGCTCGCAAAGCTCCTCTAGATGCCAAGTCGTTGAAAACAGAGCGGACGCATGCGGAGAATCAAGAAAGGTAATTCTTGGCTGCTCCCTGACACTGTTCTGTGATGATATTCACATACCCATCAGAGCATTTATTGCTGCCTCCCGTCGCGGCGATCGAACGCTTGATGCTCGCTTCGAGTCTGCGCAACGTGCGTCAAAGATCCACAAAGTGCGCACAGGCCGAGGGCTTAAAATCACCATGGACGCCGTGAAGAACGAAGAGATGTACGAGGAAGAGGATGATGACAATCATCGACGGAAGCTCAAACAACTCGAGAGTCAAAGCGCTCAACTTAACCGTGAACTGAATCTAGATCACATTTTCCTGAGGTCCGCCCGAAACGGAATGCCAGGGTATACCTATCACGCTGCAATGCATCTATATCCGTATCAGGCATATGGGAACACCATTCCCAGTGCTCCGCAAGGGTATCAGATGCAGCCTTACCCCTCACCGGTCCAAGGCCCCCGTACTGCGCCAGCCTTCTATAATAGACCGGATTCATGGACCCGGCCTCTTGTTCATTCGAGGTCCATGTCGATCGCGACACCCGAAGGTTCTCAGATTTCCCATGGAGCGAATATGGGAGGCATGAACCAGCCAATGGGTACACCTTGGGTCGCGCAACGTTCACTGTCGACTCCTTCAGCTAGGTCGCAGCCTCCTACTGCCCAAGCTATCCAATCGCGTGGGCCTACTCCCATTTCAGCGTCAGGCGGCCAGACGCCACTATATGTGGGAATGCCAAATTCGAGGCAGTCGGTTTTGAAGCCCAGACCGCAACGTGTCGTCCGGCTTGGTGAACTTGGGGAGCCGCATAACAACGCAAACTTTGAACGAGGAGCGCAATTCGAGTCCACGGCTCAACCTCAGATTCGCCGCTATACAGCCCCGCAGGCATTGCCGATGGATCAGATGGCTCCAGGCTCTGAATCGCCTTCAATTCCAGCATCAGTTTCAATGGCACGAGCAATGTTTGACGCTGCCCCGAACAGCAACTTCGGTGATCAATCCGCCTGCTGGAGTCCATACCTGCCATTGTTCAATGGAGCTCGTCCTGAAAATCGGCATGCTGTGGTCCAACCCAGTGCGACAGTGGCACCGTACAGCAACCAAATCACTGGCGTGGCACCGATGGCATTGGCCAATCAACAAAGCGGAGAAGCCTCGAGAAGCTCCACGTCCGTCCCCACTGAAATGACCGTCCAGGAATCAAGATTCGTCTCGCAGGCCCCGACAATCCACGACATATCAGCGTCTGCTTCAAGCGTGCCTCATTCCGTGAGCCCTGTGCCACCGGGCCCAATGACTGCGGCCGCCATGGTACGAAGCAGTATTGACAGTCAACCTGCAGAGTCGAACGGCGCTACCACTGACTCTAATGCACGAGCTATCTTGAGCGAGCCAAGGCCAGCATCCGAGGGTGCGTCATCAAGCAGCCTCAGTTCCGGGTTCTTGCCTGCTGAACCGCCTTCAGGCCAGCTGTCGCCAGAACATGAGCTCATTTTACCTGACGCTCTGGCCCCAGAGCTGCTCTTTGACGATTCCGCCTCCCAAAACTCAAATTTTGCTGAGTCAGCATTTGACGATGATGATACCGCGATTAGCAGCCCTCATGTTGAGGTTTGTCGTCGGGACTCGTTTGAGTCCATCACTGGCACGGAAATTACGAAAGACCAGTGGCAGGAATGCTTCAATAATGGTTTCTGGAAAAATAGCACATTTGATAACTCGGCGTTTATGCCCGTAGGGCTTCACGAGGATTGAGTCGATCTTGACGCTCGGACTCCTAGTCGGCGCCTCAGTCGGGCCTAGTATTTCGATTCAGTTTCGGTTTGAATTTATTAACCGGTTCTCGATCCAGCCATTGTGCATGGCTTTTTTCCCCCCTCGGTTTCACCATCCCGTCGATCACGATATTTAATCGCTATTCGCTGGCCGAGATATCCTACAAAAAGAAACAGACGAGTTTACGAAAAAGTAGCGTGTTATACGGACTGTGTGGCTTTGACAACTTTTTTTTTTTTTTTTTTTTTTTTTTTTTGGGAGGAGTGTACAGAGTATGCCATGCCAACTATTGCCCCTGCACCCGACTGCGTGATACCATAAATCGAAAAAAAAAAAGGAATTGAGCGTCTTTCGGTCAAAAGTTAAATACCCCTCAAGGCGAGTCCATTATTTAGCCGGCCGCGAGGATTTGACTTGATATTGCTTCGCTTTTCTAGCGCTGTTTGGCAACAGAACCTGGAGAGTAATAGGCGCGGTTTACGAGGGAAGCAGGCATAGACGAAAGTCTTCTGCTTAAAACCTCTGCTACTTTATCTGGAATGACTGCTGCGGGTGGCTTCGTTGCAAACGTGCCAAATACCCAGTTTCTATTTCTATTTTAATATTCTTTGCTTGTGTGTCTGGCCCGATTTTAATTCTGCAGTGTGTAATATTAAATTTTGCTCGCAGCATGTCACTACATAATGGGGGGGTTATTCTGGGCATTTTGAAGGAGTACATGCAGGTACCAACGGAGTACAACCTATTTATATAAGGATGTCTCAAGATCAAAAAGAAAAGAAGCGTGCGGAGTCTATGAGAGCCCAAGTCCGATTCGTTCGAGGCAAACATACGTTGGATTGGTTCTTTTTTATCGTTGATGTTTTTTTTAAAACCTTCAATTTTTTATTTTTATTTTATTTTATTTTTTTTTAAACTGATAATGAACCGCGAAGGATTAATACTCTATACGGAGTAGGGATTAGCAAAATGAAACTTTTCGAGCATGACCTTTTCCTCTAAGCTTGTAAAGCGCCGCTTGACTTCTGAGCTTTGGCTTGTCGAAAAGCCCATATTCCATGAGGGCTCCCTTGTGGCCAGTGGCGCTGATTCCAGAACCCAGTCGCCAAACAGGACGCGAGGGGAGTGCACGGAATATTCCGTATGGGACCACAGACCAGTTGCCATGCTTTACGCGCTTCTCTCTTTTCCTCCGAATTTCAAAATCTCCGTTTCGCCGGATGGGCCGTCAAATCGTCCATGGAGGGGCAAAAGGGTTCATTCCGCGGCCCCCCCTCTTCTCCTTCTCCCCCGCCCGCTTCTTTGAGTGTTTGGAAAGCCAGGACCTTGAAAATGTTGCAGATAAGCAAGGCAGGGGTTTATCATAAGGTTTTGCGAGTCAGCAATATTGCATTTGTTGTACTACCATGCGCAGAGTACCTACCCAGCCATCGCAAGACTTTGCATCTAGGTACGGGAGTGGCTGGAACTATTTGCAAATCAGGGACGACGAGGAGAGTTTCTGTGTACCCTAACTGATCCGAAAAACGTCGCTGAAAAGGGGAAAGGTTTGGGTTGATGTCAGGTTGACACCGGGTCTCTTTGGTACAGAGTTCTTGGGACTGGGAAACTTGGGAGCCGGTACAGGCCGGATTTACCGTCACTGAAGTGGATTTTGGGGTTAGGCAGTAGCGGCAAACCGAGGAAGCAGAATAGCGGACCAAGTGGCAATTTGTGGGCACAAGAGGACCTCTTTGGCTCTATCCAGACATCGACTTTTGCAGCTTTGGATGATGGTCGTCGTTTGACAGCCAGGCCAGGGCTTCGTAATGACGTGGTATTGATACCGATCCACCTGCCTTTTAGGCGCACTACGCCGTATGGTTGTTAGATTACCAGACTCTCTCTTCATCTCGGCAGGACCTCAGGGCATTGCAACGTAATCACGTCGCCAGTTGGGAGTCCGCTTGCAGGGTAGCCGAACAGCTCACTCTTCATCTGCAGGATGCTACATCTTATCATCTGTGTTAACTGGGCCAACTTCCTGTTTTAAAGAATCAACTGTTGGATACTCCGTACTGGCTGGCGGAACTCTCCCCTAGAGAGGAGTTTCGGTTGAACAAAGCCCGACCCACCAGCTCCAGGGCCCCCGCGACACTGTTCGCTAATACCTCAAGGCCTGGTACAACGAGCCATGAGTCTCTCCATGCAACCCAAAGATCACGGAACCCGTTACTTCTGGATTACATCGTGATCGACAGGAAGGATGTACAATGCATACCAACCCACTTTCTGCCACTTTCGTATCTACGGGACTATACTCCGTAGCGGCCGGGGGTTCACGATGGTCATTCATATATGTACTCCGTACGGAATACTCTGTGCTCCACACAGAAACAGGGTACTCCGTACATGTGTACCCCGTATTGATGCGAAGGGGATGTGATGTTCAGGGATTTTCTCCGAATTAGGTTATATCCCGTTTCCATCCAGCTTTTCTTGCCATTCCCAACGCAACCATCCATGCTTCGGCTGTTCTGCCGAGATCTGCAAGATCTGAGAGGGACAAATGGGAACATCTTGTGACAAGAGATGATCTCAATTCATTCCGCTGCTGTGAAACTTCTTCCCCGCAATTTCAAGCCACGTGCATTGGATGGACTGTGTTCTAACTGGTCACATATTCGATTACTTGTCATGTTCTCCTCTGTACGGAGTATTGTGTAGGGTTAGGGGCGAAGTTCCCTACCTGGAATATTCCAGGGGAGCAAGCTATGAGTATTGAGGACCTCCATCAGAGACTCAAACCCAATCGCTCCTTCTAGCTTATAATATTATTGCATCGTTAACAAGAGTGCCCTACACGAGGTAACCGTGCGCACAAATACGATGCAGTATGGAGTGCTCATGAATTCAATGGCGTTTTTAGCCAGTTGACCTGTATGGCTGTACGTGTACGGAGCCACTCCATATCATGTTCAGAACGTCACCCAGACGCTATCTGAGGGATCTCACCTCTCACGGCCATCCACAATGGCTGTTTTAGTCTCAATGTTGTGCGCGAATCAAGCTCTGTCAAGTTCGAACACGCTCGACACGTAAGGTTCAGCAAAACTTCGAGATCTTCCTAAAAGCAGAACGAGGCCGATCATTAGCTGTTATTGATCGAACCGTGTCCCAATTAGGTTCTTGTCCTGTACTTCTTTCGGTTCATCCCCACCAAAGCGGAAAAATTGCCTTCGGATTGTCACCGATAACCTGTTCTTAGCTTTGAATTAATCGGGTCTTTCTTCCGTGCCACTGATGTGTTTTGCTTCGGGCGGAGTTGGCCGTTTGCCTATCAAAGTACGGAGCAACTACCCTTCTTCAAAAGTATAATCCTTTCTAGACGGTCGAGGTGCGACTCTCCTTGCTTATCTCGCCCATGTCTGCCTTTGGCGGCTGAACAGGCGTTCTTTTGGCTTTTGATTTCAAGGTTTCTTTGTTTGAGATCCCCCGCCTCAAGCCGCTGCACCTAACGTTCTTCCGACAGAATTGCTCCTCCGCCTTCACGGTCAAACAGGCGAATAACATATGGAAAACATGATTATACGAAGCTCGATAACTTTGAGGCTAAAATGGCTGACTGAATTAAAAACCTGTGTCTTCCCACTCGACACTCGGCCACCAAGACGGGAAACTTCGTTTTCCTCCCCTCCCATCGGTCCAGTCGTTGTGAATAGGTCTCACTTCCCGGGATCAATGATTTCAATCGATGGTCGCGCCGCCCGGCGCGACGAATTAGACCTTTCACTTTCTACGCCTCTCCGGGTATGAGGGCATACCGTGCAAGAGGTGCCAAAGAAGGTTATGTGCGGCTGAATGGACTATTCAATACGAACACTTTCAATCTTTTTAAGTGGTCTGTCAAGGGTACTCCGTACAGCCCTCGGCAAATACTGCAACTTCTCTCACTTGTCAAAGCATTTTATGGCGTCTCTTCTAGACTTTAGCCAATCTCCTTTTTATTTTCTTTTTATTTTTTTTTTCCTCCAAATCCGATGAGTGCATTTATGGCGCAAAGAATTGATGTGGTGGCTCCTTGCTATTATCCCCCCATGCCCCAACGACTCCTTCTCACGATGGTTTTCCTTTCAATCACTGTACTTGAGTGCTATTCTATTGCTACAGCATCTTCCAAGACGGTTCGGGAAGTTCTACCGGGCACTGGGGATTTGGTCAAATCTTCGGATCGTTGCATGCTTAGAGGAGATGATGCAAAACGTTTCTCAATACCTTCCCATCCAGCCCTAGGCCAAACCGGCGTGGCAGGGATGCGGTTAAGCACATATGCTCTGGGTGATCGGATACGACGATGAGACGCAGGTGCCATGATCCCGGGAAGCTTTCAGCGGCAGGCAAGAGCAATCATACATATTCTTCGTCCTGGAATAGTATCGCCTAGTCGGTTGAGAGGCCTGAGAGCATTTCATCAGATATCAATCACAACAGTGGTCTCACAAACCTATCCTCGGGATCTGAGCGTCCGTGCAAGCCGAATCCAAACTCGACTTGGTAACTGGCGCTACGTGGGAGGTCTAGAAGGCTCCAGGATGCAGGAGACACAAGCTGTTGACTCGTAACAATGCGGCTGCAGATAGCCACGATCGGATCAACACCCCTAGTAGAGAAGAAATGTGCAGAGAACCTTGGGTTGTCTGCCTCGCGTGAACCTGGGTCGACGAGGGCAACCTATTTCGGTACCGCACAGCCACATCTAGAGCAGAGAAAGTTTAGTTAGTTAGCAGAGAAGCTCCCTTAGTCAGGATGGTGGGTATGGCGTTTCCTTTCCGTCGTTTTTCGGAGGTCGCGATCGTCTGTGCGCCGGGTAGCTCCGCGGTCGATCCAGTCAGATGTGGAGTCTGGAGGCTTGCTTCGTGCTTCGCTGGTGGGCACGGAGGAGACCGGGGTTATTTGATGCCTCTTACAGAGTACTCCGCATGAGATCTTAATTTAACCTCGGGCACCGGAATGCAGATTTTAATGCTCAGAAGCTATATGACCATAACGGGGAATAAACCCGAACATGGCATGAAAGATAACAGTGGCTCAAGCCCAGGACGCCCACAACAGCCAGAATACTGGCCATGTTAAGCATGGGAGAAAAAGCAAAAAAAAAAAAAAAAAGAACAAAGTGATTCGTAATCTCACGCATCTTGAGGCGGAAAAATTGCTCGATGAAAAAAGCCCCAATGAGACGCTGGTCTCAGCAAACTTCGAAAAATAACAAAAGTGGAGAGTAATCCAGATCCCAAATTCTAACGGTACGGGTTCAAAGTGGTGCAAAGGTAAACCCATCTTTCAAGCAAAGGTTCCGGTGCCAAGTTAGCAGGCTACGAAATTAGGGCAACTGGTTGGCCGGATAACTTGGGCTTGGGTGAACCAAAAGAAAGGGTGGTGGCAAATTCGTCAACACTTAAGGAAAGGGTGCCTTCGCTTGATCCGACGTCCTTATCCGGTCAGAAGCCGGTGCGATTCCAGATCTCTCTACCGATATCCCCACTCTTCCGTACTCCAACGCTGCAGCTACTGCTTCGTCGCCGCCGGCTGCGGATATCGCTCGGATCTGCTGGTTTAAGCCCACTGGCCCGGGCGTACAGATTCAGAATGTCCGTTAGACTGACCACCCCGACAAGGCGGCCTGAGAGCCGAGCACCTGGAAGAGCTGAGGCAGGTATTGCCGAGGATAGGGACGCGGGGTATATGCCTGGTGAACTCTGGGAGGGGGCTATAGGGGTGGGATGATGGGGCAGAGCGGACTGTGGGAGAGGTGGAGACGATGGACTGCTTGAAGTGGAGTGTAATCTGGGGGAAGATACTTGAGCTCCAACTGTGCTGCCCGCCGTAGATCCGGAAACAATATTGTTCTGATTAGAGAGAGGTACGTGAACGGAGGAGTGTGCAGGAGTTGATGGGCCTGAAGACGAGGGAGATTGAGGATCAGTGACCCACATTCTGTTGCAACATCAGCATCAAGAATTTACTCGCAAGACAGACCAAAGTCTGGAGAGACATGATAGACATACCTGTGGGACCGAGTAGCGACCAGCTTGGCGACGGTGTGTGCCAAAGTCGACTGAGGGTTTACGTGAAAAACTGGGAACGAATCCTTTCCTTCGTTTAAGCCTCGTGTCGATAAGATAACGGAGATAAAGTGGATGCAAGTATCGCGAAGCAGAGGGAGCGACGTAGATTGCGTTAGAAGCTGTACGACTGTCAAAATGTGTGCTATTGGCAAGAAGGGGAATCATGAGACTGACTTTGACATCTACCACCGAGATATTGCCGACCACGTTAAATTGATTATCAACAACTGCAACAGATGACACACCCTCATTATTCATGAGCTCTAATGCATTGCATAATGGTCGATCTCCACTATTGAGCGGGTCAGCTCTTATCCATAACGACCAAATTCGGAGCATTGAAGAGACTCACTTGATAGATATGACATCCTGAGAACCAAGACCTAATTCTCGCAAATATTGCGGATACAGCTGCTCTATGACGGGGAAACTCCTGGCATTCTCCCATAGGAATTTCACAAGTCTCCATTGATTGAAGGAACCCAGGACCTCAGAAGAATTCTCTTTCACCACGACCACGCTGTGTACACCTCCACCAAACGCCTCTACAGCTTTTGTTAAGCTCACGTTTGACGGTAGCGTCGTCAGGGGCTCCTTCGGCCTTAAGTTCTTGACTTCTCTTAATAGAATTCTCTCCCCTGCTCTAGCTTTCCTCCCAAGTTCTTCAAGCGATGCAGCATGCTCGTCATCTGGTTTGGTTATGCCAACCACTAGCAGCAGATAAGCGTTGAGATCTGCATAATCGAATGTTCCGATAGCTGAATTTTGCTCTGCGGATTCTCGAATTAGGAGCGAGGGCGCTTCGCATTCGATCAGACGCTAGAACAGCGAGACAACAAATTAGCATCGGCCTGAGGGAGAGAGAGAAATCATAGAAAAGAAAATCTTCGTCCACATGCAGCGTACATTCGTAGCATCCTCAATCGTCATATCCGCCTCCACAAAATGACAATCCTCCGGATTCACCAGCTCCTCAACGGATATCTGCATCCAGTTTCGGCCTGAAAAAGCTGGGTCTGCACCATTATGGGCCGGAGGATTGTCAATGAGACTCTGTAAAGCAGCCTGCGTTACGGACGGCCGACGCGCGCGCGGTGAAGGTGGCATAATGCGAAACGATTCTGAGAGGCTATGGCGGTGTGGAGAAGCTCCAGAAAGGGAATTGATGCGAAAATGAGATGTGGACGGAGATCGGGAATCAAAGCTTGAACGAGGAGAGGAGATAGCAGAGTCTTTATACGTGTCTGATGCTGTGGACTTGCGTTTATCTGCCATGATGTGCTAGCTCATCAGTATAGGGAGAGGAAGCTATGACACGGATCGAGACAACGGGGATTCGGTAGATAGAAACGCTCAGGTTGGGGGAAAAAAAAGACGAACATGCACACAATCAAGGGTAGTGAATAGATCAGGACCAGTCCAGCTATGAGATTGGCATGTAGTGAACCTGATCGAGAACAGGAGGGGGAGAAGTTGGTGCCGCCAGTCTTAGCGTTAACTACTCACCTCTCCGACATCACCGAGTGGGGCATCATCAACATCATCGGTCAGTTAGGACAAAAAAGGGATTGTTGATTCTTTCACTTAACAGCACGGAAGTACGGAGTACAAAATTTGATCCAAAGAAGCCGCTGAGTACTGCTTTTGAACAAAACTTGATTTACCAATTTGATTTTAGATTTTTGCCAACCAAAACCTACCAAAGCTTTTTATAGACATCATTTGTCCATTCAACCTAGCCAGACTCCAATTGTCAAACTAGGCCTATAGGAGCATATAGTATTATTATAAATTAACATCTTCATTATTATTAAGGGTCCAACTGGACATACAATTGGAATGCATCAAAATGGGAGCGATATCCACATGCATCCCCGACATACATTAATATTCAAGATCGGTCCCCGAGCCTTGTCGAAATCAGGCAAGCATGTCAAAGGGCAGCCTTAAATTGACATGCTGTCCAGACAGGCCATACACGATATAACGCTACCTGAGGAGTGATTTTTTTCAGTGAAAAAGGCGACCTTAAAGTTTCCCCAGCTTCCTCAAAACCCTCATCTCTGGGAGGACTTCAAATAAACACCTGTTAAGCCCGCTGCTGAGGCTAATGTACCTGAAATATAATGGAATAAAAAGCAGGTGTACCGATCAGAAGAAAGCAGGTATCCTATCCGAAATCCGCGAGCAAGCCACTTATATCTTGTCCTTTGGAAGCCTTGACCTTGAGCGGCCGCCTGGGTTTGCTTATTCCCGGAAATTTATCTGTCCTCGTCAATCTAGCAACCTTCTTGGAAGATCCCAACTTGGGATCAGTAATTTTTGGCTCTCTGTGAAAATGATATATCATTGTCACTTCATGAAGGCTGTCACCAGAACAGTCTATTTGAAAATGTAACGTCGGAAGAGAGAGATCGTTTTTAGAGTAGATCGATGGTTTCTGTGGCTCCTCCCCGTTGGTACACGATGCTTTGAAATCTTCAAAGGAGAATTCACCATGAGCCAATGTGCTCGCTTGCCAGCCATGGCGATCTCCAGCTTCTAGAAGGCCCTTGCCTTCAACCCGTAGGCGTCCCTCCAGGACAAGCAAAGACAAGGCGGGAAAGCGGTCCAGATAAGGAAAGGCATTGATTGTGAGATCACATGAAGAATCTAAGATCAAACCACGAAGATATTTGAACGCTTTGCCCGCACACGCGGCTTCGCTCCAGCTTTTGATCACTCGATCATTCACGAAGGTGTTTTGGGGCCACTGCCGCCTTCGCCGGGACCCCGTTATTCTCAAATAGACAAGGTTGGAGATCCTGGAAATATCAACTAGCCCACCAAGGTCCACAACGTCAATGGAAATGGACATGGCCGTTTGCCAACAGAAAGAATCAGATGTTATTAAGCTGAAATACTTGCGCATTGGCATTTGTATGAGCAGTGGCTCGAATCTATAGGCGCTGTCTTCCTTTACTAACTCCTGCGGATGAGTGGTAGCGAATATTTTCCACAAGTGTAGTGTCAACAATTTGCTATATTCGCTTGTCATTATCGAGAACTCGGGTTTCGGTGGTGTCTCACGAACCTCTGCTTTAGAAATCTTAATAGATCGGCCGCAAGCGTCGGGGGAATTGGATTGAAATGGTCCACAGTTAAGCAGCGCTGGTCGGACAGAAATTGCCGCATAGCACAAACTTTTAGAGAATTGGCACCCACTTCAGGAAATATTATCGTACTTGGTGGTAAGAAAGGAGAATCATGGACCCAAGCTGCACCTTTGGAGCACGATGCATCCATAATCATCCTGGCAGGCACTACGAACTCTGTAAACATTTGCCCACTGGCCTGGTCATAATTGCTTTTGAAATTTATGCGCCCAGATGCCATTAGTCGTCTCCTTGGACCCTTTTCCCGTTTTACCTCCAAGCAACGTCTCACGGCCTCTTGTTGAGGCAAGGGAAAAGGTTTACTTTCGGGAGTTGGGAAGATCCAGCCAGGCCAGGGGATATATCAGAACAATAGCAGGCAAGATTAAAAAACAATAGCAAGCAGCAGGGGTCACAGCGAACCATGCCGCCGGTACGCAGTAGTTCTGCAGGGAATAGAAATGCTTCTGTTGCCGCCGGGATCGAGGTTGCTGCAGACGCTGGAGAAGCCGTTGGACGAAAAGCGAGATTGAGATGCATATGCACTAGTCCAGATGCGGACTAGTCTTCTAGAACCCGCCCCAGCGTTTGGTAGCAAAGCGGCGAGAAATCATGCCACGGCGGCATGGGAAACGAGAGCGGGTTCCTGAGAAGTTTTTGGTCCTTCTCCCCAGCGTTTGGGGGTCCAAAACAGCCAGCGATGAGTTGTCATTGTCCGTATCAGCCATTGACCAACCAGAGGACCGCTCGCCACCAACTCTGCACACTCGATACGACAGCTCTGAGAGACTGAGAGCCAAACTTTCAAGACCCTTCCCTGTCTGGCTAAGGTTGCTCTTTGATGGGAGGTTGGCGTCGAAAGAATTGGCTAGCGAGTAAGCTCGTGAGAACTTGTAGCGCCCATGATTTTCCCCAAGGTTTTGTGATGGGTTCGTCAAGAATGTTCGGCGAATCGTTGAGTTGGGGGAATCCTGAGCTGCTCTCTCGGAGATATCTGCCCTTTACTAGGGTTGCACTGTGCATGTCGAAGATCATGTTTGATGTGCTCCATTATGCGTCGCCCTGGTATCCCTCAGAAAAATATTCTATCGTGTCGTATTAGATCCCCTGTGACCAAATTGATTTTATTGTCGTTTGTTTGTCCTTTTTCTCCGCCAGCCTCTTCATCCCTTTCTCAATTCCTTCAGCTTATGCCTTTCTCATATCATCTACGATTCCGTTCCCAGACTCGATGACCTCTTTCTTTTCCCCAAAGTCAAGATTCAAAACTCGGTCTAACCCATCCTTGCGTGAAAATATCGGTCATACAGACCACGTAAATGGTGACCACTTCGGTTCTTTCAGTGGTAAATCTACGTTTTCCAAGATGCGCAAGAAAAGGCCACCTCCGATCAATATCTCAGTTGGAAACGGGAACGTGATCTTGACAAGTGCTACTCCCACGTCAAGAGTAATACATGCGGATTCCCAATGGCCAACCACTCCGCAAACGCCACATACTGGTACTGGATGCGCAAATCCCAGATGCATAGAACGAGAATCGGGCCTTCGTTCTTTCTTGCAGTCAGAGTTTGACCGCTCAGTGCATCCTTGGCTGCAATCGACGTCAACATTGAATCCCTCGACTCCTCCTAAGCGATGTTTTCCCATGGCGGAGCTGCCGGGCTCTGCACATGGGCCTAGGAGCGTGGAGCTACGTACCCCATCAACACCACAGAGACAATCATTTGAGCATGCAGTCGGCAACCATTTGGAGTCTCCTTTACACTTGACTTCGAGGTCGACCCTTCCAGATCAGCCTGTTGGGCTTGCATTCGAGTATGGCTGTCCGAGTGAATCTATGCACAACGGCAGACAGGCCCTAGAGTTGAAGCATGCTCAGCAAGATAAGTCTCTGTCAGGAAATGAGTCTCGACCTGGCTCATCAGGAAAATCGGTAAGGCTCTCTCTGTCTCGTTTGAAGCCGTTGGATGTCAGCCTGTTCTTGTTCGCCTGCAATTGGTCCATCTTTTGACGGAGCACATCATTTTAGGGGGTCTGCACACAGGATCGCATCGATCGCATGAAATCTGAATACGAGCTTCAACTAGATCAACAAAAAAACGAGATTTGTAGCCTATTGGAACTTCATGAGACGCGGATGGCTATTTTATGCGACTTCATCTCTGAACGTCACGGGACCGGAGTGAACGAGCGTAGAGACTCTTCTCAAAACTGTTCCCTGCACAAGGTTTTCCAGCTCGTCAATGAGCAGAAGCAGCGCGTCCTAAACACTCCCGCGGATGATGCGACGAAAGCTTCACAATCACTGCAGATCCAGAAGCTACAAGCTCATGCGGCAGACCTTGTGGCCCAGATAGCACACAGAGATCGAAAGCTTCAATCTTACAAGGCGGAATCTAGGACGTTAAAAGAGCAGCTCCGGCAGGAGATCAAGGAGAAAGATGCTCAGATTAGCATTTTGAACTCGAAAGTAACTCAACTGTTGAATATGGGACCTTCGCTGTTTCCAGCATCCTCAGCGGCCCATCGAGTTGAAAAAGAACTACCCTCGCCAGGCCGTTGCAGCGGGAGCAGTGGAGAGAAATCGAAGCGGCAGCTGGGGAACATTCCGCGTACTCCCAGCGCGGTGACAGCCGCTAGTTCTCGCGGACCCATTACATCGGTCGAGGCAAGCCGTGGCGGACATCTGTTATCCCATAATCGTGAAGGCAAGCAGCGACGGTCGACGGTCACATAGAAGAGTCATGTGTTTGTTCATATTTCCTAACTTCGATGCATATTCTTGGTTAAAGGCGAGCGGTAGATTGGGTCTGTAGGTGGGTTTTAGTTGCCCTGGTGTTGTCTCGAGCTGGTCGTCTTCAATTCACCCGTCGATCATTCTACATAATACTTTTCGAAATGTAATTTTGCCCCCAAGGACACCGAGACACACGTTTGCTTCCATGACGGTTAAACTTTGGTTGATGTGTTCTTTCTGCAACATGATCAATATTACTCATACAGTCACGCTAAGAAATAAAGAATAAAGCCGTTACTGAAGGTGTGTCAAGTCTCTGTAACCATAGAATCTCCTCTAGGATCGATCTGTAGAGGTATTACGCATCTCCCAGAGGTTCTGGCTATAGTCAGCAGCTTGAAGGTGCATATCGGCGCAGCGTGGCGCAGACATGCCCTCCAGCAATCCCACGCCCGGGCTCTCTTAGCGGGATCGACTTCTATTGTCCTCCTGTCAGGGTTGGCCTGGGCTCGACTGGCGGTCTGGTGGTGAACGTGCAGCGTGCAGCAAAACCGCCAAAATTAGCATGATGCCAAGTATAGTTGGTTACTTGCCTACATATGACACGCCGCAGGCCATGCTGGTCACAGGCACTCAACCGCTTTCAACGAGAGGGCCAAGCAACGACTGGAGGCCGCTCGAGTTAAGCGCCGTGATGCAGCCAGACGCGAGACATGCCGCGAATCACCGTCCTCGAACGTCCCCAGGTGATCCAACCCCGACCTCCCCGTAAACCTTCCCGCCTCACGCACGAGCAGCAAATAACAGGCTTTGCAAATCGCATCGGCGGGGGACGTTAAACTAAGTTAGCCCGGGTTTCATGTTGCCTGAGCCACGTTGTTTGCCTCGCTACTGGAATCAGCCGAGTGACTGCAGTCACTCGGGCTCTCTCCTGATGGCTCTGCTTTACTGTCAGCGGACGCCGAGGACAGAATCCTCTCTGCGAATTCTGTCATGAGAACCAGTCATTTTCCGTTCTGCCTTTCTCTCTCATCCTTGCTGCTCTTTGCCCTTCTGCCTGACTGCGTCGCTGTGAGTCAGCCTTCATAAGGCTCCTGCCTGGCAAGCTCGGCCACAGCTTGTACCTACCTGCTCGCTGGGCTGTTTTCGTACTTTTCTCTTTTGCCTTCTTTCTCTCCTGCAACCTCAAACTCTCTGGTTTGACCTTGCTATCTCTTGGTTCTCTCCCTCGAGCGCTGCGATACCCAAAGTATTCGTCGAGGATGGCGAAAGACCCGTTGCCAAACTCCTCTATGAGCATGGAAAGCCAGTTGTGTGAGACTAGCGACGAGAGGCGCGGTCGTGCTAGGGGCAATTTTCACCGGGTTGAGAGTCAGCTTTCTGTTCACTCACTCCATTCTCAGAAATCATGCCTGATTTCATGGGTAGAATACCTCGTCTCCTTCTTGGGTTGGGCACACCCAAAGGTGGCTCGTGCGGACCCTCGACATCATACCGTCTGGCTTTTCAACAGTACGGCCTTCCAGCCTCGAACGCAGACCCGCCTGGATCATCCTGACACATGGCAAACCGAGGTGGTAGCTGCGATATTTGAAAAGCATAGCCGTCAGGATCTAGGGAAACTGATCGCTCTCATCGCCGACCTGGTTGGCTTGGACGGAAAAGCTGGCGAAGACCCCGTGGTCCGTCAACGGATAGCAGAACGACTTCAACCGTTCGTTAGCGAAGTTGCGCCCGCTCGATTCGTAGAACTAGACGTCGCCCTCACGCCCGCCGATGGGAATAAGTATAAACTCAATCCTTCCAACCCACACGGTATCATATCACATGCAATCCGTATAGGATCCTACCAATTTATCAAAGATGGCACTGTCATATCGTCGTCACTGAGCAACTGGCCTCAACCTGTAACGATGAGCACCACCTTTGCGGCCCCAGAGGGCTGGCTGGTTGTTTCCGATATTGACGACACCATCAAATACACCATGACCCCAGATGCGATTGGGATTCTCCGAACCACCTTTGCGGAAGAACCGAAATCCGTACGTGGCATGCCTCAGCTTTATGTTCACGTCCAAAACCAGCTCCAGCCAACATGGTTCTATCTATCCGCATCTCCCTATAACCTCTATCCGTTCCTGCGCTCGTTCCTTGAGCAGAACTATCCGCCGGGCACCATGATACTGCGAGAAAACTCGTGGCAGTCTCTAGCAGGCTTACTGAAATCATTCACGCAGGCGACACAAGAATACAAAGCCGACCGCATGCAAAAGATTCAGCGCTGGTTTCCAAAAAGAAAGATCTTGTGTATTGGAGATTCGACCCAGAGCGATCCGGAGGCATATGCAGAGATGTATGAGAAACACGGTCCATGGATCAAAGCTATATTCATCAGGAAGGTGATGGGCTTGCCCAATATGGAAGAGAAAAACAGCCCTGAGAGGTTTGACAAAGCGTTTAAGAAAGTTCCTCGAACGGTTTGGAGAGTATTTGAGGATCCAGAAGAGCTATATGGGCCCGTCAACGAGCTGCACCACCTTTACCCTTCGAGGCAATGACAGCGCCAGCGTTTCCTCATCGAAGCCACTTCCCCGATATCCTACATTCGCCCCAAGTGATGGCTTATCTTGCTGGTTCAGCTTTTGCCTACACATGATGATGGTTTGTTTACGGAGTTGGCAGGCTTTGTGTCTCTCTTTTCCTACTTACCTTTTTTCTCTGGTTCGATTCCTCTGTTTTCCGTTCTCGTTTAATTTCTCCCCGTAGAAGATGCTCCCATCTTTTGGATTTTTTTTTTTTATACTTGCACCGCATACTTTTAACCCCCTCTATCCTTTTCTCTTCCTTTTTATGACTATTGACAGGCTACGATTCTCCTTTTGATTGTTTTTCTCCGCCCTCTTAGTCAGTTGTACGACCGCAAGTTTCGAATGCTGGTGGATCTCTCGGTTTATCTCCCTTATTCTGCAAATCACCTCGATGCCTTTATGCCCCCTACGATATCCATATACGCAAACCTCTTTATTTTTTATACTAATTGCTATCGGCTGCTTTGGTCAAAGGTGTTTGTTTTTTTAATCTGTTGATGATGTCTGGTTCGATGGAATTACTTTGGCGAGGACATGGCGCTCTACCTTTCCTTTCTCTATCCAACTCCTCCTGTTCCTAGTAATGTATAACTATGACAGACCATAAGCAAATTTTCAAGCTGCTGGTAGCTATTTTATCCTGATGTCAAAAGCTCGTGGGAGAATCTCCCCGTATTTTTGCCTGCTGGTCCCCTGAAGGCTTGGCAGCGTTGATCCTTCATCAAGAAGCTGTCAACCATTACATCATTGCCCGCCCCGCTCGTTTGGCAGTCGGGAGCTGATTTTAGCCAGCGTCCAAAAATTGAATTTAGCATGTTTCGGTTACAGCTTCTTATCCCTTGTAATGCAGATGCATGGCTAGCATGAATGGCCAGGTCTTGCTAGGAATGCTTTTTCCTATTGAATGCTACACATCTCCATGGCATTACTCTGTCATAGACCTTGGGGCACACAGTGACCTCCCTGTACGTAAGTCGTGTTAGAATCCCTGCATTTGTTTTGCTTCCTTGTTTAACTCCTTGGTCGCATACCAGGATACTGACATTTCGTCCGCCGCCATCTTGTCTCGATTTATCCGATCAAGAAGTTTTGATTAGCTACCTACCGTCGAGAATCCATGGATACAATGCAGCCGACAGGCGCCAGCGAAGAGCTCATCCCACCCACAATGCCAGCCGTCTACCTCCCGACCCATCCCTACGTGAAACACCGCAAGCCAGGGCCCTCCAATCTCGTCTACAGAGCTGATTTTCCTACTCCTACACCTACTGAGACGCAATACCTGATCAAGGTTCAAGCAGCCGCTGTATGTCGCGGCGAGCTAGAATGGCCTCATCTCCTCCATCGCAGAGAAACCGGAGCGGTCATCGCGCATGATATCTGCGGAACTGTCCTCTCCACTCCTTTTACAGACGAGCATCTTAGAGACGGACCTAAATTCAAAGTTGGAGATCGCGTGTTTGGCTTGATTGAGCCGAGTAGAGATGGTGGTGCTGCGGATTGTGTTGCGGCTGAGGAAGACGAATTGGCGTTTAAACCGCAAAATATCTCTGCGGTTGAGGCTGCGAGTATTCCGTTACCTGCGCTGATGGCGTATCAAGGGCTGTTCGAGCAGTTGAGGGTGAATGACTGGTTGAAAGAGGTGCATGGAGTGCATAAACCTTTGAGGCTGCTGATTTTGAATGGTGCCTCCAGCGTGGGCATTCATGCGATTCAGATGCTAAGGTCCAAATCGCTTTTGCCTAGCGCGTCCATTTGCATCTTTGCTACCACTAATTCTAAGCAGCAGAGCTCCTTTTTGAGAGACAAGTTCCATGTTGATGAAGTGATCGACTGTGCTGAAAATCCGGATCTTGTTGAGGCATGGGTTCAAAAAGGCTGGGCGCCTGTACACCTCGTCCTAGATTGCATTGGCGGTAAGGCACATAGACAAGCCCACGATGAGAAGATCATATGCAAAAATGGTGCGATCACAACCACAGTGGGAGCGGAAAGCGAAGTTAGGGAAGCGTCAAAAAACCAACACCCACACAGCCAATTCGTTTCAATAGAACCGAACGGGAAACACCTAGAGATAATTGGGAAACTCGTCGAGAAGGGAGAGCTGACGCCGTATGTTGACAAAGTATTTGAGTTGCATGAAGTAAAGGAGGCTATGACATTTGTCGAAGCAGGGGAGCTTAGGGGAAGGGTTGTGCTGCATATTAATTATGATTAGCCTTACAAACATAAGGCGGTGAAAATATATATACCGTCCATTCTAGCTTTACGAGGGAAGTAGTGCTGAAATCCCAAGGAGCAGGTTCGCAACCATAGAGGCCCTCTCACTCTTCATTTTGGCAGATTTTTCGTTTGCGAGATCCAACAGTAAGATGGACATGCCGGACACTTCACAATGAAACGAAGCCAGAAAAGAAAAAAAAAAAAAAAAAAAAAAAAAAAAAAAAAAAAGGGATAATGGCAAAGGTTCATTAATGTCACGCTCTATCCATAGTGAGTCTTCCATTTTCTTGGATCCGGAAAGGTATGCCGGGAAATAATCCGCCAAATTCAGAGCATATCAAACAAAATATAGATGAACGAATAATGGCAAAAGGAAATTCAAAAGTGCAATTTAAAATTACCCTAATAATCGAACAAGGATTAGAGAGAAAAGAAGAGCGAGAACTTATATAGAAGAAGCAGAGGAGAAAAAAAAAAAGAAAGAAAGAAAGAAAAAAAAAAAACGGGAAGGGCATATGCGGTCTCAGGAGCAGTCTCCAGTATAGAAACAGGATAGACAAGACAAAGGCCCAGATAATCAGCTTTGTGTCATATTTCCCATGATTTCTCAGAGGGATCGCTTTAACTGTGGCCCATTAGACGGATGAACAATTAGATAGAGGGCTGCTATAGGATGAGAGCGGCATTCGGGACCAGACGACCCGTCTCATCTCTGGTTTCTGATGCGGAATGGTAGGTGGTTTGGCGGGCGGGTCGTAAGTGTAGGCCACGGACAGAAAGATGGGCCTAGAGATAGATACAAGACACAAGTACGAGGTGCTGGTAAGGCAAAAAAGGTATCAGGCACATAAATCTAGAATAAAAGTTTCACGCTCAGAGCAGGGAATCAAGACGAGTAAACACATTTAGGCATGCTGCCACAACCTGTTGGAGAGTAAGCATTGAACTTTTCCAAACACGTAACCCAAGGGGGACAAACCTCTAATTGAAGCTCCCTATCTTTGGCTTTGTCAAGCTCTTCTCTGACTGCCTGAGCCAAATTCGCCCCTATTCCTTGTGTACCACCTGTCCTTAATGAAAACGGCCATTGCGAATAGTCAGCAAGTAATTCATCCACCTGAGCAAATGCTCTTTCTCGTGCATCATGGTTCATCGTAACGAGGCAATTTTCAAGAACATTAGCGGCATAAGCTGCGCAGACCATGGCTATAGTCCTCAAATATCTGAATTCAACATCGTTGGGAAGGAATTGAGTTGGAGGTAAGATGACAGTGCGGCTGCTACAGATATTTCGAACTCTCTTGTTTAGATCGTCCTTCGCAGCGCTGTCGGCGACAGGGTGGGTGGCCATATCGAAGAGCAGGAAGTTTCGTTTCTCAGTGCGAAGGACACCTTTATCGACAAGGCCCTTTGCAAGCCTTTCTCGTACTTGTTTAAGCTGATAGCCGATTTTCATTAAATTCCAGGTTTCGCCTGATTGTTGAGACACACGCTAAGTTAGCACATAACTGCTTCACAGAAGAGATATATAGAGAGAGTGGGCATATCCGTACCACTCATAAGATCAATCCACGAGCTAACACTCATCTTCTCGCTTGATTTCATCATTTTCAATGCCTCGTCCAGCAAGACTTCTCCAGTCAATGTGTCGTCAATAACCTCAATGACCCGATCAGCAAGCGGGAAGCGGCGTCGTGAAGAATCCTTTTGCATGCTGATCCGGCCACGGAAAGCCAGCTCGATCACAATACATCCCCGTAAGGCGTACGAAATGTTCTCGTTCCAAAAGGAGTAGTAGCCCTAGCACAAGCAATTGAATCGTGAGCATAATAGCCAAGTGATAACATTAAACATCACTATATCCCATTGCATATCACAAAGCCCAAGGGGAAATCCCCGGTGATATGATTCACCAACCTGCTTATCTTTTATCCCTAGCAATAGCACCTCTTCCATTAACGTCAACTTTGGCTGCTTGACCTTGTCAGCGCTCTCGCTGATATCTCGCGGATCAAAGGCAATCTTGTGCCCGTTTTCTCCTCCGATGAACGACGTCTCAGGTACGCGGTTATCGGATCCATTGTGGGGAGATGGAGATGTCACTCGACTGCCATCACTGGCGTCGCCCGTACTCCTCCCTGCCCCCCGACGGCGGGTTAGACCACTCTGAGTCGCCATGCCGCCAGATGTGGAACCCGTTGGTGTGAAGAAGCGTCAGGAAGTCGGGTTATACAGCATGGACTAATTCGAATATCTTCGAAGGGGCGGGATTAAAGCTTTCGGGGTGAGCTGCTTGTCCGCGAGCGATGATGTTCGCAGGTCGGTGAGGCAGCACGAAAAAAAAGTGGTCTCTGCAGTAATGAAGCAGAGAGTGCGCTAGGCAAGAAAACAAAGAAGACGATCTCTCGGGGCGGGATATTTATTTCACTGTTGAAATAAGCTCGTTTGGCGGAGAGCAGAGCGACGCCTCCTGGAAGAAATCGGTGCCAACAGGCACCCCAAAATCTGGCCGGTACAAATCGTATCAGCTCCAACGGTCTTGGCAGCCTTTTTCGCTCTCTCTGCAGAGAACAAGGGGTTTACCTGGCAAGGGGAATTGGATCGCGTGCTTCTAAGTGTTTATTAAACCGTGTCTACCTACACTAAGATGCCGAGATTGCGTTTCGACTGGCCGCCTCAATCGAGTTTTCACATGAAGTGGCATCGAATTTACACCACGACTGGTATGGTATCTGGAAACGCGACCCTTTTTCCCGGGGTAACAATAGCAAGGCATGCACCATTGGCTGTGCGTCAGTATTCACTGGAAAGGCAACTCTTATTCTTTCACAATTGTTGGGGGCGAATAATCACTACAGTTTGGGTCCATTTGCTCCTGTCTCTCTTTTTTTTTTTTTTTTTCCCCTGTCTCCATCCCTGCGATCGAAGCTCCGACGCAGGCAGAGTCGCCTCACCAAGGGGAACAGCAGATAAAAGACCTCTAAAATTGTTCGAAATCTCAAAGTTGATATACACAATACAAGAGAGGAACGGTTAGAACCGCAAAATCGTGACCTCCCCATGCAGCCTACTAACCGGCGCCTTCACCCCTTAGTTCTAATACATAACCATTTTCCCTGGGGTAATCCTGCTCACTGAATCGAATATCGGCCAGTTTAGTGGGCTACATGCAGTCAGTAATGTACTAGAAAAATGAGGGCCAGACTGTTACAAACCATCGGGCTGGGAAAGGATATACTGAACAGCTTGATCGACTACGTAAACATTGTTAGCGTATCTTGCAGTTAATTTTTGAGCCGGTGGTACATACTGCTGTGGATCGCGTCTGCCTCCTTGTCTGGGATTTCAATGCTGAATTCCTGTTGAGAAACTGGTCAGCACTGACGCCAAATGCGGATAATTCTTTAACTCGAAACACAAACGTACCTCTTCAATAGCCATCACAACCTCAACGGTGTCCAAGCTGTCCAGTCCAAGGTCGTTTGTGAAGTGCGAAGTGGGAGTAATCTAGGGTTCAATTGTGAGCATCGTCACACGAGGAGCAATAAAATGATGATCGTCCTGTACCTTTGAGGCATCCGTAACCTAAGAAATATCAACCTAGTCAGAATTCGACAGTATCACTTCGCTGAGTCAATGGTCCGGGGCTCACCTTGTCAAAGTTCTTAAGCAGGTCGATTATTCTTCCCTCAACCTCTGACTGGTTAAGGCCGGCTGGCGCAGAGTACGATCGGATAGCCTGATAGGGGATGCACGGAGCGAATTGGGATTGCCGAACAATGGCAGAGGCTCTGGGGAGTTGACGGACGGTCGAAGAGTTCCTCACGGCACGAGGTATGGAGACGGTTCGAAGAGACCGGATGAGAGCAGATCGGAACATTTTGGCTAGCGAAAGGAACTGAACAAGAGGAGAGCAGTGGAGGTGAGGCCGTTGGACCGGGGTAACCGTGACAGTTGGAGGGTTTGAGGTGCTGCACGGGAAGATATTAAATTCTTCAGGTTCTTTTGGAAGTTCCTGTTCTTTTGGGCTTGGTCAGCCGCCGGCCAATCAGCGCCCGCAAAAACCATCTGACCTTCACCACTTCTGAGAGGGCAGCGAACATCTCCCGTCCAGAACTCACTTTGCTTCCTCAGTCGCTGCAATTGACGCATTTTCACACCATGGCGTCGTCAAGGGCAGTTACAAGATTGGTCGCCTATCGACGCCCGGCCGCTCTGCCATACTCACTCCCTTCCTCGTCATCCGTCCACCGCTCCGCCAGCACGCCTGCCCTCACTTTTTCGACATCAGCCGTTCAGAATGCAACACCACACGGCCCGCCACAGCCTGGCTTCCGCATGCCTACACCAAAGAGATGGGATCAAGACGAAGATTCGACTTTAGACAAGGCCGGAAAATACTTCTTGATGACAGAGTTATTTCGCGGCATGTACGTGGTGCTAGAGCAATTCTTTAGGCCACCGTAAGTACCGCCTATTCTCTCTCGGCACGCTTTTCAATTGCAATACCAGGCCACTATGCTCCTAGCTCCATGTTCCAGTGCGGCTTGCGATGAGTGTTACGTTCTTATTCTGACAACGTTTGCCTTTCTAGGTATACAATCTACTACCCATTCGAGAAAGGCCCCATCTCTCCACGATTCCGCGGCGAACACGCCCTACGCAGATATCCATCCGGCGAAGAGAGGTGTATCGCCTGTAAACTCTGCGAGGCCATCTGCCCTGCACAAGCCATCACCATTGAAGCCGAAGAGCGTGAGGACGGAAGCCGACGGACGACACGGTATGACATTGATATGACCAAGTGCATCTACTGTGGATTCTGCCAGGAGAGCTGCCCCGTAGATGCCATCGTTGAATGTAAGCAATGCTTAAGAGTTCCTATGTTAACCTGAGTGACCCTCGAAAGAGAACATCCAGCCTTCGTGTTTCGAAGCATTGAATGCCTGCTAATCGTATTGCTCGCTTGTAGCTCCTAACGCCGAATACGCGACAGAAACCAGGGAAGAACTATTGTACAATAAGGAAAAATTACTGGCCAACGGTGATAAGTGGGAGTCAGAAATAGCTGCAGCTGCTCGTGCGGATGCCCCTTACAGATAAAATTAAATCGAACTATTCAAGGTCTATCGATCCGTTTCGATGCTAGCAGTTTCCTTTTTCTTTTTGATAGACAAGCTCTTTTGATCTCGAGAAGCTACTCAAATGATAACCGGTGTATGTATATAGTGTGGTGACTTTTATCGGGCCGACACCTGGAGCATTCTGGACCTGAGTCCGTATTACAATGCAGTTTCATTTGTCAACAATAAAAGTCATTTTCCTGTCGCTTGTTAAACAAAAAAAACAAAAAGGCATCAAATCAGATCGAGCGGATCATTATGTACAAGATTTCTGGCCCTGACCTACACGCCGGATAAATCACCGAAATCCAGAAGGTGGAAAAATTGCGTGGTCGAGTTGCGGTTGTATTCTCCCTGTCATCAACGGACAGAGCTGCACAGACGAAGATAAAGAAAACAGGTATCAAGGTAGGAATCAAACGTAATCATCGTACGGTGTTATCATTTCTTCTTCCCACCAACTTTCGTTTTAAACCTTCCTTCAAAGCCAGGCCTAGCTTTGGGCTTGCCTTTCTTCCCCTTGTTCCCTTTCTCTTCTTTTCGTTTTCGAATATTCTCTTCTCTCTTAGCCTGCCTCGCTTCTCTGCTTTTCGCTACGCCTTCTATCCTCTCCTTCCATTGCTTCTCGCTCTTCTTCTTCGTGCCCTCTTTCCTGTTTAGCGCCTTTTTCAGCAAAGACACATCGTCTTTCACTTTCTCGCCATGAGCCCTCTTCTTCGCGTTAAGCCACATGTCTTTCTCTTCGATTTCCGCCTTCTTCTTTTCATCAAGGCCAGCAAGTCTTGTTTGTTTGGCCTCAGCTGCCTTTAGCGCTGTTCCGGTGTCTTGAGGGCCTTTTTGTTTTTTCTGATTACGAAGGGTGGACAAACTTGGATCTGCTGTTTGTCCATCGGCAAAAACAACTCGGCCAAACGAAAAATTGTTTGTTATCGATGTGATGGATTCCGCGGGGGAGCCGGGAGATACCAGTAGCGAACCCTTGGGGGAGAAGCGCTTGGCGATGGCTTCATCACGAAGTCTTTGCTCTTCCTCCTTAGCCTTCTGGCGCATCTCCTTCTTGTGAGCACGGCGCTGTTCCTCACGTTGCCTTCTAGCTTCTATCAATTCTTGACGGTTTTTCGCGGGTTTCCCATTGAATCCATCAGCATGTCGGGCAGCGCGCAGCTCGTCAAGACGTTTCTGTAGACGTTGTTTGAGTTCTTCTGAGGTGGGTTTTAAAGGTTTTGGGTTAGATTTTTGTTCATCATTCTTATTAGCGCCATCATTTTCCGTAGGCGGGACAACGGACGATGTAGACGAGGTTCCCGAGGGCGGTTTTGATGTATCAAAAGGATTGGAATCGGCTGCAGGCGACGTGGGTGCTGTTGATTCAGAATTGGACTCTTTTTCCCCAGAGAAGCCTTCAACAGGGGCCATCTCATCCGCAACCTCCTCGTCATCACTAGCGTCATCGGCGCTGGAGGCTGTTGCATCTGGTTTTTCAGCGGAAGTTATGGGGTGCGTCGAAGCTTTCGTCGATTGCTCTAAGGCCCTCTGCTTTTGCTTTCGTTTCTCTGTCTTTTCTGCAGCCTTTTGTTTCTTCTTTTCTTGTTTTGCTGCTTTTTTCTCTTGCTTCTGCTTTAAACGTTCCTCCTTTTCATGTTGCAAACTATCATTTGTTGACTCCGGGAGATGTCCGTCTGTCGAGCTGTCTCCCTTTTTCTGCTTCTTCTGACGATAATCGCCGCGGTTAAGCCCTTCAAGCGGTTTCTCGGAGCCGAGTTCCCCATCATCCGTGTCCAACTGTCCGTCCTCGCGTTTTCGCTTGCGGGCATTTTCATCCATAACGTCTTTCGCTGACTTTGCTGCATCAGGATCTAATTTAGCTCGTTTTGCATTTCGGGCTTGTTCTTTTGTCTGTTTCTTTCGTTGCCATTGATCCTATAGGTTCGTGAGAGAGTCAGCACTGATAACCAGCATGAGATTGGCACCCACAAAACACCATATATCAGAGAAAATAAGGACTGAGACACTCACACTGGTATCTTGTCCATAATAGTATTTTGCTGGGATTAACGACAGCAATCCATCAAAGGCGTTTGCATGGCTGCGGAGCCGCTCCTAGAAGTAGCATTGTTGGTCAGCGAAAGAGAAAATTTCATTAAGAGACCATCCTCGACCTACCTCTAAACTATCTGCCATATCTGGGATATTAATTATTAGACTCGAAAAGATTTAAGCTATTGTCCCACTCATGCACTCGCTCCCCAATGCGCTCCTGCGACACTGGCCCGTCCAAGCGTGCTGAGCAGAAAAATATTTAGGTTGGGTGGGCAGGCTCTCTTCCGGTTTGGTGACGGTTGCTCGCCGCCCTTACGGATGTCGGACTTGTGCTCCACGTGACCTCAGGGCCTCCAATCAACTCAACAGCCGAACAGAAGTTCCTCGTCTCTGCCCATTGAGACTTGGTTCCCTGCCACCCAGATCTTGCAAGGCTCTACGCGATGAATTTTCCTTATGCCTATAAGTGGACACCTGGAAGCACAGCAGACCAGATGCATTCCAAGAAAAAAAATGGACGTAGAGGAAGACCTTGAAGTCCCTACCCTGAGTGACCGCGCTCCCTCGTTTTCCCTACTTTTCACATCTCGTTGTCATTGAGCCCGCCACACGATCAGACTTCAGCGCTATTTTCTCCGTGGCAATAAGCCCTCCAGCCGAGCGCGATCCGGAGAATGGATAATCCGGATCCAGTTGCCGATACCCGTATCGGAATTTTGTAGGCCCGAAAAACCATGGAACCCCGATGAACCCACCATAAACAGCACCTGAAAGGTTCCTGCAGCAGGAATGACATGTTTACTGTTCCTGAATAGGAAACAGTTCTCATTTTTAAAGATTCCCCTGCCTGAGAAACATTCCCAATTGCTGTAGAATGATTTTGGAATGGTGAGAACATTCTCAGAGTTGCTGAGAACATCAGTAGAAACCCAGTTGGAATACTGTTGGGAATTAACTACTACAATTCTAGTTTCAGGCACCATTCATTTCTAGTCCTTGATCAAATATGTACAAAGCAGGCAAATCTCAGAGAAATGAAACATCCCAGGTGTATAGTAGAAAGGTTCCAGAATCACAACCACTGAAAACCAGATTGCCACTGATATTCAACACCTCACTAATCAGTACAGTATAAAGACTTGGCTTTTTAATTACAGAAAGTCCAATAATAGTGTAGTTGCTGCCCTCTAGATCTACCTGCACAATTGATAGATCTAAAACCTGATCTCTTATCATTTCCAATGCCAGAATCACTAAAAAGAATACTCTTTTATTTGTATACAATTCATGAATAAAAATACTGGTAATTTGCCTGATAGTGGAGCTGATTCCATGCATATACTCAATCAAATCATCAACTATTAGTTTGATTTGCTGGTCTCCAAGTGAGAAAGTAATATTCTTATAGAATTATATTGCAGTTGAGTCTGGTTTCATTACAGACAGCTTATCCCAATCTTGCTTATATACATTTTGGAGTTTCTGCAAAAATAAGTAGAGATTCAGTAATACAGATAGCTGTATATTTAGAATATCTAGTACTGGCACCATTTTTTCTGCAGATTGTTGTGCTTAGAGATTCAGAGAATACTCACCAGTAATATCTTTGTCTTCAGTATCCAGTGTCTCAAATTCATCTTCATGCAGATTAATATTCAGTCAGAGTAAGTCTGTAAAAAGAGTCAGGCAGTACTTATAGAGATTAGAGATGTACTGAATTAAGAATAGCTTACTATCAGCAAATGCTTCTTCAAGTAGTAGAAGCAGTATACATCTGAAGCTTTCTTGCATTAACAGAATCTTTTTAACATCTTACTTATTTGTTCTCTGAACCAGCTTCTTGTATTTCTAATGCTTGTCCTCTTCAATGAGAATATTGCAATTATTTGAAATTGCATATTCATTTGCTTGTACTGAATAATGTATGTCAACATGCATATTTGAATAGTTTTTAAAGCTCTGAATTGTCTTTATCTTCTTTTTTGAATCAAAATTTTCCACAATTGAAATGCCTGTCTCTTTGACATACAAATCAAGTGCCAAGAGCTCAATTGAAACAGGAGATAATCTTGTACTGATTATAAAAGCTGCTCTAGATTCTGCTCAAGTGCCTGCTGGATGAGTAATCTTAACAGCTGATGCAGCAGTATTAATTAAACTTTGTAGATTCTGTCAGACTGTTGTGATAATCTCTTATAATTCTGCAGAGGCAAATTAAGCTGGTGATTAAGATGTTAGAACAGAATTGCTGCATGCAATTTCAGCATAAATTTGAACAATCAAATTCTTTGTCAATCTTTCAGAGTGATCTTTAAATGTTACAGACATTATTTGTTGCACTGCTGGATTTATCCATTTCTGAATCATGTAGTATTGAAGAAGAAGTGAAATTATAATAAATGCTTGCACATGCTCCTGTAATTGATAGGATTCCAAATGAGTAAGCAGAGATTAAAGATGAGTCTATCTCTGACAGAATGAAAACTTCTGAAGCAATTTACAGTATTCTTTTTGATCATGAGATGTAAGAATCACCAAAACCAATAAATAGTGTGCCAGTTTTGATATTTCTGAAAATTCACTGTAACATGAATCAGAAGAAAAAAAGATTACCAGATTAAGAGATAGACATATTTTAAGCAATACTGTCTGCTCTTTGGTCATTTCATATTTCTTGCAGAGACTTTACTTTAAAGCTTGAGTTTCTGTAGAGTTGATTTTTTCTCTCTGCTGCAGAATTCAAAAATGATAGCATTCTTCAGTCATGGTATCAAAATTCATGTCATGTTACTGATTCTCTGAAACCATGCAACTCCAACAAGATCATATTACTGTAGGCCCTTTGATTTCAGCATTAACATTCTGTTGCAGCATATTCTCAAGAAAACAGAGACAAGAGAAAATAACTCTAGTAACTTTCTTGCTGGAAATATTCACATTAATGTTTTTGTCAAGCAATGCTAGACCAGGCTTCAAGACTTCAATCACATCAGGAAAATTGGTTCCATGTGGCCTGAAAGTAATTATATAAACATTATTATGCTTGGCTCTCTTGATAGATTTCATGCTGGCAGGTATCATGTAGAAACTCATAAGGCTTCAGTACATGTTGCAGTATAGGCTGAATCCATTAATGAAAAGTTGGTAGAGAAGAGATATAATCTTTTTGCTGTTAGAAAACATTTGCTTCAATATCTCTCTATCATATGTTACTATTTCTAGCTTATCATGTAGTGAAGTGCTCATATTAAGTGGTCAAGCTTTCAGTATTCCTGATTTCAAAGTTAGTACTTGCTGCATGAAATATTGGGCATTCAGAAGCTTATATTCCAAATTCTCCATATTAAATCTATAGTCAAGATATATGTTAACTTGGGAAAGAATATTGCCTGCTAAAACAAATGTTTCTTGACTTTCAAGAGCAAGAACTTCATTTGAGTGGTGCTGTGAATTCAAATGGGACAATTTTCTGCCATAAAATATTGACATAAATCAGTATACTGGTTGAATTCAGAGAGTGATTGCATTTTCAGCAAGTGGATTTGATCTTTTATCTCAACCAACAAATTGAACTCTTCCCAAATGATCATGGTTCATTGAGTCTTTATTGCAGGGGCAGTCAGCATTGTGGTATTGGTAGAGAACAAAGTCAGAGAGAAATATAGGCTTGCCATTATGGTAATATGCAAATTCACTCAAGAAGTATTTAATGAAGCTTCTCCAGCTTCAAGATTACTATAACTCTCTTGAGTTATCAACCAATTCAGCCATTTCTATATGCAGCTTCTTCCAGAAAATCAGTAATTTCACAAGTGTAGATATCAATGCAATAGAGTTCTGGAAATACATGTTTATGCACAATGTCACTTAAGCAAGTCTTTTGTCCACATCTGATAATATTGGCATTTTCTTTGAGATGACTGACAGCACTTTTTGATAGATAGATAGTATCAGAAATTGTAACCAGCATCTCTTCTTTAATGTTGACAGTCCAGTAGGCATAAGTTTCAATGGCTTGATATCTATTAGGTTCTGGAGGATTTCCCTCAGTAATTGATATTGCTGTTGGAATATGCCTGTATGCTTACACTACAACACAAGAGACATTAGAAATTAATCTATTTAATCATATGCTTTGGCCTGTAAGTGTGGAATAGCTTCTGATGATTCATTCTCAAGAATCAGTATTGTTACTTGAGTATTCATTGGCCCTGAATCTTTGTCAATTTCTGGATCTTTGTCAATTTCTGGATCTTTGTCAATTTCTGGATCTTTGTCAATTTCTGGATCTTTGTCAATTTCTGGATCTTCTTCAACCAGGATTTTGTTTTCTAGGCATGACAATTCTGCATCAGCTGCAGCATCTTTCAATATTTCATGTAATTGATTGTCATTGTTGGTATATGCTGGGCCAGCATTGCCATCACCAGTATCTAATGTAGACTATACAATATTAGTCTCAGCATTTAATAATTCTGATAAACAATTTTTCACACTATAAAACCAAATTTGTCATTATCAGAAATTGATGCCAAATTCTCCAGCTGCTCTAACTGTAGTAATGTCAGGTGGACACTGCTTTCACATTTAATTGACTGATGAATGCTCTCTTTACTTGCTTGATTCTGGGTCTGTTATTTACCAGCAATTGAAGCATTATTGCTTGAATTTGAATCTCAGAGCATGATTTTCTTGACTTTTTAGAGATTTGGACACAACATTTCAATAACAAGACTACTATTAATTGTATGAAGTTGTAAAAAAAATGCATGGAATGCTTATGAGATGAAGTATCTTTGGTTACTCTTTCAGAAAGTAAAGATTACCTGTTATCTGTCAACAGAAAATGTAGAGGAAATTGCTGATAGAATATGAAGTTAGAAATAATCACTTTCATGCTGGGGCCAGAGAAGCTTGCAATTGATATAAATTATAGTATATTCAAAATTTTACAAGAGTTTCAGAGTTAAATTCTTCAATATGAATGGTGAAGCTTTCTTTTTCAACAAATTTAATGTGGGTGACTTTGATGAGATTGCTGTCACAGGAACCAATACAGACATACAGAGGTGAAATATAGAACAAGATCAGAATTCTGAAAAAGGCAAAGAGAATGAGAAAAGAGGCAAGAAGTGCAAGTAAAGAGTTTGACACCCTGATGCAGAAGAATATGAGAGAGAGAATCAGTTAAAGAAGAAGGCCCTGAAATAGCAAGTGAGATGAATATATCTCACAACATTCAGCAAGAAAAAACTTCCCAAAATTATAGAGAAAGTATATAAAACAAATAATGAAGACTTATATGTCTTTAGTTCAGCAAGAGTATCTGCTCTGAAGTTTTTAAAAAGCTGGAAATATAAAACATTAAGAAAGATAAGTATTAGTATGCTGCTCCTTAAATATTGAGAGATCTTTTATCAACTGCTAGCAGAAGCATGTCAAGAATATAAAGAAGATTAATCACAAGAATAATTCTAATATTAGCATGCACTGTTGTCAGAATCTCAATAAACTCTTTGCATATTTTGCAAAGCACTTTAATTCTAAAAAATTCTTTGAGATTTTCTTCTGGGCAGAGCCAATTGTTGATTATAAGAAATCAAAGTAATTAGAGTAATAGTATATCAAGTATATGTCAGAATTAAAGACAAGTATAAGATAATGAGTACAACTGATCTTGATTTAGAGATATATGCTAATTTGGCAGTGCAGGTCAAACTGCATGACAATCTCATGAAGAAATCAAGCTGTGAGAAGGAAGCCATCAGAGCATGACAGGAAATTCTCAAATTTTGAAACTATATGGGACAACATCTGCAATATGAGAATGTCAACAAAGAGAACTTTGCAGAAAAGAGAAAGAAAATTAAGAAGAAGACAAGAGCTTCAGCTTCTGGAGCTGATAAGTCAGCAATTCTTATAAAGATTCAATTTTCAGGTGAGGCTCTGCTGAAAGAGTGAACTGCAAAATACTGAATCAGTAATGTAAAGCTCTCTTGAGACATCTGCACATTGATTAGCATGTATATATATATGATATAGAATCCAAATCTGAGCAGCACCAAAGCTGCAATAATTCTCACAATAATCTGACAGGCAAAGCAGCTGTATAGTAGGAATCAACTTTTCAAGAATTCCTGTCAAAAATCTGCTGGGGGATTACTCATCAGGATTGTATAGGTAATATAAAAATAAATATATCTAGTAGAGCACATGTCAACAAAGCTCTATCTAATCAGGACAGCTCTCATGTATATAAACAACCTCTCCCACAACCCCTTCTCTTTCTCTTCTCTCTCTCTCTCTCTCTCTTCAAGCCTTTCTAATCTTTATTTCTCCCCCCTTCTCCTCCTCTCTCTTTTCTCTCTTCCATTGGTATTTCTTTTCAGATTCATTAATATACTTCAATTTGCAAAGATAGGTGATCTGAGATATATGAGATTAGCAAAAGCTGATGCATTTTGCAGAAAAAACACATCAAAATGGTGAACATGTGTGAAACCCTGAAAGAGAACAAGCCAGGCCATAAACCAAAAAATAAAGTTTCAGATGGGCCATCAGTATTCTGTCAATAATATGTTACAGCATATATGACCCCAAAAAATCTTGAAAAGCTCTGTAATAATGTTCAAGACTCTGGCAATGCTTGCTCAAACTGCTTACAAGACAAGAAGCATTGCTGTAACTTTTCTGAAACAATAATTAATCAGATTCTTGAGTTGCAAAGTGCATACTTCAAATAAGCAAATACAACAAACACTGTTATCAAGAATGCTCACAAAGTGGGTGTTGTCACTTTTGCTCAAGCTATCAATAAAGAGTTGAAAATCATTCTTGCAAATATGCTGAAAGAGACTTCTTCCATTGATGATAAGCCAGATGCATTAAATAGCAAAGTCATTAAAGCTCTTCAAGAGATTTCCACAATCTTGAAAGAAATTCAGGAAATTCAAGAGGCAAACTTCATTGCAGTCTCCAACATAAAGAATGCTCTTAATGTAAGTTCACTTCACATCTCATCTTTGAGGCAAAGATTCTAACTTTCAAAAGAATATGCTGCAACTTATTGATTCAGGTCTTCATGCAGCTCTTGCTGCTAGCACTCGCTCAGCTCTGGCTGCAAATACCCCCTGTCCTTCTCATGCTGTAAGATATTCTCTTAGAATTGAATTGGAAAAGGGATCTAATGAGAGTGAATTAGTTGAAATGTTCTTTTGACAGTGCTTCTGATACTGAAGCAAAAAGGATCTGCTTCTCAATTGACAAAAGCTCCTTGCTGCCACAAACTGTTCCTGAAACCCCAACTCCAATCAGGAGCCTTCAATTTTCTCCATTTTCAACTAGTATGTGTGCAAATAATGTTTCCCAAAATATACTGACTGTTTATTCTGACAGAGCAATAAAGTATGGCACCAAAGGGTGTGTCTTCTTCTCATGATGTGACTCTGACACAAACTGTCTCTGCAAAGCCAAGCACGCCAGCAGTCAAAATTCCTGATGCCAATGAGAAGGATGCTGAAAAGAACACTGCTGACAACAAGGATGCTGACAAGAATGATGCCAACAAGGATGCCAACAACAAGGATGCCAATGAGAAGGGTGCTGAAAATGAGAATGCTGAAAAAGCTGATGCAAATGTTACTTCTGATGTTAGCAGCGAAGGATTCCAAAATTGGTTTTTCAGTCAGGGTGATCTGTAAGGTTAAGCGGCGGGAATTGTATAACTACAGTAGTTACCTAGTTTTCGGAATTAAGAAAAGGTTCTTTCAATTTGAAACGAAACCCTCAATCTCACAGTTCAAATTTCAGTTATGTGTTAGAACTGAGCTCATTTCCCGAAAGGAAGCATTTTCGGAAGGGTAATAGAAATCCTACAGTGCTCCAACAGTTCTCTATTTGGATTATGGTTCTCGCACGATTCCTAATTAGGTTACCGTGAGATCTCGGAAACGTAAGGGTTTTTCGGACCAACGAAATCCCGATATGGACCGGGTCTACCCATAAATGGTCTAGCCTCCGACGCTCTTATTGGATACTTGGCTTTGCTTGCGAATATTCAAAAGCTTGACTTGAATAAGCCCTTTTTAGCGCCCGCACTTAAAGAACGACAAACAAACAGAGTACTCTGTACAAAGTATGGAGAACAAAGTATTATGGAGCGAGAGAGAGCGCTAGAGAGTGCAGGTTTCCAATATGTCATATTTAATTGGACAAAAATTAACTGTTCACTCAATACCAGTCCAGAAATTAACCGGTGAAAGATCGAAAAAAACATTTGGAAAAAGGTAACCAGAGATGAAAACAAATTCCACTACCCTTCCCCCAAACACTTTGCTCAGGCAAATAAGCCAGCACAGCCGTAGCTCATCCTCCTTCCAATGGTATGGTGTGAAATTGCATTATGCCTTGCTAAGGGCCTCAAAAATTTGTTGCATTTGGTTGTCTGTCAGTCCTGTGTACTGCAAACAATCCGATCCGCACGGAAAAGGATAAACTGCATCGCCACAGGAGCTTGTCAAGACTGTGGCAAGATTCATACAACCTGGTGGGACTTTCTCAAAGCGGACCACTGGTGCGCAACTCTGTTAGATCCTACCATAACACAGGTTGCTTGCGCTGACCCAGGGAATATGATACTTACCGCCCTCCGAAGGGTTCGAACTGACGATCTTCTCCGGCTGCTTGTTGATCTGATCGCGACATATTTCAAAATTATACTTGGGCACATTGCACGGGCCGACTTCAGGACGCCGAATCTTGACGCGTGGGATATTTTCCGTGTCGAAAGTGGCACGCGGGTTGACGTATCTGGGTATATGGCGCGGTGGAGGCCACGCAGCACCAGTATCTAAGACTTCACCACCAAGGCCCACCAAGGTGAAGATCCCCCCAATCAATGGGGCGACAATAGGCATGGCATCAACAAGATGGATGAGTTTGTGCAAATGAAGGTTTTGACTTGAATTATACTTTTGAGAAGTTAAGACTTCATTGACAGAGTTGCTTGTTGAGTAGATGTCTTATTTTTATGGCAAACTAGTCGCTCTTTATTAATTGGTTTCCAGCTATTCCTGTGATGAGCAAATTCATCCTGTTAACAGCCAAGACAGAGATGTTGGTAGGTATTCAGGCATAGGACGCATTGATTCCAGTTCAGCTGTAGCTGGCATTGATTGTATTGGAACTGGATGATGGATTTTCATCAGAAACTATGGTAGATCCTAACTTCTAATGTAAAATCAAAGAAGTGCTTTGGGTAGAGGTGGGTACAATGTATCCAATTCAAGGAATATGATGGTGCAACAGATTTATCGAGGTGCAGAGCCAGGAGGAGCAATATGCGTGGGAACAAAATCAAGAATGATGTATCAATAACACCTATAGGGCAAAACTATGGGCCTCTGATTGGCAGGGAAAGATGATAGAGCTTCTTTATGATAGCCAGAAGGTATGTAAATGATTATTTGAGGATAGGCCTAAGTAAGTACTAAGTTCCAACAGGCAACATTGCTATATAGAGGATGAAAGGCCTGGAATGTAATAATTATGTTTCCTATGATCCAACTACCATAATGTGTTGCCTATCATGTTTTACTTTCAACCAACTTGTGGGGATCTGTCTGTATAGCCATAACACTAACATTCAATGTTACCACATATCCATCCTCTGCATAAAAGACTGGATCATGAAACCAGAGCCTCATCCCTGTCTTCCAACAACTTCAGACAATATATCAGGCATGGAGTAATGTTCACAGCTTCATCTCATCAAAGAGGACATGAATTATAGTTCTGAGGCATTCACAATCCAAAGAGGCTGGTGTGTCCTGGTTCTGTGGGTGATGCACTACCTTGCCACAAAATTGAGCTCAAGGGCACACTCCATTGACTCAGTTTCACAATCTGGGTTAGCTTCAAGAGATCTGTCCCTAAGGACAATGGCTGTATTTTTCTCCCTGCCAACCACATCAGCAGTTCTCCTGGATATATTACACTGTTGTCGGACTCCAGGTTCAGCCAATGAGGAATTACCTCAAATTACAACATATTATTCAACACGCTGTGGTGGCAACACATCTGATCACAATTAAAAATCACAAATCACAAGAGCAGTTGGGGGGCCTCACTCCGCTTTGAATAACAAGCGCGTCAGGTTCTTTACAGCGTAAAACCCCCGAATAAGCAATTTTACTGTCAAGTCATGTTGGAGGTTCGAGTACCGGGTACGGAGTACGTAGTGGGTACTCTGGAAGAGCTCCAGAGAAGAAAAAAAGCAAGAAAAGAAAAAGGGCACTGTTGGGCGGCAGCATATTAGTTAATGGCCTTCCGCGCTCGTGTTTCAACAAAATGATGTTGTCCAGGCAGACCGGACTGCTGGATTGCGGTGCAGTTCGACAAAAATACCTCACGGCCGTGATATGATCTGCGCATCAACTTCGGACTCTCCTATGATCAGGCTCACCGTCAGTGCGGATGGGACAAGGTCAAGATATCCACACATTAGCGGTTGGCGCAGGGGCGCACATGCATTGTTAAGGGATCGGCTGCGCCGCTCGTGGTGCCTCTATGTAACCAACATGTTAGTTGGCATTTCCATCACAAGCCTGTAACATGAGTTAGCTATGGAGGAGAGAGTATGACGTGTAGAATACCTGGATGTGATTGACTACAAATCACGCCCCCGCCTCTTCCCTGAGACCCTTGGGCAACTGCCGTCTGTTAATACTTGGTGGAATCACCTGAAACAACAAGCTCGCGGCCTTTCTCCTGTTCGCATCTCTTGATCTTACATTCATTTTTCGGTTAATTAGCAGATATACACACCTTGCTCGATCAGAAACATTAACACAAGCAAACAGTCCGAACCGAGTGCCCAAGACAAAGTCAGAGATGACTCAAGTTCAACCTGCTCCGCGAACGAGGAGAATCAAGCAACAATAGTCCGTGGCAAGGAACACGAATCAATGAGCATGATCGCAAAGCCTTCCCGTTACCCACAGTTCCCCCCACTCATGAATGCATACGGTCATTGGAATCTGATGTCGATGAAGACTTTCAGTCTCTGTGGCTCTAGCAAGGACGAGTGCTTGTTTGCGATCGAGATGCACACTGGCTACGGCTGCAAAGGTCCACTTGGGCCCAGACCAGGTTTGAACCTGCACAATGGAACGAGCAGGAAGGACCCCATCATCGCTGCAGCCGGAGACGGATCCCAATGGGCCGCCCGAATCTACTCATTTAATGTCAACAGTGTCATCCTGCTACCACCGCTCCGGCCCGACGCGAAAACCTTGGCTACTGAGTTGATGCATGGAACGATTACTGGTGACGGCCGAGTCACCTTTCATTTCTCTATCGAGGTTAGCTCTGGCAAGAAGATGAGGCGTGAGAAATTCGAGTGGAGGAGGATGAAGGAGGGCGACGATGACACCAAGAGAAGTGGGTTCAAGCTTGTGCGGCTCTTTTCCAATACGCGAGAGGCGTCCTCGAGTAATGATAACAGCAACATCGGCGAAGAACATCCCCCATCTGAGACCTTTGCTGTGCTTGAGTGGATAAAAGGCTGGTCAGGCTTCAAACAGGCATTCTCCCTCCAGTTGGGCAATGGGCAGTCAGACGCCCTGGGAGAACGCTGGACGCTTATGGTTGTGATGACCGCGTTGAGGATCTGGTACCTGCGTGTGTGCGGCAAGGCAAACAAAGCTGTTGTTGGCATAGGCGAGAAAATCCGAAGCAAATAATTCCCCTGGATGATAATCTGAGCTGGAAAGCTGGCTTATCTCCTGTTATAATGTTTATTTCCGAACTTGTCTTGATACTGAAGCACATTCTTAAATGTGACCACCGACCTTGAACTCTATGATGGCCCGGAGCAAGAGCTTCGTTCCCGTGCTTCCGGCTTTCGGAATATCTATTTGTTCAGTCAGTCCGTCTACACCTCGTAACTAAGTCGTAGATATTGGCTGAGATAGGTCGGAGCATCCCTCTTTGTGTCTGTTTTTCCATTGACTGATTTCCAGCTAATTGGATGGCTGAGCGATATGGCTCGCTCGTCGTCGCAAACAAGGGTATTTTGGCTGAGAGCGTTTGCTGGAGCTAACTACGATATTAGCTCGGCATCAACCACCAGCACCCCCCTGTAGTCTGTACGGGGTCTGTGTTTGTGCCCTAATGCCGCCAGCAAATCGTTCGAATCTGTAACTCCATGATCGAGAGTGTGGTGCGCTTATTCCGTATTTATTACTGCGTGCGAGTTAAAGGAATTTGAGGTTTTCCTCGAGGTAATCCCGGAGGCCGCATGTGAGCCTGAACACTTCTCCGTTAGTCTCTTCGGCCAAATAAATGAACGGTGGCATTTGTGGGTGATTGGTGTAGGCTCTTGGAGGAAAGATTGCACCCAGGCTACAAAAACAAATTGCGGGAAAAAAAAATTCCTGTAAAATGAGATTGACTAGACTGGGGTTCGATCCCAGGACCTTATCGGAGCCAGTGGATTAATCCAGCTGTGAACGATACGTGATAACCAACTACACCATCCAGCCATATCTGGAGTTTAAAATCCGACCCCCGGATTCCAAAAGGAAAAAGAAGACAAGTTCGCGAATCAGAAAAGGTAAACCGTTGGACACCGACATCCTTCCTGCTAAAACAACTGGACGCGTTGAAACAAAAAAGGGCATTTTACGGGGTAGATGGGATTAAAAGTGCCTCGTTTCACCTGCCCGGACTGATTGAAGTGGAGTGTCTATGCTACGCCATGCTGCGGCAACCGAGACGCATCCTGTGCCCTCCAGATTGCAGCAATATTCGGGTGCGTACCTCCTCCTCAGCCCCCTCGCAGGTCGCAAGTCGCAGGTGAAGCATACGGATATCTGCCACCAGGATAGCGAATTAAAGGGGGGGTTACGGTCTCAAAGAGGTCCTTACTGTCAGGCTGGAAGACTTTTTCCTGGTGAGCAGCAGATTGGAAATGTGGGTGAGCCACAGCGGCGGCGGGTGGACGAGTCACGTTATGTGGCTGGTCCTAAAGAATGAGCTAAACCTTGTCGGGACGGTAAGTTAACGGCCTTCCTTTCCGCCTTGGCGCAATGTGGATTTGATATCTCCAGACGCGTTGGCTTGACAATAACGAATTTGCCCTGTTAACCATATAATGAAATAATTTCGATAGCAGGAACTCTGCTATTATGCACTAAATTCCGAGCTTCGGTTGGTGTTCTTCCGAGTTGTCCACGTTAAACGGTAAACGCGCAGTGCTCTGTGAGCGATTTCGGATATTCGAAGTCCTTGGATATTGGTGGCAAACCATCACAGTCTTGCTACCAAAAATGAATTCTTTGAACGGGGCTCTTTTTGAGTTATGATGGCTTGAAGTATTGGCTGGAATACAACACCGGATTGCCGACTACCAGGGTGATTAACAGGAAAGAGAGCCTCCGTGCTGGTCGCCTAGGGTCTAATGGTCAGGGCCCATGAAAATAGGGAGGGGCCTTTGCCGATGCCTTCCGCAGACCATGGCTTGCGGAGGTCCTGGTTCAATAAAGCTGCCGAACGGGTATCGCGACCGTTGTTGTTTGATTCAGCCAACCTCTACCAGTCCTGGGAGGTCGTTTTCCAACCGAAGGACGCGAATTTACCAACTATGGAGACAGGGACGTTGTCCTGATTTATTCTTCCGATTGAAACCCACATCACAGCGGAGTACTTCCTTAGACACAACTACCAAACTCAGTCAATAATAACTGATTTCAGAAACCTGAAATGAATATAAAATTCTCGAGAGGATCCCGTCGAGATAACCTCATGTAGGTTATGTTCAAGCCCTCCATGATGCCATCGTCAAGTCAAAAGGCCAACGCCGAAACCCCAAAGGGCGGATGGCATTTGTCTTATGCATGGCCCGCTGTGCGGTCCAGTAATGCCATGTCGGTTCAGGAACTTTCATGGCAACGCTACAACTTACTCCAATACATGCCAAGAGATATATAAAGGTCCCGACCAGGCTTATAAAGGCCCTTTGGGGAAGTTTCGTTACTTGGTTCTGCGAAATTTTCTCACGGAGGAAACTAATATCGAAGTGGAATGTACTCTATATCCAGACATAACTTATACCAGAGCCCCATATACATCGTTCCCATTTTACTATATCCAAAGGTTCGGCTTTGAATGGAGTTCAGACATGGTCAACAAGTTTGCGGACCCATCAGTGAATACGGGAAATAAACTACAATATTTTTCAGGGTACGGAGTATGGAACCAAGGCTTTGTTTCCACTTCACACGTTCACAACTCCCCTCCGCCACTCTTGGGGTTGAACTCTCATCATTGGTCCCGCTTTGATGACTCCTTACCATAAGTATGATCCTCCATTCAACTCAGAGCACGTATCTCCAGATGAAGGCATTTATATAAGACGAGTTAGTAAAGTACTAACGACATTCGAGTTTGGCCTCGTTCAAAAATTTTCGGTTTCTGCTGTCCTGCACTGCTTTATTCAGATAGGGACCCTGATGGAGATAAAAGAGGTTTCCCGGATCATGTCGTGTGCGGAGGCAATCAAGGTTCGGGAAACGTTGATGAAATGAAATCCCTGGTGCATCCTTGGCATTTAATTTATGACAGGGATCGAGGATTATAACGATGGTGCTGCTGATCGAACAAATTACTGGATAGACGTCCTCTTAACCTCAGACAAGAGATAAGACAAGTTCAGCGTTAATTGACGTTAAACTCATGACGTGGTACGCTCCTTCAAGACTCCTAATGACATCGCTATGTTTTCTAACGTACACCAGTGGCAGCTGGATGGAATTTGAGATAAAAATACCCGCCATATCCACAGGAAACGATGCATGATAAAATTCCCACAGAAGCATGAATGCTGTCCTTAAACAATTCGGATTAATATTCCCGTATCCGAGCTTCTGTGTTTTCTTCGGTATACCCCTGTGACCTCAGCTGCCTGAATCTGCCAAGTGCCAGGGAATATCGCCAAACGTTTACCGAGGAGTCCGGCGCTTCAACATGACAGCCTTCAACATTCACTACGGTCGAGTGTTTGAAATATGAGGGCCTTAATTTCAAGCTGTCTGGTAAATCTAAACATGTTTGGAAAAACAATTGAAGGTGTCGAGCCGGTTAGTCCTTTCGTTTCGTCGCTTCCATCCGCCTGAAGAAAACTTTTTGCTCTCATTTCCTTCTATGTTCGTCTCTTTACTCCAGATATCCGGGGATTATGATCGCCACCGTGCGTCTCCCCGCATGTTCCCTCCACAACAATCAAACACCCGTTTCCCAAGGTAAGCCATTACATTATTTGCACAGAGCACGCTTTGAGGGCCATCAATTCAAAACCTCGTCGGGTTGCAAGCGGCTACTGGATGTGTTTCTCCTCGGCATTCATCGCTCACTCTGGGCAGGGGCTCGGGAAACCACCCCCTGGTCATCGGGAATGCACCCAAAGGTCTCGAGAACCATCGGTCTTCCCTGCAGAAATATATGATGGGCGTACATCAAACTTTACACACATGTTTCTTTCTCTCTCGATGATCCAACTTGCAGGCATGTCCCTTATCAATCAGCCAATGACATGAAGCTCGGCCGGTAACATGACTGAAAACGATCTTCAGCATTTCATCCGTTGCCGCACCAGATCGAGCGTGGAACCCGGTTGAGAATTCGAGAATGCATCGATACACGCCCAATGGAGAAGTTGCATTGCGTCGTGCAATGGGAATCTCTTGATATTCGTGGACATAATTTCCGTTGATGATGCACGCAAGGGCGGATTGATGTCAATATGATACCCTGTCAGGGCCGATCTTCTGAGCAACCGTGCTAGAAAAGACGTAGCGGCCTTAGGTCAATCCCACGCCATCCCAAGGTCTTGCGTGATGCTCTCGCACGAATATCCGCGAGTCCGCGACTGTAATTTTCTTAGGGCATTGTAGTACCGCACTGTTTAGGCGGTTCATGCTAGTCCGCGGCTAACCTAGCATGTCGTATAAATGTGAATCAGAGCCCGCTATCTCTCCTGACTCTCATCCTGCGTCGCTACAGCCCAAGCCCTTTGATCCGCGGTTCTCTTGGTGATATCGCTCGCCATGAAGTTGCTAAAATCGAGTCTGCTGCTTTTGCTGCCCTTCGTGACAGCAAGCCCCATTCCATCGGAGGACAAAGATATCATTCCTGGGAGATACATTGTCACTCTGAAGGATGGTATCACCCAGGAGGATATTGAGTACCATAAATCCTGGGTCACATCTGTGCATCGATCAAACCTTGCTGCAGCAACGGCTGCTGGCCGCCCCAGATTAGAAACTGAGGGCATTCGCAAATTTTTCCAGATCCATAAAATGAATGCTTACTCTGGAGCTTTTGACGACCAGACTGCCGAGGATATCAGACGCAACCCCTATGTAAGCTAACGATTATCCCAGGACCTAAAATGATATATCCCCTGCTAAATCAGTCATGACCTCCCTAGGTTAAATCCGTTACCCCTGACCGAAAGGTCTACCTTGCTGATACTGTTGTGCAAGAAAATGCAGGATACAACCTTGGACACATGTCAAGCAAAGGGAGACATTCATTCACCTATAGGTATGACAGCACGGCAGGAGAAGGGATTTGGGCATACGTTTTGGACACTGGTATCAATGTGGACCACATTGAATTTGAAGGACGGGCCGATTCAGGGTATAATGCTATTAAGAATGTCTCAAACACGGATAACTTTGGACATGGCTCGTTCACAGCCGGCATAATTGCCGCAAAGACATATGGGGTTGCCAAAAAGGCAACTGTGATTTCCGCAAAAGCGTTCGACACTGGCTCAGTTCGTGCCCCTTTGCATTTGAAACGCTTTAGCTGATATCGCTAACCTGAGGATGGCAGAGCACGTACGATTATATTTTTGATGCGTACAACTGGGTTGTCAAGAACATCACTGATTCCGGGCGGCAGAAAAAGTCCGTTGTTAACATGAGCATCAGTATGTTGCCTCGGCACGAGTGAACGGTGAAAAACCAGTTAGTGCTAAGGATATTGCGACTTTTAGGCAGTGCGAAGTACCAGCCATTCGACGACGCTGTTGACAATGCCTTCGAGGCCGGTATTACAACCGTTGTTGCAGCAGGAAACGACGGAGTAAGCGCCCTGACAGAGGAGGTGAATGACTTTTCCATTAACATGTTAATGCAGAGAGACGCCTCGAACAACACCCCTGCTAGTGCGGCCAATGCCATCACCGTAGCATCCATTCGTTTCGATAATGGTCGATCATTGTTCTCGAACTATGGCAGTGTTGTCGATATTTTTGCTCCTGGTGAAAGAATTGTGTCCTGCTGGATTGGCGGCAACGACGCAACCCGCAAGGCTGATGGAACCTCGGTGTCATCTCCCCATGTTGCCGGATTGGTTGCATATTTGATGGCTATCGAGGACCTTCCTGACCCTGCAGCAGTCACCAAGAGGGTTCTTGATCTCTCAATCCCTGATTTGGTTAGGGACCCAGGCGAAGGCAGCCCTAACCGAATCGCCTACAATGGTATTCAGGAAATGAATGAAACTGTTATTGCTTGAGGAGATATCTGGTATACTTTATATGTATATCCTTAGAATGCAATTCAAATATGTACGTATGTGCGCTCGGAAACACACCGCGTGCGGCGCGAACTTAAACGAGCTCTATCCATCTGCACTGCATGTCACATTGTCAAAGCGACAACCCACTAGGGATTTACCTTTGCTTTACGGGGAAGGTAGTACGACACATGTTATCGATGAGCTCTTCCCACTGCACAGTAAGCTAAGAAAAGAAAATAAAACCGTACATACTCCGTACTCCGCACCTTGATAATATGTAACAGGGGAGATGTGGCTCGACGTCTGGAGGACGGACGGAAGAAAAGACAATGCTGACTCCGGGAAATCGGAAAGGAACAGTCTTAAAGATAAACTTTACCGTTCGGGATCAGCTCCTGCAACAATCCGTTGCGGAATCGTCCAAGACGCCCTCAGATCAGCGCTCATTGCGCCAGTATGTCGTCTATGCCCCGTTCTCCGTATACATGCCTTTGTCTCTGGCGCGTTGTGAAGGCGTCGAGCGCGCAATCGGGATCGATCAAGTGCGGAGTAGCGGACGAACCGTTCCCCAGTCCTCCGTATTCCATGCAATTAGCTCCCGCCATGCATATCTTTCAGCTGGCAGCTCCATTCTTGGCCATCCGAATACATAACCAGTTACGATGTGGTGGGCATCGAGGATTAGCGTTGGGCCGTTACTCCTATCAAGTCTCGCAGCCACGACGTTGGAGGCCAGACAAACCGCTGGACGCAGCGCAGGAGCATCGGCGCAAAGCCAAGATTGCGGGTTATTGCGATCATCATCCGGAATAAGAAAATCAGCGCGTTCTCACAGTTACGATCTAACGGGGCTCGTATCTTTACTCGTTTTCTCCGTCTGCCCAGCGCGGACGGCGGGGATGTCCACTTCGGTTATGATCCGTTACACGAACCCACGCGCCTGGTTCCTTCGTTACGATCCTCGTAGTGAGCCGCAGTCCATTTCTGTAGCATAGCTTCATTCTTAGGGTCGTGATACGGCTCTTTCTGGCCTGGTCAGAGCTCGAAGCCCCCTTTCTCCGACGACGACGCCAACAAACTAGGCCGGATCCGGAGCAGGGTTTAATCACGTGGATGCTATTCATAGCTTGGGTTTGGCGCTAACTGCGCCACAGATCCGTTGGTGCCACTGCTAAGCCCGGCCGCTCGAAGGACCACCGCCTCACCTGTGGCGCAGGGACACTCTTGGCTGGGTGCGTTCCGGTGCTTTTCGCCTGCATCAGCTGAAAGACGCAGCAATCCACTAGCGCACGGTGGGTCATCTTGTCACGCAAATGACGAATGAAAAGGCTAGGCTGTGGCTAGGGATGACGAAAAGCCACTGATTGCTCGTATGATACGCCTCGATTACACCATATACGGGCATTGTTGTGTATTGCCGGCTGGAACCTTCAGCTGCTGTGAACAGTCACGGTACACCAGTTACGGCCGGAGGAACGAAGCAGATGATATAAAAGCGGGGGGTTCACCCCTCCTTCGCTCCAAGAATCATCTTAACTTTGCCTCCAAGCAATATTTCGGGAAACTCTCCATATCCACCTCGAGATCGAACAATATCAAATTCGTACTCTTCAATTAACTCTCGATCTCCATTTCTACTCTTACAGTCCAAAGCAAACCACCTTTTCACAATGTCGGGCCCGTACGATCAGTATAACCAAGGCTACAACCAGGGCGGTTACGGCCAGCAACAAGGGTACCCTCAGCAGCCATACAACCAGGGTTATCCTCCCCAGCAAAATTATCCTCAAGGCCAGCAAGGCTATGACCAACAACAATATGGCGGATATCCCCAACAGCAACAGTATGGCCAGTATCCTCAGGACCAAGGCTACCAACAAGGACAGCCCCAGTCGCATCAGTCGGAGCAATACGGTCAACAGTAAGTTAACAATGGCTCTTTCATGATGAGAAGTGAGATGTTAACGGTGAGACATAGATACGACCAGCAGGGTGGCGCTCCCGGTGGAGCTCAAGATGGTGAACGTGGTATCGGAGGCGCGATCACTGGCGGAATTGCTGGCGGCTACGCTGGGTCCAAAGCGAACCACGGATTCATTGGCACAATTGCTGGTGCCGTTATCGGAAGCCTTGCGGAGGATAAACTAAAGAAGCACGGTAAAGAGAGCCATGGCCACGGCGGAAGCAGCGGCGGAAGCCAGTTCGGTGGCGCCGCCAGCAGCCTTGGGTCACTCTTTGGCAAGAAGTAGAAGGATGTTTGATGGACCGTGTTGATATCGTTGCTTTCCTTTGTTAACCGTGCATATATGCTATTATACTTTGACGGGTGCCTCGTTTGTCGCATTCAGCTCATGATTGGGTGTTAATCTGCACTTTTTTTCTCTCACTTTTAATGAATTATGGATTATCAGTTTGAACAGAAGGCAGGCATTTAGCACGTCCATTGGTCTTTGTTTCGATCGCCCTGTAGGGCTGAGGGGTAAAGAAGCCGATCGTGTGCAAGACAGAATTCCACAGCAATCCGGAAGGAATCGGCTGCATGTCGACGGGGCAGGGGCAAGGGAGAGGATCATGTGATATATGCCAAGGAACTACTTATGTAATAAATGGAGTATGACAAATCCGGTTAGCGCGTTCCTTAGCTTCCCGATCTCTGGTTAGGACGGGAAGAATATCAAATTGATTCGGACCTGGTGATCTCTCCTCATGACCGATTCCGCAACCATCCCACCATGATAATAAGACAATTATGTAGACGGCAGGGTGAGCCACTGAATCCAATCGAATGCCATGTTGGCGCATCAACTACCACAGGGAACTAATTGCATTCAAATTCAGGCCGAGCACTGTTCGGTGCTGTCCGCCCGTCTTTTCAATCCCGCTACCATTCGACAGAAACAGAGACAGTGGCTCAGATTTCCCAGTCTACGGACCCAATTCAAGCAGTACAACCTAAGGCATCGGCAGAAGAGCAGCCCGCTCTCTCTGAACAGTTCCGAAATCTAACGGCGCGGCGTAGGTGCCATGGGTCCCCGAAGCTGCTCCTTTCCCATGTGTCTGTGTAACTGACAGCATATTTCTGGTTTTAGGCGTTCGATTCAACGAACTTGGCTCACAGGTCAAGAGCGCTTATGAACCTGAAAATTTACTGCGCAGCCCCCCAGGACCTTCTGACATTACCCTTGAACTCCTTCTAGCCTCCCAATCTCACCTCGGCCACGCCACTTCCCTCTGGAACCCCCGAAACTCGAGCTACATCTTCGGTATCCGTGATGGGATTCACATCATTTCTCTTGAAGTCACCGCCGCATATCTGCGACGAGCGGCAAAAGTCGTCGAGGAGGTAGCCAGGCGCGGAGGATTGATCTTATTTGTTGGCACCAGAAAGGGCCAGCGGCGAGCAGTGGTGCGCGCGGCAGAATTGGCTCAGGGATATCACGTGTTTGAGCGCTGGGTTCCCGGAAGCATCACGAACGGCCAGCAGATCCTGGGCCACTGTGAGCTGAAGGTGGTAGACGAGTTCGACAACGAGTTGCCTAGATACAAGGAGAATGTCTCAGAACAGCCAGTTTTGAGGCCGGATCTGGTTGTCTGCTTGAATCCAATAGAGAACGAGCCGTTGTTGACGGAGTGCCGGGCGTATAATATCCCAACCATTGGCATTATAGATACAGATGCCGATGCCTCGATGGTTACATATCCTATTCCAGCAAATGACGATAGTTTGCGATCTGTCGCTGTCATTGCGGGTGTCTTGGGCAGAGCTGGCGAAGCAGGACAGAAGGCGAGATTACAGCAATCACGGACGGGCAAGTTGCCGTATGAGCGCGTGTCAATGAAGAAGCTCATGCCGGACTCAGAGGGATCCAGTTGAAGGAGTTGTATAGGGAATTATGAGCAGACATGTATAACAGTGTCCTTTCTATGTATGTTTTAGGTTGAGTTTATGGTGTGTGTTCATAGGCTTGTGTTTTCGGTATCTTCTTGGTATCCTATATGCTATGATAGACTACTTCGTATGATCATTATTCCCATTTCAGGATTGGCCGGCTAAGCCAGAGTTTCGAGCATGCAGACTAGGATCTATACCAGACCTAAATGTTGAAGATCTATTATTATATATACATGAGCCTCTAGGCGAAATAGAGATGTTGAGAAACCATTTAATCCGCAAGGTATCATACCAACCCATGTCGTGCTCTAAAGGAAAGGACGGAAAACGCAGAGCGAAGTATTTTATAACCAGCAAAAAACACCCAGAACTTTTTTTCTTGCTAGTAAAACAGCCAATGAGTTTAGCCAAGGGCTCTCATGGTCAATTCGACACTATATCCATATGTTAGCTCTCATCAGGTCGGTCAGGTGGAAGCAAAAGTTAGCTCAAACTTACACAGCAAAAGTACCAGCAGACACAGGCATTGCCCTGAGCAATGTCGGGCCGATTCCTTTCCAGAATCCTCCCAGCCCTTCTGCAACATATGTCTTCTTGAAGCAGTCAATCATGCCCTTGTACTTTTGTTGGGCCCCAAATCCATCGCTCTGCATTTTACTCTTCACAACATCGAACGGGTAGCTGGAGAGCCACAGGGCTTCACCAGCTATACCGCCGTATCCCGCAACCTTGACACTCGAGATTTCATCACGTTTGACCTGGTTACGCTTGGCTTCCCAGTTCATCATATATTCAAATGCAAGGAACCACACGCCGTAAGCTTGTGCTTCTCTGTAGACCGTGACCGCCTGGCCTCTGTACAAACCACGAAGAACACCCTCATGGGCGGAGAGTTTTTTAATGCAATCCAAGGGACCGCTGTAAAGACGGTCTGCACCGTGAGGTTGGGTTTGAAGGCGGATACGGACATGTTCGATGGGACCGGATATCACGGAATTGGTGACACCGGCGAAGGCTCCGGCGAGGTAGTATTGCGGGTATGAAGGCGCTGTGGGATGCCCTCGTTTTGCGTTGAAGTCTTCAATGCGGCGGCGCGCTTCGTGGAATGCTCCGAATTGGACACTAACCTAGGAGAGAAGAAGGTCGAGATTAGGTCAAGCTCAACCGAGCAGCGGCACATTGGTCGACGCTCGACGTACACAAGCACCAATACCAATCAATGGAGTTAAAGTTCCTTTATAAAAGGCCAGTGGGCCTTCCTTGGATAGAATCTTGGTGGCACAATCCAGTGCGCTTGAGTATTGCGTTGTGGTCTGCAATCTGACTTTGACGATATCTGTCCGATGTCAACATCAGACCGTTGTTCCCGTCCATTGGAATTAAATGATCAACACGAACCGAAAGGCTGGCCAAGCAGCACCTGCGCGATACCTCCTGCAGCTCCCGCGGACAGATCTTTGACTGTCCGCAACGCTCCCTGATCCTCGTGCCCTTTGATCTCGGCCTCCATTGCGCTGGGAATTCAGCCCCTCTTCGTAATTGAGAATTATTTGTTTTGTTCTAGATGAACTGTAAAATTGACAGTCAATTCAGCGCATGGACCTTGCGACGAGCTTGCAGAAAGGCTCGATACAGATGAATCAGAGTGGAAAAAAGTCTTCTACCCCCGGCCGAGATGGAATTCCGCCCGGTGCGGAGAACGAGAGACATTCGCTCGCGCTGAGCGCCGAGAGAATATGGGGAAGCTAAATCTGATTGGTCGGAGCCACTGCACATTGCCCCACCTGAGCCGATTACGTGATTCCCGGCGAAATTATCGGTCCGAAATAATTTTCAAGGCGCGACTCCTTCCTAATCGAGTAAAGGCTTCTGGTTTTCGAGCAGCTCAGATCCAATGTAGGGCTTGTCCGACTCTGTCAGTATGCGGAGGTCTGCTTTGAAGGTATGTGCTTCAGTTCCATGTCCGCTGGTGTGTGCGACTCGCTAAGCTCAATTGTACTAGGCGCTACCATGCAATTGTTGCCGTCTTCGATCCCATGCCCGCTCAGCTGCGTGGATCCCAAGCAGTCTGTACTTCCGACCACAAACTAGACAGTTTAGCTCCGCTGTCGCTCTTTTAAATGGAGACAATAATGGCGTGACCAGTCCCGCAGCCGCTGGTGCAACGCCGGCGAGCGCAGTGTCACCGAAACCCACGAGTCCCAAATTTGGCTTCGGGGGTGGATGGGGGAAACCTACCTTTCGGTCTGGAAGCCAGCTCACGGTTGATGAGATGAATCAAAGAGAGCGAGTTCTTGCTCAGCGCAAGCTGGAAACTGCGCGGATTCCTCCCAAACCTGCCGAGAACTGGGGTAAACAGACGAACCAAGCACATGTCAAGCAATCTACCCAAACAACGCCCAATGCCAACCGTTTTAGAATTATATGGGGAGGCTCTAAACGTGAACGTGATTCACCTTTGGCAACTACGGATAGCCCACCGCGAACGGACGGTTTTGGGCGCGAAAGGAGACCTCCAGAAGAATCCAAGCCTGCGACTGATTCCGGCCGTGCTTATAACAGACCTGGCTCTAATACGGGATTCGTATCGTTTATGCCTCAGCGGGGCACAGGAGACTCTATTGGCGTCCATAAGGGCCCTGCAACGGGATCGTCTGAGCGAACCGCATCGAAATCGAGCTCTGTTGCTGAACGTGAAGCGAGATTTCGGGACAACGGAAGTGATACATGGGGATTTACTAGGTTTCGAAAGATTCTCCCCGAACCTTCGGATATGCCCACCCCTGGGGAGACGGGACCACAGGTGCCACGTCGTGAAGCGCCTCCGCCCTCTAAGCAGCAAGACGTAGCCATCTCGTCGCCACACAATCAAGATTTGAGTTCCTCTGCAGAAAAACGCCAGATATCAGGGGTTGAAACCGATATACCGAGTGCCGTACAAATTGGTGCTGCCGAAGGAGCCTCGCGCGCTCCTAGGCAGCAGAAAAAGAAGGACAGATGGAAGTCAACAAAAGAGCTTGAGGCTAAGGAACAAGAGTTTTTTGCTACTTCTCGCCGGTTTGGTTATGATTTGGATGAAGAGTTTGATGTTGAGGATGACGGTGGTGCAGGACGGGCCCGCCGTCGGCGGAAGGAGCGTAAGAAAGAGAAGGAAGCACAGCGGCGCGCACAAAAGGATAACAACACTCCTACCCCTATATATCTCCCAGAATTCATAAGCGTTGCCAACCTTGCCAATGCATTGTCAGTGCGACCTTCGACGTTCTTGGAATCGTTGCAAGAGCTTGGTTTTGAGGAAGCGACTTTCGATCACGTCCTTGATGCCGAAACAGCCGGTCTTATTGCTGCTGAATACAACTATGAACCTATATTTGAGACTAATGACAATGATTTGGTGGCTCAGCCCATTCCAGAGGACACGTCGCATTGGCCGTCACGACCTCCCGTTGTTACGATCATGGGACACGTTGATCATGGCAAGACTACAATTTTGGACTGGCTGCGAAAATCTTCTGTTGCAGCGTCAGAGCATGGAGGAATTACCCAGCATATCGGCGCATTCTCTGTGATGATGCCTTCAGGCAAGCAGATCACTTTCTTAGACACCCCAGGTCACGCAGCCTTCCTTGAAATGCGAAAACGTGGTGCAGATGTTACCGATATCGTTATCCTTGTTGTCGCCGCAGACGATAGCGTCAAGCCTCAAACCATCGAAGCTATCAAGCATGCTAAACAAGCAAATGTCCCAATGATCGTGGCAATAAATAAAGTTGACAAGGACAATGTCAATATCGAAAGAGTGAAACAAGACCTTGCTCGACACAATGTGAGCGTTGAAGACTATGGTGGAGATGTACAAGCCGTGTGTGTTAGTGGCAAAACAGGACAAGGCATGCTGGAATTGGAAGAAGCAGCAGTAACGCTGTCCGAAATGCTTGATCTTCGAGCTGACCATGAAAACAATGTTGAAGGTTGGGTTATCGAGGCAACTACCAAGCCGGGAGGAAGGGTGGCCACGGTACTAGTCCGGCGAGGCACTCTCAGACCTGGCGATGTCATTGTTGCTGGAACTGCATGGGCTCGAATCCGTACCTTAAAGAATGAAGCTGGTGTAGAAGTCAAGGATGCCCCGCCAGGAACCCCCGTCGAGGTAGATGGCTGGAGAGAACAACCACTGGCTGGGAATGAAGTTCTTCAAGCTACAAGTGAGCAAATAGCAAAGGATGTTGTCCAGCTAAGACTTGAGAAGGAAGAAAATAAACAGCTGAGTGGCGATATGGAAGCCATCAACGAAGCCCGCCGCGAACGCCGTCAACGAGCAGCGGGGGCATCGCAAGAAGAATCGAGTGACGAACTTGCGGGGGTCTCAGATGATAGTGCGACATCTGGTTCAAAGGGTATCCCTTTCATCATTAAATCTGATGTCTCGGGTTCTGCTGAAGCTATAGTCAATTCTGTCTCCGCCATTGGAAATAACGAGGTCTACGCCAATGTCCTGCGTTCTACCGTTGGCCAAGTATCAGAGTTTGATATTGAGCATGCCGCTGCTGCAAACGCACACATTATATCATTCAATCAAGTCGTTGATCCACAACAATCTCGGCTTGCAGAATCCAAAGGCGTCAAGATTCTGGATCATAGAGTCATATACGAGTTGATTGATGACGTTAAGGCGAAACTGAGCGAACATTTACCTCCCAACCTAGTACAGCGTGTATCTGGAGAAGCAGAAATTGGCCAGATTTTTGAGATTACGCTTAAGGGACGACTAAAAACCTCGATCGCGGGATGCAAGGTAAAAAATGGTGTGATTACACGTGCACACAAGATCCGAGTATTCCGGGGCAAAAATAAGGATGTTGTTTATGATGGTCAGTACCAACTCCTCTCCAGGGCGGTAAGCCATGTGCTTTGAACCTATCCTTACGTGACCATAGGAACTATCTCGTCTCTTAAAAATGTAAAGAAGGATGTGACCGAAATGCGGAAGGGCACAGAGTGCGGTATGGCATTTGAGAACTGGACCGAATTCCAAGTGGGCGATCAAGTCCAGACATACGAGGAGATACGTGAGAAGAGACATCTTTGATCAACTCCTATCTCAGCAATGCATAGAAGGGCTAGACAAAACGTTTGGATACAATGCATGGTAGCATTATCCTCCCCGGTTCCTATTGAACCTTTTTTTCCCTGCTTTCTTTTTGGATTTTCTTATCCGTCAGGTCTCTCCTCTTCGCCGCTGCTAGGACTGTCATGCATTGGGAACCCACGGATACTTAAAAGATATCGCTTTATACCTGTACTTATAGATATGGAACGGAAGGGCTGGCATATGGTTTGGCATCTAATGTGTTGAGAAATTTGTATAAATATTCTACGCAAACTGCCAGGCAGCAGGGAAGTAGTACAAAATCACAAAGCATTGAGATTGAAAACGGTGTCATACGGAGACCATCATTAGAATATACTAGAAAAAGGGTCTGAGTCAGGCAGGAAAATTTTCAATTTCAAACACTGGGTTTTCCTTCAAGGACAATTATGTCGAACTCGAGCTGGACAAAACCATACGACTCTATGCACGCAGTCTAGAGAAAGCACAAGACAAATAACTAGACATGGGGTGTCATGCAAATATGAAGGTTCGGGTCTTCATATCCATCATGCCAAAAGGCCCCCTCACTAGCGACTCATGTTTAATGACAAACAAGAAAAGACGAAGAAGAGCAGTAGGACCTGGAAGAACTGAAGATAGAAATCGAGACAATCATGTCGAAAGTAACAGAGTGATTCTTAAAAGTGTTCACCTCTGCTGTATGCCGGGTCAGTACTAAGGGTCCTTCGAGAGTTGGTCAATATTTTCTTCGCCGTCAAGATTGGTTTCGGGGAGGTTGAAACGCACTGCTTTCTTCTTTCTGCCTCGCCCTTTGCCGGCTTTTGCAGCTGGGGATGCGGCAGGCTGCACGACAGTGTTGTGGCATGTAGCTGTCCCCTCCTCCTGGGCCAAAGCCACTGCCTTTGCGGCTGCTTTTTCGGCTGCTTTTTCAGCTGCTTTACGTCGCCGTGTTTCCCAGGCTTTCTTAACCCGCTCCTGTGTTTTTGTCTGGTCTCGGTCGCCCGCAGAGGTGGCTCGACTCCCCATTTGGAGCTCTGGGTCGACGCCATTGGGTTCTGCATTCATCGGCTCTCGGTCTTTCTCAGACTCTTCGGTAGTAGTGCCTAGAGTAACTCTAGGCTTTTTAAGCGCCACTTTAGGTTTCTTCTTCGACGGAGCTTTCATCCTAGTGGCCTTTTGGTTCTTGGGGGTGCTTGCAGTAGCTGTTGTTTTACGTGCCTTGCGTGCGGGCTGCGCTGGTCTCGGAGTGGTCTTCCTGGATGTCCCAGGAATGACACCTATTTCTGAAATGGTTTTTCCTGATACATGGGGATGGACAGGCCCACCCTCAATGCTAGGAATTAGTGTTTCTGCCGGAGTGGCTTTGTAGGCTTCGGCTCGTTCCTCAGATTCAGGCTGCGCTATCGGTGGTGTATCGGATGCCGAGGAGGGCTGGTTGTCGATTGTTCCGTCATCATCGTTAGAGCTTGAGCTGGAAATTGAACTAACTCCTTCAGCTGTAGTCTCCGCCTGTGGGCTGTTAGACATCTCTCGATCCGAGCAGGCAGGAGAGCTTTCGGGGCTTTCGAAAACGCATTCTTCAATAAGAGATTCATCCGGCTTCAACCGCGCAATCGACTCTTTGCTGAGATGGTGCTGGTCGCGCTGCCCCAGCCAGTAAATATCAAACGTGTCCGATTGCAATACCTATAAATATTAGTGGAGCCATATAACACATGCACAACTCAGCTTTTCAAGGAGATTGAAGGAAAAGGTAGCCTTACCAATGCGTACCACGAAACGCGATATGCTGACGGAAGAGAAGATTTCTCGATTTCTTTCAGAATTTGCATTTCAATCTGCGCCCGAGAAATCTTGTGGCGTCTTCCTCTGGTGATATAATCAGTAACAACGCGGTTTGCATGGCTCAGGTATATCTGGTGGAAGAAGTTCGTCTGTGAGTTTGTCAAGAAAAAGGGGAGATTAGTTAGCTTGCATGGAATATCATCTGTTTGCGAGGAGTTGTGAAAACAGACCATTTTGAAAATCTCAGCAAACAGCCTTGGTGCGAGTAGCGATAACAAGCCCTCAGAACTGGATCCTGTGGAATAACAAGAACAATTAGGGGTTGACTGCAAATGAAACTACAAAGGAGTTGCAAGAGAGGATGTATAAATGCGATCAGGCAATTTTTTAATGAAGAAGACAGAATGACCACAGCCTGGACTGGGAAAAGAATGTCATAAAAACCAGCCTGAAAGAAGAAAATGAGTAATGAAATTGGTATCACAGGGAACGCGAAAGCAAATTTTGCAATGAAAGGTAGGGGCTAGGACTGTGATAACACAAGGCTTTGAATAGCGGTAAAAACTGTTTGTTTTGTTTTGGTAGCAAGTAGAATCACCACTATGCGTATGTTGACTCTAGAATGTGTTCTTAGTGAATACATTGTACTCATGGGTATCCACGGAAGTGAGCTGAAAATATTCATTCAAGAATTGAATGGCCCGTGAATAGGAAAAAGGAGAAGGGTACTTGAGTGCCAAAAGGAGCTGATAGCACCATTCACACCAACCGGCCAAGCAGGAAGGATGCTGACTATTGAGCAGATACAAGCAAAAATGAGACATAGAAGAGAGAGAAATAACTGTACAAGATTATGAGTAATGCATTCTCATACTAGTCATCAAATAAATAATAGCACACTAGGGGATTGATGATGAAGAGAAATAGATGGATCTCTGTGGATATCATCATTTTAGGGAGTGCAATATTTTTTCAAGCTATCTTTGTCAAAATCCAGTGGACACCATTGATATACTAAAAAACAAGTAAAGATCATATCAAGACATTGTTAACAATCATCAGTATGACGCCAGCATCAGCGTGATTGCCATATTAAATTGACATTTAATGTGACAGATGTTGAAAGGTGTGAACATAGAGTCGAACTTTTAGAGAATTGTAGGAAGGCTCCAAAGGAGAATATTCTTAGGCCTTTTTAATATTGTGTTCAGGAAAAAAAAAAATCTGTATACATGGGGTATAAAATAGTCGCATTTCAAACTGGAAGAAATTAGAGATAGAAACAATACGCAATTCATGGGTCGATGGGTATAAGTGTGATTGGCCCAGACTCTGGCTGGCTTTGTGTCGTGGTGACGGGTATTATACTAATCTGTGGGGGTGGTGGGGCGGATGTGGGTGCAGAACCCAGTGGGATGTCCGATTTAGGTGAGGCACTGGGGGGATTTGGGGGTATCGAAGGGGTCGAGGGAGAAGATAAGGAGGAAGTTGTACTTGTGGTAGGCGAAGGAGATGGAGTTCCCGACATGGTGAACAATGTGACATTGGAAAGGTGCATCGTTGTACTGTCTGCACTCTCGGGAGGGTCGGACCCGGGGAAGCTGATTGTTATAGGTACGTTGGGTGGAGGAGCAGGGCTTGAAGTCGATGAGCTAAGACATGGCCGTTTTGTGACAGTCGTGCGGACGAAGGTGGTGGAAAATGCACCAGTTCCCGTAATTGACGGACGAGTGCCATTCTTTCCAGCGATCGATGAAAGCATCGGTCTGTGGGTTGATTCCACTTCGGGAGAAGCCGTCCCATCGCTGATCGAGATGATTGCTGGATAACCCGTCGCTCCAACGCCGCCAGATCCACGGATTCCAGACGTCGTTAGAAAAGCCGTCGATTGCGTTGTTGGGGAGCAAAGAACCACTCTCGGAGCTCCGCTTCCACCAGAATCCACAAACTCCAAGCAGACGGTAGCCTTCGCATCACTGCCACGAGTGGTTGAGGGAACCGAAGGAGGAGGGATTGTTAGAGTCACCACAACTGAATTAATGACAGATACTTGGGTTGGGGTGGAGGTCGTGCAATTTCTAAAGCCCGCGACACCATGCAGCCGAGGATTCCAAGGGAGACGACGTGTTGGGCTGCAAGAAGATGACGATATTAACGCCAATAGAACTGTGACCAAATCTTTTACGCGCATCCTGAAGAGAAACGAAAATGCCAACAGGGCCGTGAGCTGTGATGAAGAACGAAGAAAGGCTTCTGAGATCAAATACAACAATCATAATAGATCTATCATGATCTGCAGAAGAAAAAAAAACAAATAAGAAGAGAAAACATGAAGAATAAAAGACAGATTCTTCAAAGGAAAAAAAAAAAAACAAAAAATGGAATAAAAGCTGCAAAACGGGGCCCTTTGACCATCGGGGGGGGGATACCTGATGGTTTCAGGTTATTTTGATACATTCCAACTGCGCGTCTAATCCAGCATGCTCCTCGAATGTTTCAATAGAAGGTGTTTCACAGCATGCGATGGGTAGCAGTTCATCTTGGCCTGGCGCGTAGGTCATCCCTTCGAGGTCGCAGAGTTGAAGTCGTCGCAAAGTGATGGCAGTCGTTGGTGAAAAGTCGATTTCATTGGCCGGCGGCATTTAGCGCGAACCTAAAATTGAAACAAAATGCACTAGCCAAAAGCAGAATAGCCTCTTATCGGCTGCCGTATGCGTACTATATACATGAAGGCACTCCGTACGGAGCAGTGGATGTTGTTATTCCGTACTCCGTACATCTATGTGGTCTTATTGTGCCTCAGTTGCTAGGTCAAGCGGACGCGATACCTAAACAATAGCAAAAGAAATTAAAAACTATGGTATATATAGATAATCCAACTTTACCAGGGTATGTGTGCACCCAAGTCTCCCAATCATATATACTGTCGAAGTGAAATTTACTAACGCGCGTGTCCTCAAAAATTACCCCGTATATGCAAAAAAAGAAAGTCTTTTAAGCAGAAACTTTGAAGCTGGGACCAGTTCCCTTGAATCCACGAATCTTTCCATCCCAACCTTTCGCATCTCCATAGTATATCATGCGGTACGTGCCGCTCTGGACCCTCGGAGAACCGATAGAGTAATAGTCGTTCTCAATTTCCCATTCGATGGTAACCGCACTGGAGCTGAGTCCAGGGCTCTTGCGTCCCCAGTGGTACACCAAATTCCAGTCCGAATCGTCACGGACAACCTCCCATGTGTTCCGGCCGGTCTGCCGTTCAACTGCGGCAAAAGTGCCTTCAAGTCGGAAGTTATTCCGTGGATTGGCAGCCACGAACTTAGTTTTAACGATATCACCGGGCCGGAACACCTGGTCTGAAGATGGGCCCGAAAGCACGTCTCCGAAGTTCTTCTGGATCGGTGGTGTATCCAGGACGACGGGAAGGATAAAAGACATCGATCGATTGGTGTTGACCTCCGGGCTCGGGCCTGGTGGAACAGGTGGCAAAGAGGTCGCGTCTTCTGCAAGATTGGGGAGATAAGTGAGGGTTAGATTTACATGAGCCGCAAGCGTATGTGGGCCGTGGAGAGTCGAGGCACCCTCGTAGCGTTGGATGCCGTATTCCTCTTCAGTGGTGATATAATGGACATAAGTGTTTGCTGGGCCGCCCAAGAGAACGATGGGTTCTGAGATATCGAGAGCATGTTTGGCGGTTTTCGCCACAGCTTCCCTCCAGCGACGACCAGCCATCGTCGAGACTTCCCCGGAAGATACGATGATGACCACCTGACCAACGCGAAGAAGCTGGATGTCCACAATATTTGGCGTCCATTGGTAAGGGAAGTGAAGCTCGCCCACGTCCAGGAGAATTTTCTTCGGGCTGTGGCACTCCTTCTGCTGTTTAGTTGGCGGATGGAGAAGGTCTCTGGCAAAGTTCCAGAGCGGATTTCTCGTGCTTGGAGAGTCTGTGCCATTTTGGGTGAAATCAAAGTACCCCGGCCCGTCGGTAGTTCCACCAGCAAAAGCAAAACCAAGGGCAGCAGAGCAAGAGGTCAATTCTCTGCTCTTGTTGAATGGTGAGATGAACTTGTATTTGGAAAAGTCTTGGAATGTGTGGAACGAAGAGACCGCAGACGATCCCCGGACGGTCTGCCGATCCATCTTACCATAAAGATTCAGGGCAGCGAAAAACTGGCGCCGACCAATTTCGAAGCAGCTCTTTGAACCCTCGTCCTTCTCACGGAAGAAGGGCCCACGTCCGTGGCATAGAACCGCTTTTCCATTGCATGTACTGTCCTCCTATAAAGACGGATTAGTATGCTGAGATGGGGGCAGAACTGTTTTTTCTTGGGAATACATACGAATTTGCAGGGAAGCCCAGTGTCCTCGCAAAATGCGCCCTCGATGTTTGGCGAGACATCTCCAACGGATGATTGAGAAAATCCAGCAACGAAGTCTTCCGCAAACCTGTGATCATGTCGCACGCCGCGTTCGAAGAGATAGGAAGCGACTCCCTTGTTATCACCTGATACAAGAGTATTGTTTCGGTACAGCGAGGTCCCGTGCACCGAATAGAACGTGAGCACGCCAATTGTCTTGTCGTCTTCTTCACGGTCAAATCTTAGGAGCGAGAATTGCTTTTCGGTGTCTCCATTATATCGAGCCCGCTCCTCCTCTGGATTTGCGAGATATGCGAACGGACTTCTGTTGATACTGGTATTGTCAAGCTGGCCCGACGCGAAGCTCAGTCGCCCAGGGGCCAAGGATTCATGTGCTCTTTTGATTGAGAGGATCGTGCCATCAACGATGGCTTGATAGCTCTCTTTGTTGAACCCGTTAGTGCTTATCTGCGGGATCAATGAGTTCAACCACGCTCCAGGGCCTGCATGCGAGTGTGTTCCAGTCAGGGCCAGGTTGTGCTGACCATAGTGGACGTACTCGCCGCCAAGCTCGGCAAGGCCCTTCAGGATTCCGTCCCTGATGGCTGTATCACCAGCGACGGTATCCAAGACGATATACACAAATCTATTTTCTGGATTCTCGCGGCTTCCAACGATGAAAGCGCGGGAATAGAGCCTCTGGCGAAGTCCGGAGCCGACTTGCTCCGAATTCGCATAGCCCATGAAGATGATCTCGGCGACAGGCCTGCGTCTCTGCAATAAGCATACTGGGGGAACAAAACAGCGTTAATTTCCTGGCTGTTTGCAGCGATCGACGTACCCAGTAATGTCGGCCTTTCCCACGCCGAGTAGATACACATCGTCATCGATGTCACCATACCGTGCCCTGCCAGCCCTTTGGCTCGAGGGGAACCTGAGCCATCTTCGCTGCTGCGAGACACCGGGGTTGGAGAGGAGTTGGATCACAAAAAAGGTTCCAAGAAAAAAGCTGACAAGGCATGTAATTATGCCGAGGCGGGCCATCGTGTAACTCCGTCACGATCGGTAGGCAGGCATCCGGAGAAGACCGCCGAGAACTCGAGACCCTTAATCTGGCAGTCCAGATACAGGATCAATACGGGCCACCCACAAGATTTTGTAGTCGGCCCATTCGGCTAGAGAAAAGGGGCATATCCATCACAACCATCGCCATGTGAAGATGCACAGGGGTAGTTGTGGGGATCGCCAGCCGGAGAGGAGGCTAAATCCCCAGACCCCCAGAGTCATGACATCGCGCGCAGGCTTTGACTTTGCGCTAGCAGCAAGCTCCCCCGCTGGCGGAGAATGTGCTGCCGCCAACTTCGGGAAGTTTGAATAAAAACAGCCGCTGCTAATTGGCCGGTGCCGGTCAGGGGACGATGCGGCGTGCCGTGTAGTGCGCTAGTCCCGATGCGGCTAGGGCAGCAGTGCTCATTAGATAAGCGCGTCGAGCTTTGCCCGTTCGCCGTCCGGATGACATGCAGCAGCAGCTCCATCCGATGTCTGGTGTCGCTGTTCACGAGATACATATATTCATGTCGATTGTGCGCCTGACACCTAGTGTCCAATAGTCTGCAAAGCTAGACATGTCGCTAATCAACGAGTTCCATGATTCCCTGCCGTGTAGGATCCTTCCATCCACTCACTCACTCACCCACCTTTTTCTGCTATCCCGGTGGATATCTATGCTAATAAACCTCATCCTCTTAAGACATCGACGGTGAAATTGCTCCAGAAGTCCGCACCGAAATAGACAAGCTTATCGCTGCCGAATTACCAGCCGGGCACCGAACCACCCTCCACCCTTCGATTCCAACGCTCCCAGAACCAAAGTTCTCAGCCCTCATCCAGAGCGAGCTTGAGCGCAAGGCCAACAGCCGCCCCATAACTGGCGGAGTAGACCTGTCCAGATACGAAGCCCCAGAAGCCCCCTCGACCGAAGGGAAGGACCAAGCAACCATCCTGAGCGATTGGCGCGAGACTCTACGAAAAGCGTACACTGCTAGCTCACATCTAACTGCAAGACAAGAGAATCTCTCTCTGCTGGAGGCCCATGGAAAAAATGCGTGGTTGATTGGTAATGCGCAGCTAGAGGAGATTCTACGACAGGTCGAGAAGGAAATACAGGAGACGAAGCAGGCTACGGATGAGGTGAATAGGGAGAGGAAGATGAGACAGGAGACCGCGAGGGGCGAGATCGAGGGCTTAGAGGATGCCTGGAAACGCGGTGTTAGCGGAATAATTAACGTGGAGCTCGCCGCAGAGAAATTGAGGATGGAGATCCTGGAAAAAAGGCGGCAGCAGGCAAGGTCTTGAAATGATGTTCGAACCTTCCATTATTTTACACACACAGTTTTCAGGCGTGGTCCAACCGATGCTGGTATCCAGGGAGCCGTTCTCTATACCAAGGCCACGTCAGGGTTGAAATCTATAGCCTTCGGGTCGGTGGCTGACGTGCCGATGTTGCTTCCCCTTTTTGAAGGAACGCTCCGTGCAAGCTGCAGCCAGTTACAGGGAGTATATCTTCTGTCGTGGCCCAAACACCGGCAGCAAGGTTAGATAGTTACACTTCTACCAAGTCGGTGGGTGGTGCTAGTTTGAGCAAGAGGTTTGTCTCACAAGGGTATTGTCATTCCCACAGCATTACCTGTGGCCATTGCTGCTCTGAAAGACCCGGGTACCTTAACCTACGTTTAAAAAGGAAATACTACTCTTCACAGTAGGTTAGTGAAATGGAATAGAAATGCATTCTTCAGTGTGTGTTACCTTGTGGCTACAATGCGGATCTGTCTAGTCCAATCCACAAAACTGGATTCGAAAATCTTTGTGCGACAAAAAATTCCGAAACAAGGTAGGAAGTTTCCCAATATAAGGATGCGATCTGCAAGAAAATGATGTCATTGAAGGAGAGTGATAGGGGGTGTTATAACAATGCTAGCATGAAGTTGACCTGATTTCTGGTTGAAAGAAAATTCCCCTTCTGAGTTGGGTTTCCTGTAGACATCTACCTTCCGGTAGCTATATGCCATGATGTACGGAGTACTCCGTAGTAGTTCTATATTTTGAACTCTTCGAGCTGGCTCATACTCTGAGATTGGCCTTGTTCATTCAACATCCAGTCTTGCATACCCAAAAACATTCATTGTTTCTGTATACAGGAAATTAGAAAATGCCAGATCAGAATTTTGTGACCACCAAAATTTCTTTATTGGTTAATTAACCATATTATAGGGCCCTAGCTGCTACCTGAGTCCAGGGGAACTTCAGAATTTCTCACAGCTGAGCAAAGCAGTCAGCCAAAAGTTAAACTGGGATGACAAATCAGCCCAACTGGCGTTAGAAAATTGGTAAATCATATCATTTCTTCGATGGGGATGAAGAAAGTGTCCCCTGAAATTCGCATCCGAAGTTTTTGCAAAGGGCCAGTTAAATAAATACATACAGATCTTACACTGATGTATGAACTTGATTTTTGCTGAAACAGTGCCACTGCATTCCCTTTTTTCTTTTCTTTTTTGCAAAGACTTACCCTGAGTGGCAACCTTCTTCGAGACAACTCTTGTTTATCAAATTTATCAATAGTGTCGACAGACGCTTTGGGGTTTCATAAAGTGAGGTACCTAAGTGAAATGTTAAAGGCATGAATCGAGCATTTTATAGCCAAGATGTATTTCGACATCTCCTAGAAAAGGGCCGTATCGGATACCGGTTTCTATCCTCTTTGGCTATGCACATGGTATCATCAAAATATACGCCTTTCTAACACTTCATGTGGTATGACTTGGAAGATTCTTATATGCTGTATCTTTGCTAATGCAAATGTAGACTACCTGGGGAGGTCGAGATGTTGATGCTGATGCTCAGCGGAAAAAGGATGACCCGAGCCAAGGAATCTCAGGCCCCACAAGCGAAGGAGATCCAGAAGACACAACAGTATCTCGGTCCCAGGAAGGCCAGGCAGTATGGAGGCACTACATCACCACTTTTCAGGTAGGTCGCCGCTAGGTATTTTCATGGTGGAATTGCTAACCATTTTTTACTCCAATCTGTAGCTCCTTGCACCTATTTTCTGGCCAGAAGGCATCTCTTAATGGCTTCACCTCCTCAGCATTGGGGTGTGCATACTGGTGGATCGTGCCTTGAATGTCATGATGCCGTTTCAGACTGGCCAGGCTATCCAGAATATGATTAGCCGATCTGACAGTATGTGCTTCTCACTACCATTGTGAATTTTTTTTCTAGGTAACTAAGAACGCTCAGGACCGTCATCAGGGGAGATCCTGACCGTGGCCATCCCCTATCTACTTGAGCATTTGGCTGTGACTCCGAGAATCCAGCAATACTGTTGGTGGACCCTGGAGAAAACCTGGTCCCAAGAGATAAAAGTGAGGACATACAAGAAAATCATGGGCCTTTCGGGCGATTTCCACGAGTGCGAATCGAATGATCTATTGGACCTAATGTCACGACTTGGTGGATTTGAGTGTCTGATGGCCAACATTTCGTTCCCAATGACAGCGTTTTTGGATCTGATACTCCCTATCCATGCGCTCTACCTTCACTTCGGTATCAGGTTGGCAGTATACTACTCGATAACCGCTGCCGCCTACTTATGGTATTCCCATGGGTTCCTCTCTCAGCGGGAAACGCAGCAAAAACACGCACTGGAAAATGAACAGCAGGAAAGCCTGATTGTACGGGAATCCGTCGCAAATTGGCCGATGGTAGCCTCTTTCAACAGGTTCTTGCATGACCTGGACCGGGTCTCCAAGGCAATAGACGCCAGTCTAGAATCCAGGTTACGACAAAGGCTTCTTTTTTCCAGTGCACGTATTATACAGAACGCCATTATCCTAATTGCAGTGGCTATGGCGGCAGCTAGCCAGCAAGACAAACAGGCTAAGGATCTTGTCATAATATGGACCTTGTGGACTCAATTATCGAACGTCCTTGGGTGTTTAACGGATGGGGCCGATGGATTAAAGCAGATTGCCGTGAGGTTAGAGCCAGTTATTGAGGTTCTAAAGCGGAAACCGGCAGTGCTTGCTCGAAAAGACGCCCCCATTTTAACTGTCGTCAATGGAGACATCGAATTTAAAGAAGTCACTTTCTCCTATGGAGGACAGCCGGTTCTTAATGGTATCTCATTCTGTCTCCGTGGTGGTCAAACCACTGCAATTGTCGGGGCATCTGGAAGTGGAAAGTCAACGATCTTGAAACTTCTTCTACGTTTTTTCGACCCACAGTCAGGCTCTATCTATGTCCAAGGCCACAACATTTCGGAGATTTGTCTGGGAAGCTTTCGAGATAGTGTCGCTGTTGTCCATCAGGATCCGAAATTTATTACTGGCAGTGTTAGGGAGAACATCGCATTTGCCAAGGACGACGTGAATGATCATGAGATAGAGGCTGCCTGCAAAGCAGCAGAAATCCATGATTATTTAATGGGGTGCAAAGGGTGTTTTGACACAAAAATCCAGGGAATGTCAGGAGGGCAGCGGCAACGTATCGCAATCGCTCGTGGACTAGTCCGAGATGCGCCAATTTTGTGTCTGGATGAGCCTACCAGTCATCTCGACAACGACACAGCAGCGAAAATCTGGGGGAATCTTGAAGCACACGCCAACGGGAAAACAGTGGTCATGGTTACGCACCAGCTTCACTTGGCAAAAGATGCAGACCATATCATCGTTATGCATAATGGCGAAGTTGTTGAGCAAGGGACACATGCAATTCTCATGGAGCAAAAAGGTCGCTACTACAAGATGTGGAAGCCCACAAAGGAGTAACACCCTTTCCTATACCCAACCCATCTCCTTTGATTAATGGGTGATAATACCAGGCTCACAAGAACCTCCTCTTAGGATCTCCAGCACATATAGAGGAAAAAGGGCAGCCAAATGCGGCATTACTAGTTTGTTTCTTCGGGCCTGGATCCTGCTGCGGAGCTCGTCTCTATTCGCCTCGGGCAAACCCCCAGGCCTAATATTGCAGATTTCCTTCGGTGTATAGTTTCAGATTCAGTTATTCTGTATAATATTCCTCAAAAGTGGTCAAAACAAGGGCCTTTCGTTGTGCAAGATCCCTCTTGTCGCCCGGAGTCGTGCGTCCACTGCTTCGATGAGACACCAGCCCAAAAGGGAATTCAGGTCACGTGATGACCAACTGGCTCCACTCAACACATCCTCTCGACATCCTCTCGACATCATCTCGACATCATCTCGACATCGAAGGAAATCGACGGTACTATCAACACCAGATGCATGCTGTGGTTTTCTATAGGTAGAACCTCCAGGACGGGGGCTTAATCTGTACCTAGACCGCGCGAGGGCTTCGGCCGACTAGATATGTCAGGGAGCGGAATAGCCGCTGCGCTGGCACGCCTGATACCCCTAGGGAGGTTTTGTGGGCGTGGCGGCGAGCCGATCCGTTCGGCCGGTTACGTGTCTCCAGGCGTTAAAATATTCATCATCATCATCATCATCATCAACTGCTTGATGAAATCTCCATGGATTTGACGTTGCATAGGACGGAGGAACAACACTTGCCGACGATCTGAGAGACTAACTGCAGTTAAAGGCTGATACGCCACTCGGCGCTGGAGCCACGCCTTAGTAGGCTTTCTTGTGGGCAACAATTCTATGGATATCCACCGCATTTGGAACCCCTTGAAGGACGAAATTCTACCGCTACAATCCTGAGGGAGTTTTCCTGCAGCGCAGCTGCTCATGAGGCACTGGAGGTTCTTGTTCTGCATGACTATATCAAGAATACGATTGAAGATCAACTGCAGAAAATGCAGGTCATAGATCTATTCAAGAATGTGAAACCGGTGAATTCAGCAAACGAAGCTCCTGTGCAGCAAGAACGCAGCACCAAATAGCGGTCCGCAGCTTAGGCTGCCTCCTATCCCTGAGACTTCCCACGATCGAGAAGCTGATGCGCAGCTAATGCAAGCCCTCAAACAAATCGTCAATACCAATCCTCTCAAGTCACAACATACCCGAGATGTTTGGAATGCGGCCACAAGCTCCTGCATGCGGTGGAGGAATCAGCAGACCTAGATTCCGCTCATACAGAGATCTTGGCGACCTTGGCGTCTTGGTGGTTCTCTGGTCTGTACCACCAAGGTGTGTACCATCTGGTCTAAGTCTACATACAACGAAAATACGACCGAAAACCGAAGTCGGGCGGTAGAAAAAACACCACCTCCAGCTCAGAACAAATTTTTGAAAACGCGTAATATTTTATCATCTTTATAGTATACTTGTATCCTCTTTGGCAATTACCTCAATTGACGCGTGAAAACGCGTTCAATTCGTGGTAATGGCGCCGAAGTGGCCACAGGTAAACAATGGCCCGGAACATATCAACGAGCACGCCACGTACCTTCGAGAAGCATGCCATCAATTGCAGGCCGTCGACAAAGGCAGACAGAACCAAATACCATGGAATATTGTGCAGAAGTACCTCGAATCCACTATTGCGCTCGCGGGCAAGGTGCTCCAGCAGCCTGCCTTGAGCGAGATCCTCCACCACGCCCAAGATGCTGCGAAATGTACACAGATCATCCAGAAAGATGTCTCGATCATCAAAAACTCCGTTGGTTTCGGCACCGCTCCACTTAACACAACCAACTTCAGTGGAGGCAGAGCAGCCACAACCTGGGCACAGGTGGCCGTCAAAGGCCCCATGCCACCTCCGCCGGTCCCCAGCAGCACGCATACCATCAAGACCCAACCCATTGTCACGGCATACAAAGACCGAGCGATAACAGTCAGACTCAAAGACCATGGAATCGCCCAACGCTTCCGGGCGCTCTCCGCGGTCAAGATAAGACAGCAAGTAGAGACATCCATCCGAAACCACACGGCCACCAAGTCGGTGGCGGTGGTGGCCGCCCACCAGCTTAAGAGCGGCGACATACAGGTCTTTACCTCCTCTACAGCAGGGGCAGCGAAGCTCAAAGAGAACAGACAATGGGTCAGCAGTCTTGGAGAACACGCAGAAGTCATCGTGCCAACCTATGGAGTGATCGCCCACGGCATCTCAACAAGCACCATCAACGTCAAGGACCAGAAAGCAACCATCCAGCAAATACTTGCAGACAACTATACAGTCATCCCCAAGGCAGACATTTCATTTGTGGGATGGCTCACCCGGGAATCTCCCAACAAACGCGCATCCTCAATCGTGGTGGAATTCACAGACCCAGAAATGGCCAACGCCATCATCTATGCAGGGATGGTGTGGGACGGACAGATACACACATGTCAACTATATGACCGCGCCTGCAGAGTCAAGCAATGCTTCCGTTGCTATAATTACGGTCACATCAGCACTCAATGCGACGCAGCCCAAGCATGCGGCTATTGCGCCGAGCTACACGAGACCAAGACCTGCCCACAGAAGGGAGCGGCAAGCTTCACTCCCCGATGCACGGTTTGCAAGGGCGCCCACACAGCATGGAGCAATTCCTGCCCAGCAAGAAAGAAAGAGATGGGAAGAATCGAGCAAGCCAAGCAGGTCCGGAACACCTACTGGCCAATGGTCCCCAAAGCCAAACCCCTGGACAAATCCCCGGAGAACAACAACCCACGGAAAAGAGCTCGTCAAGCACGCGAGCCCACCCCCGACAAAATTATCACAATAGAGAGCCCCCGCGAAGAATATCCGGACCACGAGGCCATCACGCAAGAACCTGCACAGGCGCCAGGGAGAAGTTCTCTCCAAGAACTACAGACGCCCCAGGACACCACGCCCGTGCAGGCGCTTAACCATATGGCTTATTGGGCCCTGTGGCTGCGAAGTCACTGGATTCTTCCATGGGTGCACAGGTCTTCAATTGTATAACTACATTCTTTGAGTCTTACAAGAGCAAATGCTTATAAAGCCTAATTTATATTTAAAGTCATCTCTGGCTTTACTGATAATCTTCTATGAGTGGCCTGGGGAAGCTTGTGGCCTGGGGAAGCTTGTGACTGGGGGAAGCTTGTGACCTGGGGAAGCTTGTGGTTAAAGAAAGCTTGTGGCCTGGGGAGGCTTGTGGTCTGGGGAAGCTTGTGGCCTGGGGAAGCTTGTGGCCTGGGGAAGCTTGTGGCCAGGGGAAGCTCGTGGCCTGGGGACGTTCGTGGCCTGGGGAGGCTTGTGGCCTGGGGAAGCTCGTGGCCGAAGGAAGCTCGTGGCCTGGGGAGGCTTGTGGCCTGGGGAAGCTTGTGGCCTGGGGAAGCTCGTGGCCTGGGGAGGCTTGTGGCCTTTCTGGAGCGCGCTCCATTACTGGCTTGCAAAGTTATTCTGGTGTGCGCTCCAACCCTGACTTGCAACCTCTTTCATTATCATTTCAGCCGTGCAGAGTTGTATAATGATAATGTCATATTCTTAACTTGCTGGCTCAATTCACAGGACAATCAATGACATGAATAAGATGGAAGTGTGGGAAGCGGCTGGTCCAATTCCCAAGATGTTAGCTATAAATCCCATGAGACAAAGAAAAAGAAGTCCCAGCAAAGTAATTTCAAAGATAGATCTTGTGCACTGAAGCAATGTGGTCCTTGAAATGTATGACACCCTGTACATCCTCTGAACAAGAGGGGTGAGGGCATGGAAAACTATCATCTGAGGCCAAGTAGTGAAGATGGCAATCATGCATATGCCTTCTGAGGTCGAGAGAACGAGTAGTTCCTGGCCTTATAGGCCAATTGATCGTTTCCAAGGCAGAAGAGGCACTGGGTCGGTGGACAAATAAGAGGATATGTATCGCTGTTCATCAGATCAGGCTCCTCCTTTATTAGTCCACAAGCATTTTTCCTATAGGAAACCCCCTGAAGGTGACACAGAGAAGTCCAATCACTGATAGCTTGTACCTGATGACTGTGATCATGCTTCTCATTGACACAGCTACCAAGAGACTGAAAGAGACTCTGTGCAAGGCGGGCTCGCTCAACAAAGGCAAACTGAACCTCACTGGCATCTTTTATCTTGAGATGATCAGCAACAGATAATCCCAAGAGCTGATGTTCTATCTCAATAGTATCAATTGTGGCAAAAAAGTGTTCCCGAGTTTCCTCTCGTGCCTGTCGCCTTAGGAGTCGTCTCTCGCTCTGAATGGTCTTCTCAAGGGCTCTATGTTGGGCATGGAGATCAGTACCTTGTGCTTTTGACACAGACCCAGATTCTAGTTTCATAGCGCTGACTAGATCCTGCCTCTGCCGGTTGAGCTCCACTAGATAGGGATCCTGTTCAATGGCGGCTTTCTGCTCATCAGTCAGGTCTTTTGGAACTCTTGGGTCTTGAGTCAAGCTCATCATTCCCACAGCACGGATGACAGAGTCACGGGCTGGACATTCAAGATATGCAGATTGCACATCCCACTTTACCTTTTGGGAGATGTAGTAACGTTCAAAAATGTCAGCTCGAGAATGTCCTAACACCTGGTTCCGTTCAGCCGCCGTTGCAACGTCTATTCTTGATAATGAGCATTCAACAAATCGTATATATGGGCATCAACCCACCATCCACTGCATTTGCTGTGCCTCTCCTGATACAATAAGGGGTCAAAGGATCTTCAAGCCCGGCATTGCGCCCCAGCCGCTGCAGGTACTGATTGAACACATCGTATGGCAATGCACGGTCAGGGGAGACACGAATTCCCTGCGCGGTGCGGATGGTACGCCGAAATACTGGTACATCAAGTATATCAGGTTTCCATCTTAACTGCAAGCTGTTCCGGTAAGGAGGAACCGCAATCTGGAAAATATCATTGGAAGAGTTGATCCCCTGGGCCTCAAATGCCTGGTCTGCGAGAGCTAGCGCAAGAAAATGAGAAATTGCACACAGAGCCAAGTTGTCATCCCGCTCATGGAATATATATGTTGTCCTACAACCATGTTAGTGTCAAGCGATGCACATCATCCAAATCCAGGAAAAATGGTGCCTCACGGCTGTGACTTATTTCTCTTTCCTTTCATATACATCAAGGTAACCTCCATCACTAGGACATGGCGGTCTGGCTGTTCTGGATTGGGGATGACACGGAGTACCACATCCCTGTATCGCAGCGCATCATTAGAGCCTCGAGCACAACCACTCTCAATGAGAGCTCCTGGACGAGAGGAGGTATAGGCAGTCATTAACATCAGTAGTAGTAATTGGACCGTGTATCGCTCGTGTGGCACTGGAGATGTGTCCAAGCACCAGTGATAGTGAAGGATGGAGAGTAGATCTTCAACACTCATGGTAGGCTTGGATTTGACAGACAAGTCCAGGTTATACTCATCCGTCAATGGTCCCAAAATAAACTACAAAGATAATAAAACCAGGTCAGAACATAGCCAACATGGTAAATTAATGCAGCTTACCTCGCTGATTTGCTCACCAACAATATCATCCAGTTTTTCACCAGTAACTTGCTTATAGAGCAGCCTGAGAAACTTCCACTCAACCCATATTGTGCTTTGTTTTCTGATATTAAACTCACTTAATCGCCAATCAATATATAATCGAAAATTTTCCGCAGTACATGCTGAGAGATAGGAGTAACTGGATACTCCCATAAAAGTACAATACCTAAAATGATGTTAGCTGAATAACATAGATTTTTGTTGCAAAACTCACCGGTCCCAGAAGCGCTGAACGCGGTTGATGGCCATGGTTGTAGCATAAGCATATTTCTTCCTTATGGTCAGAGATTTGGCAACCCTGGCAGCATCTCTCGAGTAGTAATCCTCTGGACGAAGAAGTGGAATCTTTTTCTCCCGATAATGTGATCTCTTTAAGTTGGCTGTGCGCTGGCAAGGTTGGATAGTCATCATATGCGCTTGAACAAAAGCTGGCAGCAAAAGAGTGAGTGATATGAGGTCAGAAGGAAAGAATTGCACCACAGCTTGAAGAGGACAGCTCAGGACAGCAGAGAGCCTGGAACTTATACGTCTGGGAAGAAGGGGCCCGCGGCCACGTTTAAGAACAGAAGCCAAAATGGACCCTCTGCCAAAACAGGAGCGCAGCCACACGACCACCAAAAGTCGTGGCCTTTGACTTGAAAATCAAGGTGCTTGTGGGTGCAGGTATGGGTGACTGGCCTTCTAACTGGGCGCATGTTTGGCAGCTATACTGTAGTACATTTCCATCTTTCTCTTTTGGTCTTTTCGTGTTTCTGGCTTTCTGGCTTTCGTCGACTTTGGCGCAGCCGGAAAAATGTACTTTGCAATCGCTTATGTAATATTGCCCATGTCAGTGGATCAGCCGTGAAGGGGCGTCTCGCTGCTCTCACTAGCAAGCGAGCCATTAAGACCATTGGAAGAAATGTTGGGATTGATTGAGCTACCTAGTGCTCCTGAGGGCGAGGAGAGCTATGACGAGAATACAGGGCAGAGGATACCTACTGAGGCCACACATTTCCTCGCTATGGTGGGCGCTAATCCTAAAGAGGCTAGATCATTAGGATTAGGGGGAATCACGTGAATCCTGTCTTGAGACACCAGGCACAAGACAGAGAATCAGTTCAGACTCTCTTATGCTGCTTGCCATAGGTATTGCTCTGTCGTGTGTTTACTGTCTTGTGATAAACGTTTCCATGAGTCAGCTGTCACAACTCTTGGCAAGAAACGAGACTATATCAGTCCTGGGAATTTCTTCCCATTCAAATACTGATATCAGACTATTGCGCTATCTCATTGAGTGCGCGGCCTGGGACACTGGATACAAGCCATGCTTTGCATAATTTCCCAGGCAACTCAGGCTCCCTGGGGCTGTGAGAAATTCGTTCTTTGGACAGGGCCATGAATTCCACAGGAACTTCACCGATTCCGCAGGGCACAGGATACTACTGAGGCAGCATCCCAGCTGATGCCACAACGCCAATTCCACAGGGCAAATGATGCTTTTGAGGCAAGCCACTTGTTACCAGATTAGGGCCTTTCCTCTTAGGGCAAGCATGCCCTCAGGGCATCGCAGTCCATGAGGCTTTTTTTGCCCTAGAACCCTAAATGCACTGGGGCAGGCCACAATTTCAGCATCAAAGCTGATGTTGTCTCAGGGTGTTCCTGATCTTGCGGCATGAACATTCTTAGGGCGCCTTCTGGACTGTGGCAAGCCTCGCTTGAGCCACAAACTTCTTATTCCTCAAGGCAACCCAACGCCCCAGCACACGCAATCCCCCTGAGGCAACTCTTCGCCCCGGGGACACCGCCAAACCATCAATTTTCAATTGTCTCCCAAGGCAACTTGTCGCCCTAAGGGCAACCACTTATTTCTCAAAGCCAAGAATTCAATATTCCCCTGAGGGAGTCACATTTTCAGTTCAAGCTATAAAACTCAAGATTTCCCTGAGGCAGTCACATACTTCAGTTGAAGCTATAGACTTAAGATTCCCCTGAACCAAGCTCCTTGGGCAATTCAGGAGTACATGAGGAACAAGCCGAGCAGAGAAACCCAGGAATAGCTCAAGCTGAGCAATGAGTTCTTAATTGTACAAGGATGCATCACACCCCTCACAGCAGCAATGAAAGGGGTATTAAGCATATGCCAGGGATATGGTGACAATATAGTGAAAGGGGGCGTTGATGAGATGGCGGAGATAGCGATGTTTGCAGTGTTTGCTTTGCTTGCTAACGGCAGCATGGAGCGGGTACAAATGACTGGGCACAGCGCAACCAGAATGAGACCTTTCTACGCAGATTATGGTTGGCAGCTGCTGGTTGCCTCGTTTCCTTCAAGCATCTGGTTCCAGTCGCACGCCCTCGCTGTTTGCATCTTCTGAACATCCATCCCCTGACGCCGTAGGATGGGCTAAACCAAAGAACGTTATTTGGAATGAGTGACATGCTTCTACCCTTTTATTCCACCTTATAGGAATCTAAAGAATGTGGATGCGAATAGCCAAGGTTGCAAAAGGAGTTAACTCTCAGTCTCGTCAGCAATTCCCACAGTTCGCCTCGTTATCTTGCTGCAACAGGAAACTTTTGATCTTCTGTAACCCCTGTTTGTCCCCTTCAACCGTCCCCGCTATTTCCCTCTCTACCCAGCCTCGAGTGTATCCACCTCCGAAGTCAATAATCCATATATCATCGTTTGTATCAACAAGAACATTGGCAGGCTTCACATCACCCCAGATAACCCCAGCCAGATGTAAACGATCCAAGGAGGCTGCCAGTTGGTCTGCCCACTTCTGTCTTAAATTCATCGGCGGGTCGGCCCGCAACGCACATTCCAATGTCGTGTACTGACAATCAATCCAAGACAGTAACATCCCAATACAATGGCAGCCTTCATCATCCAGGACCACACCACACAGACGAGGGATCTGCACCTCCATGTCGAGCAATTTTTCGATGCGCTTATAGCTTTGAAGCTCACGGAGAGCCCCTCTCTTCTCACCCGCGCCCCACTGCTTAAAGAAGCAGACTGTCTGCCCATCCACAAGTACTTTCTTCGGGGTTTCGAAGTATATATCTTTGGGTCGATCGACGCAGATCTGTATTTGCCGCGGATGAAACGAGGAGCATACTGTGCGGAGTTCATAACCATCCAGATTGAACCCCAATTGGCTTGCTGGCGCAGCTTTGTAATACAGGGAAGGAACGAGTGCGTTATTGACGGCCAAGAGTAAGTAGTGAAAAGTTTCCGGGTAAAGATAGTCGTGGAGAGTGGGTACATGTGCTTCCTCCCAAGCTGGTTCTGTGTCTTGCAGTACTGGAAGAAATGGTTCTAGTGCCCAGTCCTGAAAATCGTCGATTGTTAAATCATCCAGATCACCGTCCGCTTCAGTTTCAGCAAATCGAAGGTATTTTTCGAGAATGTCTGGAGAGTCATGGAAATAGTCTGGCGATAGAAAAATGTGGAAACATTTCCCTTTGCAACGCACGATCATCTTCAACTCCTTTTTGTTTGGGTCGAACCAACATTCCGCAACGGACAACAGTGGCCACGGACTCATGATGACGAGTGGTCCCGTTGGACAAAGAGAAATACAAGACACTGGACAAATCGAATGGGTAGTGCGGAGAGACTGAATGAGTGTAAGTATGACCAATTTCTGCCTTAAACTGTAGGGAGAAACTGCCTGGGTGAAAGCGTAGAGGAGTGCTGCTGTGCTGTGATGCTATGGAAGGCGGAGTTGAGTCGGCCTCAGCGCTTCACCATCATGACGGATCAAAGTGGGGCCGGCCCAAGCGAAATTCTTGGCGACTGGCATTGACCACGGGCGGATCAACCCCACCCACTCTCGATCACGCTTGCCCGCTCACCAGAGCACTTGCATGAGCGCCTTGTCAGGGGCGATAGGTTGGGTCTAGGATGGAGGGGGATGAAAGGCGCGAAAATCCATGTAATATATTGATTTTGTGTCTCTTTTTTCTCTAATCTAACAATAGCATCAAATGGATGGTTGCGACGTTCGACAGTAACTATGCCTCGATACGCGCTGGAGTACTTTTCGCTTCGAGTCCTGCAGACCTATAATTTCTGTTAATAGTGGTTTACCTGTCTGATTTGGCGGTAACTGAAACTCGCAAAGTCTCACCTCTCTCGAACCGCCAGGGGGCGTTATATTTAGTGCTGCAGTTGTCATCTGCCTCCAGTCTACGTTGAACCTGATGAAGGCCTATAAATTGCTGCTTCGCGACCGAAAATGAATGGAGTGCAAAGACATACCCATTTTTACCTTACTATATCCAATCCTTGGAGATAACGCTGCTTTTTTTTCTCCGCAATGTGCTATAGATACTGTAAGCAGTATCGGTGCGGGCACAAAAAATGGGCGGCACCTCAGTACTGCAAGTACGCCACTACCAGCAACATTACTGGTCGTCGATCGATGTGCAATGAAGGACGAACTACCGAGACAGTCGCGGACGCTGACCTCTGCGGGCAAGATGCGTGCTTCATCGAGGATCTCAAGCGCTCTGGTTGGACGTGTTGCCAGTGCGGTGAAAAGGAAAATAGGATGGACGGCTGCCTTGGACCACCAACTGGGGTAATGTCGTGCACTCATTTGGTCTGTACTCAGTGCCGATATTCATAAATCATGACGTATTTTGTCGTTCGACTAAGTATGTTTTTTATCACCTAAGCATTTCCGACTCTGCTGACGGGAACTTGCCAGTAGCACGCGATCGGGAAACGGCAGATCTGCGACTACAGCCATCCGAAAGTCAGGCTCGGCGCTGGGAGCGCATGTTTGTTGTAGAGATCAATGGCAGCACGCAGGTTAATTTTCTGCTCCTCACTGGTAGATGGATTGTCAATCATGGTTTGGAGCTCTCTGATCCGAGAATCAACATTGAACTCGATTGAAACCGGACACGCTGGAAGTGGGGTAAATCTAGGCATGGTTGCAGAGTTGCGTTCCTTGCTGAAGGACAATGAAAGGGTGCTGGCAGAAGTGAGACGGCGGCAGGCAGACGAGCATACATGTGTTGGGAGGTCAGCCTTGGCACCTGCCAAGCCTACTCCCCTACTACTGTGGGCTCCTGGTGAGCCCATGAACCCCCCCCCCCCCCCCCGGGCGGGGCTGGCACGAGTGCCGCGTTGATTCGAAGATCGATCGGGCTTTCTACCATATACAAGAGAGCTTCCCTCCCCGTCCTCCACGAACAGATATTAACGCCTCCCGGTCATCTTCGCTATGTGTCGACAGTACGGTGCCTCCAGTAGTTAAATCGTCAGTCCTTACCCACCTACGACTCCCCTTCGCCTTGAACTTTCGTTCTACGCCCTGCGGCCTTTGCCACCTTTATGCACAGTGGACGATGAAGAAACTTGCACCCGGAGCAACATACGCATCGGAGATTTGGTGGCCACAAACTACGAAAATCAGAGACGACTCTCTACACCCTGGACAGTGATGAGTGGATAGAAAGGTGTGTTACAAGCGCTTTGTTATTGCAGGCTTGACCTGCCGCTATATATGAGCCGTGAGGAGCAACACGTGAAGGTGGTGTGGCATGATGAGGAATGCCTTGTTCAAGGCTCCGCTGCTGATATTCCCCCGACATCGGGTGAAGCATTCAGCATGCTCGTCGATTTCTGTCTGCTCCATGAACTCGGTACCCAGTTTCTGGCTTCTTTCGCGGCAGCATTAACATTTCCGACACACAACCACTACAAAGTCGCTATTGAACTCCCAGTTCCTGACAATGCTAAAGATTCGACCGGACCGCCTCCAGCACAACAAGATGCGACAGACGAATGGGCCGTCCTAAATGAGCAGCTGCCTTATTACGTGACCTTGAGCTGCAATTACGCTGTCGTGATTTCAAGCCTCTGCGGCTCATTTTGGGAACCCAGCGTTCCTTGCAACCTAGTTAGTGCTTGGTTGCACCCTGTCTTGAAAGAAATACCACGGAAACGTGAGATCGTCGATAGTCCGGGACGATACACTGAGTTTCTCGCGCTTATATGTGGTTTTCGTCGTCCACCCATCTTTGCACTCTGGATCGGAGCTGCGATTAGTGGACTGGTACCTAAGATTCTCAATTTAGTTGGTGGTGGCACACCCCCCCTGGATCCCAACGGGTTTCCGTGGACCGGTTGTCCTCAGTCTTTCATGGACCTGGCAGGCTCAGGACCGTACTTCGGACAACACTCTGGAGAAAGCATGGTTGAAAGAGTGGATGCCTGGCGTCTTCTCTACCTTCCGGTGGTCGAACCTGATGGTCTATATTACGAGAGCTTCCCATTCTCGCCCTGGCAACCTGTTGGCTTTACTAAAGATAAAAATTGTGTTTTCCGAGTTCGGGCCCACGAATCCTGTCCGAGACACCGCCTTGTGTATGAATATTGGACGTGGCAGTTGCCGAATGGTTCCACTATCCACGACAATGGCCTCCAATCCTCTGAACCCCGAAGCTATCCAGAAACAGAGCTTCTCCCTCCAAGAAGCGTTGATCCTGTCATACCACTTTCAGATCAAGAGGCGTCCCGCGAGGAAGCAACAGAAGTGTTCCGATGGGTTTTGGCAAACCACGAAGGCAAGCCTGCTTCGGAGCCCATTTACTATGATGACTGGATAGCAGACTGCGACTACAGTGATGGCTCGTTGCAAGAAAGTGCTGCCGGTGACACTTGCAGCATGCCGGATACCAGCAACCAGGGCCGACTCTCGATTGTGGAATGGATGGATGGTGTTGAGATTTCTTAAGATTTTTTTTTTAAAAAACTCAGTAGTTTCCCCAGATCTTAATCTATAATCCACCTCACTGAACACCCTGGAGCGCGACATGCTTTAACTTTATGCTCATTATTTGCGTGTTGGCAGTAGTTGTTCTTGCAGAAACCCGATAAGCCAGAGGTAGTCATCTTGCTCTGTTTTCACGCGTAATCAGCCTCCCCTCAGCCTCCCCGCTTTTATAAGGCATTTGGTGCAACTTACCTTAGAATGATTTCGGTGATTACGAGGAACTGGGCACTCTCCTACAAGGACACTCAGGAAATGCAAGATCTTGCAAGTGGGTTGAGGGAGGGCGACGGTTTTTCAATCTGCATCCCCGCTGATGCTGCGTCGCATTAAACCATCTGTTCGTTGCCCAAGGAAATCAGGGGGAATCAAGGCTCTTTGTATGCCATTTTGTAGACAATTCCCGCACATTTCTCCCGCAGTTTTGCAACCGCCGGCTTCTGTAGTTATGAGAGGACGTGGCCATTAAGCTCCCGCTTGGGGATGCATGATGCGTTGTCCGTGTTGATTAGACCTTGGGCTGCAATTACGCTGTCGTGATTTCAAGCCTCTGCGGCTCATTTTGGGAACCCAAGACCACAGGATATCCGGCAAATGGGGAACCCAATATGACATACTCGGCGCTTGTACCCCTTACCCCGCTATCTAGCACATCGAAAACCTCACAACCGAGACCTTGGCTCCTCAGGATACTGGCAAGAGCCTATTAGAGTTGGTATCACACCCTATAGCTGGCAGCTGCAGCTGTTTTGGTTGATGCCTTTTTCGCCTGTCACATATGGGGTAGAGAGACCCTGACGCCCGAATGAGAAATGAGAGCCAATCGGCAACCTTTCTTTCCATGCTAGTGGCTTCATTGGTGACTGTAAACAGCCCCCGAAGAAGTGGCTGTTTCCCTGGAGTTCTGCTATTGGATCTTGAGGAGTTGGGCAAGGGGGCCGAGGGTCAAAAAAACAAGGCGCTTAACATTGAGCTCACTGTTGACTGAGAGCTCGGTTTTTTTTTTTTTTTTTTTTTTTTTTTTTTTTTTTTTTTTTTTTGTTTTTTTTTTTTTTGGGGGGGGGGGGTGAAGAATATTATAGAAAGGGTGTGTTAAGAAAAAATGATATGAGTGTTAATAGAAGCGAGATCATAAAGCCTTAACTTCGGGTACAGCTGTCAATAAACATGTTGAATTAAAAAGAATGGAATGTTGAGATGCCACAAGTGAGGCCTGAGGAGGTAAAAGGAACTGAGAAGTGAGTGACATCGCCCTTAAAATACCGGTGATACTGGGTTCCCAATATCAAAGTGCACCGACATGAACGCGAAGAATGCCCTCGATGGCTGATAAATTAAAGCAATTTTTCATTAAATTGAAAAGTATAGATTTTCAACAAGTAGGCCGAGGTCACTGGAGGACAGCAACGGAAAGGAATGAGAAATCAATATATCCGAGGGGCTTCAAGTATCCCCGCCTTGGTCGAAATGCATCGGGAGAAAGAAAGATATAAGGGTAATATATACCCTTTAAATAACTAGAAGGAAGAGGGGGCCTACGACGTAGAATTCCAGCTGCTAATGTAGCTTCGGAGTCCTGCAGCTTAGAATCAACCAGTATATCCCAGCCGCTGGGAATCATATTCCACCATTTTGTTCGGTAGTACTTTGGCTCATAGCCCGAGATATGTCGTGAGCCGCGTTCCGCTTTCTCGCAAAGTCGACATGCCATACATATCATAGAAAGTTCCCCGGATACTATCGTCGTTACCGATGGACATTTCGCCGCGCCCTGACATGCTGTTGCCAGTATCGGGCTCCAACCCCTGCCAGCGGAATATAAGCTCAGCATCAGGTAGCGGGCTCTTGGGACTCTTGACTAAGAGAAGTACGCCTTCACAAATACCTGTGTTAAACTTTCCCCGGATTTTATTATTGTCGAGGTCAGCATGAAGGCGAATGGATAAGGCGCGGGATTTCCTTGGCCATTCTTTGGAGGTTGCTTTACTTGAGATGTCGTATCTTCCAGTGACATGCAAAATATTCTGTCTGGGCTTCAACACTCGAAGTGTCTGACGACCCTGACCATGCTGCTAGTCTCCCCAGGGTATAACCATCCTTGGCTCTTGGTAGTTCGCGTGGATTTTCATCCGCCTCGACATGAGCGGGCGAGGGAAGATTGTTCCATTCGTTAATTATGCCTGCTAGAAAAGGGGAGATAAGACGAGGCCCAAAAACTGGCGAGCCAGAGGACTCGTAGATGCCACCAGGAAAACCCTCAAAACGCCAGCTGATTTCGTAACCATAAAACTTAATTTCGCCAACCGTCAACAGAGACTACAAAATATGGATGGTATTCGGCCGCGCCGCTTAAAGCTGTAGGTTTGATGGAGGCGAGTGGGCGCAGCGTTCGACGGGTAAAACTCCATTCGACAATCCCAGATCGAAAGAGCCCAAGAGTCTATCACAATCCCATGCCAGCATAAGTCTATAGGCTTCACCCCGAGATTCCGCATGGGACTCCTTCACTTTGTACGTTGCGAAGAATGTGTCATTGTGCACCGAATACGGTGACTTCCCATTCCTCACGAAGTCTAGCTAGCTTGGTGAAATTAGCTAGTGGGCTGGTCGCTGCTACCCGTCACTGACGCCGATGTTTCTCTCGTGATGGGTTGCGGTTCCGCGGCCGGGTCAGATGAGTTTTCGCGTTTTCTTTTCGCCATTGTGCGAGAAATTGAACTTTGTAACTCGAAGACTAGACTGATGCGGGGTTAGGTGGTCTGCAGCAAATCCAAGGCCCCGTAGACTGTAGATGTGTGCGTGGTTGGAGAATTTTGACCTTCCGTCGCGACGTCAAATCGCCAGCGCTACGTCTGGGGACGGCATCGCGTGTTGTGCGGTTCGGAGTGGCGCCTGACGGCCCCCGGCTACCACCGAGCCGATGAATATATGGACTACCATGCCACAGAGCTGGGCTCTGCGGAGTTTTAACGGATTCTTAGCTAACTACGGACTGCTCGGGGACACTGTGTTTTCGTACGGTTCACCTCAGCTTGGGGTGATTTACAGGGAGACCCAACAACTTCGCTATAAAAATGCTTTCCCAGTACTCCGTATCGCGAACTTCTTCGCACCACGCGAGCCAAAAGAGGATCTTCTCTAACTGGCCAACAACTTTGTAGACGAGTTAGTGGCTTGGCTAGGTGCTGGTGGTAAGCCTTTTTTTTTGGAGAGCCGAGAGCGTTAACTCCATTTCTTCCTGTGGGCACCGTGTCACCACGGCGGTGTTGGGGACTGGAACGCAGAAAGGAACATGCACCTGAAAGATCTGCGTCCTCCCTGTTCCCATCGATTATCGCGATGCATGACAATCCTGATGTACGGATAAAGTTGTACGGATAGATGAATGTTTTCTTAGCAAGCGGTGCAGGTGGGTGAAGCTGCAACCCGAGTCGTGATGTTTCATCTTCGCGGCGTCCCAATCCCCACAGGTGCAGGGACTGGGGAGTCGTCTTGACCAAAATGTCAGCTCTCGTTGGCTGGCGAATCTTGAAGCATCATGCATGAGTGAACCAATGCGCTGCTGTTGGCTTTCGCGAGGGTGCTTCCCAACCCTTTTGCTCCAAACATACAGAGAAATGCGGACCGTTTTGACGATCGACATTTGTTTGCTATTCATGCACAGATCATGTTGCTTTGGATGAAATAAATCAAAAGAGTATTTAAAAAAAAAGAAAGAGAGAGAGAGAAATATCGCAGCGGCACTGCTGGACTTGTTGGGGGCATCCTCGGGGGGGTGGCAAGTTTACACTGATACATGAACAAACGCTCGGAGAATATTCCCTTTGCGTCCTATGGAGCGATATTTATTCAATCTTTATTCAGAAGATTGAAATCCGCCCTTTTGTTTTCTCTTCCAGGCCGTGTTTCTTTTAATAGCGACTCGTGACAATTGTTTGTCGCTCACCCGATACCCACACCTCGAGGAGTGAGACATGACACACACTCTTTTGCGATACAAAGACCGATTATACCCTAGTGCTGTGCTGCTTCGTTCCCCTCTATTGCTTTTACCCCTGCGTTACATAGGGTGTTCATTCCACCTGTCGCCTTTCGGGTGTCCGCATGCAATAAGGAATTCGTTTCGGGGTCCCACGACCCAAAAGCCGTTACCTTTTTTTGGGGGCAGTCACTGTAATCCGTTGGCCATGACATTTTAACGCCTATCAAAATTTTTTGTGGAGTTTGCCTCAAAGACAACTATGCCTTGGTTAATCACGGTTTTGTGTTTATGGGGCCTCCTCCCCATACGGCCACTTATACCAGCCCTTATAATAATGGCAAATCCCTATGCCTCTTGGAAAAAGTGGAATGAGATCGGGGTTCTAGGTTCCCATGGCAAGGCGTTGACAAAACGAGAAGATAGCCCAACTGACGTTTGCAAGAGATGGTCGCAGCAAACTGCAATTGTCAACGGAACGCTGTACATCTATGGCGGAAGGTCTATCAGCCAGTCAAGCCAGAGTGACAACACTTGGAGTAAGTTTAGAACTTCACCCGGGTAACCTAGGTGTCGATGATTAACATTAGATGGTAGATAATGACTTTCTCACTATTGATCTTGAGAACGATTGGGATATTTCCTCGCCAAAATTGACGGGTTTGACGAAATCTTCAGGCCCTCCTGCTGTAGCCAACGCTTACCTCTGGAACTCTTATACTTCTCTCTTCCTTTACGGTGGAGAATTCTCGGACAATCCTCCGGCGGATCCCGTTGAATTTACTTTATGGGAGTATGATATATTTTCCGAAAAATGGACAGGGCATGAAAACCCAACAACATCCAAGGGCAAAAACTCGGATGATGGCGACAAGCCTGTACAGAGATCAGCCGAAGGAGCTGGCATTACCGTTTCCGAACTCGGAAGAGGCTGGTATTTCGGCGGTCACTTGGATGGATACACGACCAAAGGATGGTCGCAGTCAGTTGCAAGGGTTTATTTAAAGTCGATGATCGAGTATACATTCCCTGGCTTTGGTAATAGCCAAGTCGAAATGGAAGGAAATAGCAAGGTTGCGGGGGCCGATGGAATTTGGCGAAATATTACCGAAGGTGGTCTCCAGGATTCCGCTGGATTCACGGAGCGGGCTGACGGTGTCCTTGTGTACGTACCTGGCTTCGGCGAAGAAGGCATAATAATAGGACTGGGTGGCGGCACAAATGCGACTTTCGTAAGTAGAATTCAGGCTGGTTATTTTACTGCATTGCATGAATTTCATATATTAACAGATGCGGCAAAATTAGACTTCTATGAACGTGATTGACATCTATGATATTGCAAACTCCACTTGGTATAAGCAAGCGACAAGTGGGAAACCTCCGGAGATCCGGGTCAACCCTTGCGCTGTGGCAGCCTCTGCGGCTGACGGTAGCAGCACGCAAGTATATCTTTACGGGGGGCAGAATCTCATACCATATGGCGAGCAAAAGCAATACGACGATATGTGGATCTTAACCATACCTAGTTTCACCTGGATCAAAGTCGATACAGACAATCAATCTGCCCCTCCTGCCAGAGCTGGACACACTTGCAATATCTGGAATTCCCAGATTTTGGTAGTAGGCGGATATGTTGGAGAGGACTTAAGCTGCGACAGCCCTGGGATATATGTTTTTGATGCGTCAGAGTTAAGGTGGCAAACCAAGTACACTGCGTTGGAAGGTGGAAACGATCTGAACCAACAGGACTCGCAGAAAAATAGCAAGGGTGGCTTAAGCGGGAGCTATGGATATAAAGTTCCAGAGCTTGTTCAGTCCGTTATCGGTGGAGACAGCCAGGGAAGAGCGACTGTAACAACACCAGCTGTTCATGTCACTGAAGGACCGATAGCCACGGGAAAGCCGATGACCTATACCGTACCGGATTCGACCCCGACGGGTGGGCCAGGAAATAATACGCAATCGCCCAACAGTAGCGACGGCGGACTCAATGTCGCCGCCATCGCAGCAGGCGTGGTCGCTTGCTGCCTCGCCATTCTCGCAGCGTATCTAGGATTCTGCACATATGTGTACCGCAAGCAGCTCGCACTCTACAAACAACACGTTGCTGCCGCCCAGCGGTCATCGGATGGGAGTCGATACGGTGAAAAGCTGTCCTACCTCTGGCCCCGGGAAAACCTGAGCGCGAACGGGCCGTCAATAGGCGAGTCGAGCAGTGCCCTCACGATGACCCCCGCTGCTGCAGCTGCGCATGCATTTGCCGCAAGCGGGTATTCGCGGAGCGCACAGCCTGGGTCAGCGAATAGCAGCGCGGATGATTTGCTCGCAGGACAGGAGCCGACATTCCTGGGAGTAATGCTTAACCCGAGAAGAAGTTTAAGGGTCATAAACAAAGACTGAGCCCCAATTTTTCTTTCTTTTTCTTTTTCTTTTTCTTTTTTAATTTTTCAGTTGCATGACGACTTGCACGACTCGATGACTCCCGCCAATGGCCCTCTGGACCGTGAAGTTTGTTTGTCTTTGTTTCGATAGTGCTTTGTTCGGCACGATGTACGGTAACTAGATGTCTCCAGCATAATTAACGTTAAGAGATGAGCAGATATGTTTAATATAACAGACCCTGACACAATAAAAATTGCATCCAATTGAAAGCATTCCGCAAAAGACAGCGGAGAAAAAAACAAAGAGAATACAGAATAAAAAAAGAAATGATTTTCCGACACCGGGAATCGAACCCGGGGCTGCTGTGACCTGCTTGAGAGACAGCGATGTTACCTCTACACCATATCGGAGAAGTTCTAATTTCGAGATTAAAAAACACCTTGACATTTTAATTCTGTATTGCTCACGAGGAATATTCGAGACATACGGCGTGCCCTAAGTATTGTACACCGTTTAAGGAGTTTTCAACCGGCAACTCCAGAGTACTCCCTTGCCGTTTTCTAATTAGATGGCCCGAAAGTTAACTAGCCATTTGTTCAGACTCTATAGAGACCGAAGTAACATCCATGGAGTGAACTCAGGACTTCGGTTCTCAGCTCGACCCCTTTAGTCTCTTATCTACTTCTCTAGCTTCAGATAAAACTCTTTCATATTCCCCAACTCTAATTCCGCCGGCAGGAATGATCATTAGTGCCTCAACGTACACCGACGAAGGCTTTTTTCTTCCGCCTCCTGACTTGAGCATCTCATTTTGAAGAACGAGGCTGGGCGCCGGCGACAGGGGCCTCACATAGCCGATAACGTTAATCCAGTTTCCGATGTCAATATCTGAATGGCTGAGAGACTCGAGAAGCAGGTTTACATCGACATCTATTCGAGCCCCCGGCGCTCGACGGGGCCCTTTTCTGTTCGGCGAGGATACACTGTCATTATGCTCAAGGGTGAGGATGCCCTTTGCAATTGTGTACTTCGATACACTTAGGGAATAGTTAGCTGTCAATGTAAAAACCTAGCTTGTATGGGTTTATTCCGCTTTCACGTACCATCCTAGAAAGCGGACCTTTGAACCAACGGGGAGATTAGGTAGCTCGGAGAGGAAGACAAGTCGAGTCGGGAGCGGACCCGGGACGTTTTGGTTCATTCCGAGCCATGTACATAGCCATCAGGTCATAGTACCGTGAGAGCAACGGAGGGCCGAAAGTTTGACCTTGCTCTCGTCGCTGCATCTGTTCCTCGCCCTGGATGCTGGACGACGACCCGGGTGGCGGCGCGATGACTAATATTTCACGTGATCTCCTCCCTGCATTCCCGATGTCATAAGCAATCGAGAATGGGAGGCTTCATGCTGGCGCTCACGCACGAGGCATCCGCATTGCCGCCTTCGCGACCGCACAGTCAACAAGTCCGACCGTCTTTCAAGCTCTACGATACTCATCACCTCTATCAACCCGCGCTTGCTCCACTCTCCTATCCTCCTGTACTCTCATCCTTACTCCCGCTCCTTCAAATATCCCCCCCCCCCCCCCCCCCCCCAAATCCACCCCAGTCCTACCTCGAAACTTTGAGAGACCGCCATAGGAGGCCACGAGCCTACGGGTTCCTCTATTCCCGAGGTCCTCTCTTCATATCGCTCTCGTGTACTCCCGAAATCTCTTATTCACTTTCCTTTCGCAGCTCCTACAGACCTAACAAGATGTGGTCGTGGTTTGGTGGTGCTTCGGCGCAGGCGAAGAAGGATGTGCCTAAAAAGGCCATTCTCGAGCTACGGCAGCAGCTAGAAATGCTGCAGAAAAGAGAGAAGTACTTAGAAGCTCAGATGGCAGAGCAAGATGCTCTTGCTAGGAAATATGTCACTTCAAATAAGAATGGTATGAACCTGTTTTTGCCCTTTTGCAGCTTGGTGGAACATAAATTTATACGGCTCGCTTTTACCGATGGCTGGTGGATTCAGTTGGGAGGGATTTGCTATGCTGTGATGCTAACTCTCAAACTTCTGTCTATATAGCTGCCAAAGCGGCCTTACGAAGGAAAAAAGGCCACGAACGGTACCTTGAACAAACTACAGCCCAAATTATCCAAATGGAACACCACATATACTCCATCGAATCCGCAAATCTTAATCAAGAGACTTTTAATGCAATGAAGAATGCAGGTGCTGCAATGAAACATATTAATAAAGGGCTTACAATCGAAAATGTTGATGCAGTAATGTACGCAGCCTCTTAGACTTCAAACTACGTATTCGATCGATATCTTTTGCTAATAAAATTCTAGGGATGACGTACGCGAACAACATGCAATATCCGAAGAAATCGCAAACGTAATCTCGAGTGCTCCCATGGGCGATACAGTTGACGAATCAGAACTGGAGATAGAGCTTGATGGCCTGGAACAAGAAGCCATCGATGAGCGGATGCTTAAGACGGGAACTGTTCCTGTTGGAGATAGGCTTGATTCTCTACCCGTTGCGGCAAATGGAGAGCGTAAGTTTTCAGAATCCCCCGGCGCCACCTTAGAATGATGCTAATATGCCTCCAAGTCAAAGGCAAGACCAAAGCACAGATCGAAGAAGAGGACGAAGAGGCTGAACTTGAGAAATTGAAAGCTGAAATGGCTATGTAAGGAAGACTATTGTGAAATTGGTCCTCTTCGCATTTTGTATCACCGCCTTGGATTTTGGTGGATTAGTTCTCTCGTCTAATTACCCTGAGAGCTTAGCTGGAAACCTCGCAGCGCCATCTTTTGACCTATATACCTTACCTTTCTCATATATTCCGACTCCCCGCGACTCCTTTTGTTGTATGACCCATGATATATATTTCGCTTCCCTGATCTTCGGTGCATGCTATCCACGCCTCCGTTATGCAGTCATGATTTGCTCTTCGTCCATGGTGTATGGAGTAGTTCTGAGATTGTCTCTATCCTCCGGTTTCCTAGAAGTCCAATTTCCCTTTTGCCAATGCATGAACAAACTTTGTCTTCCGCTAGGCTTTCAAAGCTCATAAATAATGCCCCGTGGGTAACTAGATTCAGACTATATGTAAAGAAACATAAACCAACCCGATTGAGAATCGAATGAAACCACTGTGTGGCAAAGTAGAAATGTTAACAGCATACCCAATAATTGCATGAGAGGGGGGGATTGAAAGTTTCTGCACTTAAACTGCTAGTTACTCCTGTACTCCACAATTCTTAAAGTCGAGGTGTTTTTAAACTGGGCAAACTTCAATGCTGGAGATATGGCGCCCGGGAAAAAGAAAAAAAAAAAAAAAAAAAAGGAGCAGGCCAAGCGGCTGGAAGAGAGATCAATTACATGTCGATTTGGATTCGGAATCTCATGCGGCCATGATCATAGCCCTGCGCTACTATATGAAGGGAAAGGGAGGTAGAAGACAAAAATCAAAAGTAAAAATATATGAAATGAATATGAAAAAGACGTGACAGAAACGCCATGCTCTGGTCTTTGGATATCATAAAACACTTGTGAATGAAAGATGTGTAGACCCGATGCAGGTGGGAGAAACCAGTGAGGAAGTAAAGCACATTGCGACAGTAAATAGAGGGGGAAAATAAAAAACCTATGTACCCAGGTAAAGGATTAAATAATCATAAATCTTCCACGGGACCATCAATCGGCCGTTTTCATTTCACTCATCACGCGTATGCCAAAAAGAGGATTCCTTGCCCGAGCCAACCCGCATCCCGATTTTCCATATATAGCGCCGTTTTTTGTGTGTGTGTGTGTGTGTGTGTGTTTTTTGGGGGGGTGTAAATTAACAGAAAAGAGCCAAAACCCTCCCAAACCATGCCATGCCAAACGAAGAAAAAGAATGAACCTAAAAGAAAGGCGATTTATAGTTTAATCTGACTTTTTTCCCCTTCCCTTGCTGCTCGTTCATTGTCGTGAAATAGATCAGGGCAGAAAGGTATTAATAGAGCAGACAACATAGCCAGCTTGAGGCAAGATACTTAAGGTATCCCTGCTTGGCTCTGGTCTCCCGTCAACTGGCCGATAATTCCGCGAAGAGCATTGATGATTACGGCTTCATCTTTCGGCTCTCCACCAGGGAAAGAACTCTCCTTTGCGCCATTGAGGACGCGATCACGGGCACTCCTTAGAACCTTCTTGATGTACTCCTGATCTTCATAATCTTCCATAAGAACTGCCTCGAAATTATCGATTGCCTGGTTGGCTCGGGAAAGGAATGCCGGGTCTTGGTTAATGAGAGATAACGATGAAATCGGTGAAGTGTTCTGAGGCGGTGGAGGTGGCGCCGGCGGCATGGGATGTAGAGGAACAGCGGGAGGGGGTGGAGGAGGGGCTTGTGGAGGACGCTGGCTGGGATGGGGAACTGCATTGTACGGTTGAGATTGAAATTTTATAATGCTTGGAGCATTATAATTTTGTGGCGGCGGTGCCACTGGCCCCGATGGCGGAGGTTGTCGACGTTGGGGCGGTGGTTGCGGTGGAGCTCGACGATGTCGTGGATGCGGAAAGTGAGGCGGCGGTGGAGTCGAAGAATAGGGTGAGCTGTACACCGGAGATCGTAAGAGAGAAAACGGTCGAGGTAAGTCATGCTCTGGCAATACAGTCTGTGGCAGATGAGGCAGGGTGAAAGGAAACGGGTTGGCTCGGCGGGCAGGTGGAGGTGGAGGGAGAGGTGGAGGAGCCATGGGGGTTGGATGTTGGGTAATTGGCTGATACGGATATTGTGGCGGGGGATGCTGTGCAGGCATGCCGTGGGGAATAGTATACTGCGGAACCGCTGAGGGCGGGAGGAAAGGCTGGTTGTTGTGGTTGGTTATGTCCTGGGGAGGCGGAGATGGACGACGCTTCTTTTCTTTGTCCACTGACGCCCCCGGAATCAGTTTCCATGACCACCCTTTGCCATCTCGTTCAGCGTGCATAAAGAGATGGTTATTGCCGTTCAGATTATGCCGCACACTTGAAGTCCAACCTTCAGTTTCACACCTAAAGCGAAAGTATGGATATTTTAGTTTTAATGCACGATAAATTTGCTTCAGCGTCATGGGAGTTGGAGACTCAGATAGCGCATCGTAGATCAATACGGCGTAATTATATGGTGGTTTCGCTAGTTCTTTGGGCGTGTAAAAGCTTTCTGGAGGGTAGTCAGGTGAAGGTGACCTGGAAGGCTTGCGCTTCTTGACAGGCGCCGGCTTGATAGGCTCTTCTTGTCCTGGCGCAATGTTTCCATCGCCGCCCTCTATGGACTGCACAACCGAATCACCAGGAGCAGAATCAGGTCGTTTCCTTTTTGTATATTTTCGCTTTTCCGGTTTGACTGCGGGTTGGTCTTCAGCTTCCCCGTCTTTCCCGGACTTGGACGCCTTCGATTTGGTCGTTGGAGGCGGCGTCACTCCACCATTGGCTTCACGGCGAGCAGCTAGTTTCTGCTCACGCGCTATCTCTGCCCGCTCACGCTTTGACATGATGCCATCCTTTGGCGGGCGACCAGGGCCACGACGACGAGCAGGCTGAGGAGTCTGACTTTCTTCTGTTGATGGCTTTTGTCCGGATACCGTCACTGTCAGCTTCTTGAGTTTCACTTTACCAGCTTCTTTGTTACGCGCGGAGTCCTCTCCACCAGAATTATCGGCTTCTCCTTCACTCTCGATCTTAGCACTGCCTTCTTCAGGGCGGGAACGGGCGGCTTCATTAGACTCGGGTACTGGCGATTCCATTGCCTCCGAACCGGTCCCTCCGATCGGGACATCTGGGAGTAGAAATCTCACCCTCACTCCACCTATTTGTATAAAATCACCGCTATGAAGAGGGCGGACCTGGCCTGGTGCAAGCCAATCTGCGCCCATAAAGGCACCATTTCTTCCCATTACCTCCATTTCAAATACATTTCCGTGAAAATTGTACGCGATCTTGACATGTTTTCTTGATATACCACGATGAGATGAGGGAACTCCGTTGGCTGAAGCTGGAGGATGTATCGGTATGATTGGACAAGAATCCGGTGTCGGTAGCAAAGCAAGTGTATCTACTCTCTTTGGCTCATTTCCATTCTGTAACGACTCCATGGCGAGGGCATTGTAATCCTTCATCACTCGAGGAGGTTCAACTGGAGTTGACATGTCAGGTTCCGCTTGGGTCATATGCAACATGGGGTGGCTATGGTGACCATTCGAAGAATTGGAGGACTTCCAGCTCATCTGAGGTGGGCAATGTTGGGGAACATCGGGGTCAAAGCCCATGATGCCACCGGTATCACTGATCACACTGCCCATGATCGTGTGGTTATTATCCGGTTTTATCCGTTTTGGGGTTCGGACGCCATTCCCATTCTGAGCTTTTTGCTGCTTTAGCTGCAATTCTCGCTGAAAAGCAGCGCGAGCAGCACGAACATCACGACCGAGGATAAAAGAATAGGTATTGACGTAGAAGTGGCCATCATCAAATTCCAGCTTAGCATAAGCCTGGATTCTAGGTTCCGACCCAGAGACAGATCCAGAGTCATTTGTTGTACCTTTGGCATCCTTTTGAGTAGGGAGCTCCGGATAGCCAACGATTCTGGGTGTAGGACCACCAACTGCGCCAAAGTATGCATCCGTAAGAATTTCACTTTGCAAAAGGGCTTCCTTCGCGGATCTAGGAGCCGGGAGTGGCGTGAAGTCCGAGAACATCGGGATAAAATCTGGGTTGGCTTTTGCGTTGCTCTGAATTGCATCCAGAATTAGATTGTGTTCCCTTTCGATGCTGTCTTCCTGCGAAGCCTCAGGCATCAAATTATCTTCGGTGGCCTTTTGTGCTTCACTTGTATCCAATGCGGCGTCGGCCTGGGCACATGATGGCGGTGGAGCTTGTTCGATGGGAGGGTTGTCGCCGTTCAGTTGGGTTTGCGGTGACGGACGAGGTGAAGGGTTCCGGGACTGAGGAATTTTTTCATCGAGTTCCATTTCAGTAGACGATTGGTTTTGGTCGGGTACCAGCTCTTCTTCGGGGGGGTTATTCAACGGTTTGCTTGACAAGAGTTGTGCCAAGAGAGCGCTGGCCGCATTTTGCTTTTCACGCTCAGTCTGTTTCTTGTAGTCATCTAGGGCCAGCTTGTCAGTCAAGTAGCCGGACCAGCCCAACAGTTACATACCAGATAACGCTAGAAAAGCAGATTCGGAAACGGCTTTGAGTTGATCGGCCGTCGCATTATTGGATGCTTCGAGCTTGGGGGTGACGTCGCTGGCGGCTGGCGGCTTCGACTGCTCGCACCGGTCGACCTGGAGGTCCATCGCAGACCTCTCTGACGCCGCATCGTGAGGTCTTTGCCCCAGCAGCGACGCCGCCATGGTCTGGGATGATGACATTGCATGCGGGTGCACCATCCAACGAGGGTCCGGGGCGGTAGGACGATGAAATAATGGTCGGGATGATTTTGTCGGCGTTATCGCTGGTTGCTCTGGATCCCCGTACCGCACGCCTTCCCTCTTTGGGTCTAGCGCCGAATCTAGATCGCCTCGGCTGCCTTATGTAAGTATCAAGAACGCACTTCCGTCCGACCAGCCTGTTGCGCGACCCTGTAAAAACTGCGAAAAAGGCGTCCGGAGCTTTGTGTTCGTGGAGGATGCTCCAGGAGATATGCACAAGGGCCTGACCCCCATGCAGGTGCTCGCCTACGAAGGCTAACCAACTAGCTTAGGCCAGTAACCTGTTCGCATGCTTCGCTCACCTCTTCGTCACTACAAGCGCCCTACACCAAGTTTGGGTTTCAACGATGCACACATCCAGAGTTAATACACATGACTGTTCATTTATGTACCTATGGTCCAGATTACACATTATCGCCGGTCAAAACTCTCTCGTTCCCTGTCCAACGGTATACTGGGAGTCTAGGGCCACCGGGTCACTCCGGTCTGCGACCTTTTCCACTTTCATCCATTGGCGTGCTTTGGTAGGGAGCATCCTGTGGACAACACTGAGAAGTTGTGCGTAGACCGATGGGCGATTGGGATCTTGGATTCTTGCCCACCGATAAAACGGGATCAGTTCCCATTTGGTCCCACCGTCGCTACCGATGCTTTCACCATCCCCCGCTTCCGCTTCGCCTTCCTTCCTTCGAATCCTTCGAGCGACAAATATACGACATCTTCTGCATACCTCAGGGAGCACATAAAATATACGATACTCGCAGTGCACCCTATGTTTCAGACGGTCAGCATCGGCGGCGACCGTACGGGAGAGGAAATACTTACGACAACGGCAGATCAAAGCTAAATTGCAGTTGCTCCAATGTCCTGTTTTCCTTTATTAATTTTCTGCGTTGGGATCCAATTTTTGTTTTTTTTTACTTACCGATCTCTAGTATCAACACAAAACAGGAAGCATGCGACAAAGCCAACTATATTGACGCAGCCCTGAAACTTATTAGCATTTTCTCATGGTGGTTGGTTGCGATTGGAATCTCACATATATGGAAAGACTCGTTGTGAAACCAATGGGCGTTGTTATGAATGGGTACATCAGGAGCTGGATTCCAAGGGATGTTAAATTGATAAAAACACACATAGCCATGCCTGCCTCGCGAACGGTGCTTGGAAAGGATTCAGCGGAGAGGCTAAACGCCGCAGGTCCCACAGTGAACGCATACACAGCAGTAAACAGCATTGTAAACTGACTGGTTGTTAGAAAATTCTGTAGAAACAATCCATTCCTAAAAGCTTGACTTACAAGCATGATTGTGGGTGTTCTCGCGCTGTTGTCCAGCTCAAAGAGCGAGGCCAATATAAACATAAAAACAGCCATAACAGGCAACCCGAGAAGCACTAGATTGGTTCTGCCGAGTCTATCACTGAGTAATGGAGTCAATAGTCCAAAGCTAAAGCACACTGCGCCAAAGCAAAGGGCCAGAATCAAAGAATATTCAGGACTGATTCCAGCATCCAAAAGAGAGGAAGAAAAGAAAGCGAGTGCGTTGATTCCGCACAGTGACTGTGTCAACATTATTGTTCCTCCAGATACGAGAGCATGGCGACAGCGAGGGTCTTGAATGATTTGCGCCAGTCTTCGAAAAAAGTGCGCCTCTTTCATATGGTAACTGTGAGTACAAATTTCGTTGTTCTGGCCTCGTTGGGAGCGCAAACACAATCCTGGCGGAAAGTGGGCGAGACGCTCTGATAACGGTTTGGTCTCATCCGCAAAAACATTCCTCCCTGGAGCAGGTTTACTTTCTTCATCAGAACATTTGCCTTTGGATTCCCCTTTTTTAGCAACCTTCCGGATCTCCATGAGCTCTCCTTCTGCTTCCATTTGGAAATGGCTAGAGATGATATCTCGGAATCCTTGGATGGGGTACTTTCGGTAGAGGCAAGCCGCCTCGGTTGCTTTGGAATATTCCCCCGTCTTCATTAAAAACATCCAACTTTCTGGGATCATGTAGGAAGATATCATTAAGGGAATGGTAGGTATCAGAGTGGTAGCGCTCAGGAATCGCCATGCCGTGTCAGGCTCCAGGTTGAATGAGTCCACCACTTTCCAAGATACATCCCCAAGGAAGATGCCAAGAGCGTCTGAAACTTGCCTAGGAATTTGGTCAAATCAAGTTTCCTGTGAAGATGCAGTGGTGTGGCTCACCATGTGGACAGCAGAGCACCTCGCATATGCACTGGCGCAAGTTCCGCCAAAAATGGTGCGATCACACTTGCTTTGGCCCCAAGCGCAGCCCCGATCAGCATTCTGCAGCCAATGAGCTCCGCTGGAGTCCGCGAGCAAACAGCACCAATCGTCGCTCCCATGCTTATAGCTGCAGAAATTGCGACGGCACCACGTCTTCCCAGCCAGTGGTTCTGAATAGGGTCGGCAATGAGTAGACCTCTATCATGATAAATTAGGACCCGGCCCTTCTTCAACATCAATAGCTAGACTCACAAGATACCTGATGCAAGTGTTACAGAAGCAGATAGTGCACCAAGGAGAAATTGGTCTCTAGTGTTGCTTGATCCCGGCGCAACGTCCAGGTGGAAGGCTTCTCCCAAGGGTATATCTAAGAGCCAACGTTAGCCAGCACGATAGTCGCATTTTAGTCCCGAGCAAATACTTGTTCCGTTTAACGTGCTCTGTGTCCATCCCTGGCAGACACCTGATAGTCCGCCAATGATGAGAACAGCAGAACGAAGACTTCGCGTCTGCTGCCAGAATGTAGCTTTTCGTTCGTCCTGCAAGGCAATTTTTTCCTCCTCCGGAAAATCGGGGTCGCCGAAAGCCTCCATATCATCTCTCTCAAAGCGAGCTGCCCGCTTCACGCCATCAACCTCCGATAGAAGACCATGCTGGGAAGCAAAGCATTCCACCCCTTCATCTAACGTCTCCACAGATTCGAACAATGCAAATGGGTTGTCCAAATTAGGTTCATCTATGGCATTATATGGTGCGTCATCAAACGTTCCATCGCCGCGAACTCCATTCACGAGAATGTCCTCAAACTTTTCGGATTGGACTTCTTCAGTCGCCCTTGGTGTTTCCGCTATGTGTATCTCGTCATCGAACTCTTCTGCCCATCTGAATCCATTTCCGTTCAATCGTCGTCCTAGGTCTTGGTGGCTAGCATCAGATGGCCACCTATTCCTGCCTTCAAAGGAAGGCCATCGGCCAACTTCCTGGTCATCATCCGCGCTCATGTTGACAACATCGGGGTATCGAGACGGAAAATATCGAGTTGACATTCTTGCAAGAAAAGATGAGCGACAGCTTAACTATCCGTCAAAAAACAATTTCTCGCTGCGCTTAAATGGTTGGATATAGCTGTGACACTGTCTTTCGCTATGCCCCAAGTTTGACACTATCATGAGGCTCAGCTTTCCCTGGAGTTCCCGCAGGTCGACTTCAACTGGCTGGTATCGAGATTTAGCGGCTGTTGGCGACGGGGGCTATGCAGATAGGACGAATATGACTGGCTGCCTCGCCCTCAACTCCGGCGTCCAGAACACAGAAATAGGACAACCTGCAATCTCGACTGCCCCCACTGACAGAGTGTAGAGGACGCTTGGGGAAAACCTGGGGGGCGACTCCACGTTTTCTGACAAACTCCTAAAAGTCACCGACAGATTTGACCTCTTTACTCGATGCCCAGTTACCAGTATGGACGAAGGAAACACGTCCACATCGTCGTCCGTGACTGCCCGGTCGAATCCGAGATACCCTGCTGAGTGGTTAGACACAACGACTCATCGGGCGAAAAACCAGGATGTTGTTCAATACGTAACGTTCGCCCGTCGGTATTCAGGATACAGAGCTGTGGAACATTTAGAGCCTCATTCCGCCGCCAAAATCCCAAGGCTGTAAAGGGCCATCATGGCGCTCCGTGACATTTGACCTCCTCAGCCACCAGTTCCCTCTTGGAATGTCAGTGGGGCCGCATGGTTTCGTGTCTGTTCTCGTATTTCGAAGCATTCCCGTGCCCCCCTAACTATGGAGTAATGAACTTGTTAATAATGAGTTAGCTGTGCTGCTAAGTCAGTCGCTGACTTATGATTAGTTGCGGAGTAACGATCCTGCTCTCCATGCGTGACCGCAGTGAGGCATCCTGGCTGTTGCCTTGCAAAAGGATACCCTTTTCCCTTCTTCCCATATAACTTGTCGTACTTCCAAAAAAGAAATACCCCTATGCTTGTTGCACCTCTTTAGCGCCTTTGAGCTTTCATACGCCGTCTTCCCCTTTCCTCCATGTGGTTCAGCCATGCACCATCCCTCTGGCTTCCCCACACCACTATACGATGCTCGATTCCACCGTACTTTTCAAGAAAAGATCACTAGCAATAAAAGGTGATAAAAATTATTCCCAAAAAGTCCCGTAAAACCGAGCGATGGATCCCGCAGGCCTCGCGGTTGCACTGGTGGCCGCAGCGACCGAACTCGCTATCAAAGTGAGGGCTTTCAAAAAGCGAATGAATGACCGCCCAACCATAGTCGATGGCTTGCTGGATTACTGTAGAATGGTTAAAGGTGATTCAGAGATGATTGCCGGGCAGGCAGACCGCATCCAAGCAATCACAGATCCATCGTTCCACGGAAGAGGGAGTCCGCTATACGTCCTGTGCACCAGACTACAAGGCCTGACCAGGCTCCTCGGTGAATTTGACGAGGAGCTGGGCGATCTCACCAGATCAAGTGCTACGACTTGGCTAGGAAGAGCGATTCTGCAGATTGACACAGACGATGCACTCCCAAGAATAAGGCACGTTCAGGATAGAATAGAACAGTACCTCTCCAGCATGTTGCGTTCGATGCAATGTATCCAACTTACCCTCCAGTAAGTCTTCATCATGCCCATCCGAACAAGCATTGTAAATAAGACAGTTGCTAATGTTCAAATCAGGGAACCTCCAGTGCCACCTCGGCCACCGAATGCAGCGTCATCCACACCTCCCAACTTTCCGACTCCGCCTCCGTCGCCAGGCCTCAGCGATATCAAAATCCCGCCGGGCGGCAGGAAATTCTCGAATATCTCCAGCCTAAGCCAGACTACAGATATTGAGAGGGCAACTCGGAATCTGGATATTCATCTCGTCGAACGATTGCTGCAGGAAGACGTCACAGGAACTCTTATCCACACGATAGATTCCCATGGACGAACTCTTGTCGATATCGCCGTGTGCCAGGGTAAAAGCACTCACCCATCCCAAGTGCCGCTGGTCAGAATGTTAAAGGAGCGAGGCGTAAAATTCACACTCAAAGACGACCGTCATCGGAGGATGTATCGTGAAATCATGGACACCATCAAACTACAGTCGAGGAAAAAATGGTGACATAAACCATATCATCTACCAGACTCGACCGGTAAACGCAAAATATGCGGTATAGTGTCAACATATCCGTGTCTCGACGCCTCATCGAGGGAGACAGTCCTTGCACGCTTCGGCCAGTACAATGTGTCCGGCTGGAAAGACGACTCCCGTATAACGGTGACCGATTCCACAATGCCCACATGCAGATCTGAATTCCACGGATGTATCCTAAAAATATGCGTTGCAATCGGAATCCGGCGGCAGATATCCTTTTCTCTCCGATTCCCCTTGGTAGAGTCCACTGAGGAGACTATGCCTTGTTTCTGTGGAAATCGTCGGCACCGACGGGACGCAGCATTTGAGTACACATTTCGCTGCACGATAATGCCGGGGTTTGCCTGCGTGTGCGCAATAAAGCGAGAGGATACTCCATCATTCGATTTTGTTAACTTTTCTTTCCCTTTTTTTTTTTTTTTTCCCCTTTTTTGCTGTACAATAATTTTCTCCAAAAGAGTCAACAAAATGTACATATATACACACAAGCACCAACGAATGGCAGAAACAATTTCAAAACTCGCAGGTATTCTGCGCAAAAATCATTCTTTCATAATTCCGAAATAAATACACCTCAGCGTCGAGAGGCATTCGTCCGCCTGGATATGTATATATACAGCCTTTCGGGTATACTTCGGCCAAAACATTCGGCTCCTTCAGTTCCCAAAGGACGTATCTTGCAGGCAGCTGTCGGTGTCCGCCTGACGGTGCAGCCACGGATCAGCGCGGCTTTGGAGGAATTTTGGCCTCTTTTGTGGTGGCATAGCCAGCTCCCAGCATGGACGCTTGGGCTGGACTCCACTAAAACCACGCCTAATGCAGGGTTGGGCAGCAACGGTAAACGGATCCAGCCTCAAGCGGCTCTTTCAGTTTCCGTGCCGAACGGGTAACGGTGAGAACGAAAATGAGATATTTCGCTTCCTCCTTTTTTCTGGGATCGCCCGATATACTTCCCAGATATCTAGTGGACATTTGTCTATCCTCATCATAGCCTTATTTGGGTACGGAGAACCCCGCAGAATATCTCTCATCTCCTGACAACTAAATCACTCCTTATCACCCACTTCTCGCCTTGCTTGACCTCTCTACCTTCATGAAGCAGACATTTATCACCATGACGGTGGAGCAGCGCCATACCAACCTCCAACTCCACGGCGATCGGGTCCATATCAACATTGTTGTCTTTCAAAGGCTTAGATTTTGAGCCATTCTTCTTCGAGGAAAGAACCGGTTCGGGATAGAACACCGTTTCTCCACCTGTGCAGGTAGTCAAATAAATCAGAAGCGTCCAGGTCGTTTTACCTGGGAGAGACCGGTCGGCTAAGGAAGGGAGGTGAAGTGATACCGAGTCATCATCTGCGATCAAGATCCGTCCATTAGCATCTCATTTACCACTCTCGTCCTGTGGACAGGTTAGTTGACTCACAATGCTGTCCAAAAAACTGCCCCTTCGAATACCTATACACCCTGATATTTGGATTCAATCCAAGAACTTCCCCACCCCACAAGTCCTTCCCCTCGGCACTGTCAGCATCTGCCGATTGTCCCGAAACTACCTGGCTCAATGCCGTCTCCTTCCACAATCTCTCTGCAAACACCGGGTCATCAATCTGGAAGCGATCATTCACCCTTACTGCCTCTCCCCTTTTCGGTCGTCCGGGCGTCGTAACCAATGGCAGGGTGGAGAGGAAAGACACGTAGTTCTTGCAGAGGGTGGAAGTAAATAAATTTCTAACAACGTAGATTTGATCTGAAAGGATTGTCTCGAGCGCGAGGTCGGTGGACGGGATCAATGGCTTGAGCAGCGGCCAGTTCGGCGGGGCCGGTTCTTGTCGATGGCTCTTGGTGGGTTCGGAGGACGACTTGGACTTTGGGTTATTAGTAGCTTTGGGCTTAGATTTTGGCGGCATGATTGAGTTTTGTTTGGAGCCCTGGGGGAATCATCCTGGAGGAGAGAGAAAATGTGTTTCTGAAAGATGCATCAAATCGGCTATCGAGGATGGCAACTAGCTAGTTACTTAACTAGTACGGAGTACGGATACAGGAGCTGGTTTTTACCCCGGAATTTTCGCTCCACCCCCCTCCCTCGCCAATAGAGGAGGCAGAATTTCAACTACCTCTTTGCCTACGAAATTTTAATGTGGATCGATGGTTCTGAGAGTTAAATAATGATAGGCTATGATAAATGGACCCAAGAGGGATGCAGCCTGCAGGACTGCGGCGCCCATTAAACTGGAGACGGGACAGGGGAGGACAGGAGAAGAAAAAGGGGACAGGACACCCATATATATTGGCTGATAGCATTTCTTCCTTTAATATATGATGTATGTATTGCATCCAATGCTGCCATAAGTGGAGTAGGGCTTTTCCTTTGACAGTTTTGCTGCTGATAGCATATTTTGTTTTTTGATGCCTGATTGCAGACAAGAGAGTCAAGCAATTTATCTCATGAGAACAGAACCAAACAAGGACAGGGGAGAACATCTGGAGGCACAATAAATAAATAAAAACATTCAGAAAAAAAAAAAAAAAAAAAGGAAAAAAAAGGAGGGTTTATTCGGATGCTTCTAGCTTAGGCTGGCCTTCTGGGACGCCGTACTCCGTCCGTCGCATGATGTCCTCCACAGGGCCCAGTAGTCTCTTGAAGCCATCTCTCCCCAGTTGTGCAACTTTCACATCCGTTTTTGCAATCACACTCGCCTGTCTCGGTTTGTCATCGAGTAAGGCTAGCTCGCCGAAGTAGTCACCTCGTCTGTAGTGCTTAACCGCGCCGTCAATGCCACGTTTATAAGCAGCAGCTTCACCAGATTCAAGGAGATAAAACGCATCGCCCGGATCACCTTCCTCAATAATCGTATGCCCAGCAGGGTGCTTAATCGTGTCCAGAGCATCAGCGATCTTCGAGCGCTCATAAGGTTTTAAAGACGACAGTAGCGGAACCTCCTCCAAGAACGCTTCATACATACGTCGCCGTTTAAAGGCGGAGTCCATCAGGATTCTTCGAAACGTGACACGGTCAAGCGCCCAGACGGTCGATGGCTCGGTCGACACGACCGTGGCCGCCCGAGGAGCATTGTACATAAGAGCGAGTTCGCCGAAGGATCCTCCTGGCCCGATCTCATTAACCTTGCTTCCCATGCCGTTGTGCCCGGGTTGGGCCGATCCCGACGGATGGATGAAGACATCGAAGTGCCCTTGCTCAACAATATAGAAGTAATCTCCAGCATCACCTTGGGTGATGACCTTGATATCCTTAGCCGGAACAGGTTTCTCCACGAGAGCATTCAGAACGGTCTTGAACTGGTCCTCCTCAAGATGAGAGAAGAGAAAGTTCCCAGCAACCGCTGTCTTCAGCCGATCAAGTTGTTCCGGAGGCTTAGGGTGATACGGCGGTGTCCAGGAATCCGAATCGGAGCTGGTAGGGTTCAACGATTCTGCCGACACCGAGGTGCGACGGCCCAGGGCGTAGTGGTTGGGAAATCCGGAGTCGCTCGGGCCCGCTGCCGGTCGGAAAGTACCATGTTCCTGTTCGCCTCTCCCCCCAAACGGATTGGGGCCAAATGCCCCGAATTCCCCAAACGTGCCCACTCCATCACCACTTTGGAATGGACTGAGGACATGGTGTATGTGGGCTCTCTGTCGGGAAACGTCGGTTCTGTGGAACGTCGACGTCGTTGGAGAAGTCACATTCTCATCCTCTTCTACTATTCTGTTGAAGGGTGCCGCTCCGCCACCCGCGTGTCTTTCGCCATGGCCTGCATGGCTTCCGGGAAAGGCATTGGACTCAGACATCACGGTATATGGTATCTGTTCTTTAAGGCGTCAGGACGCCGCTGCCTTCGCGAGGAGGGGTGAAATGCTTGGTACGACTTGGCGGCAGTGCAGTCGAGTACTATTTTTTAAACGCAGCAACTTGGGGAGTAGCCGAGACGGGATACAGAGAGTCCGTGAACGGGATTCCAGGCTGACTAGGAGGAAGGGGGTGGGCGGGAGGTCAGTGGATATTTGGGCGATGGGAGGTTTTTCGAAGAAGAGAGAGGCGAGGCTCACCGAAGTGATGGCATACAGTTGCGGGGATCCTCCTTCCGTCGAGAGTCGCCTGCAATGATGAAAAAGTTGAAGCTTCTGTGGGATCGAGGCTTGAAGAAGGATAGATTATGGTGGTTTCGTCGCCCTTTTTGAATTAATTATTGGATAAAGAGAGGGCGTGGGAGAGAAACAAGGGGTCCTGGTTTCCTTGGAAGCGTTCTAGAAAACAATGTGTGACCCGGGAGGATGATCTGTAACCAGTCTCAAACGGAACGAGGTCCGAATACCGGGAGGCTGAGAGAACTGACAATTAAAGCATAAATTGCTATGTGTAGGTTATGAGGGCAATTGGGTCGAATTGAGGCCGAGAGCTCACAGCAATGGTCATGAGAGAGAGAAAAGTTGTTTGGGGCGGGAGGGGGTATAAGACGAGGGCGAGGAGGGGCCTTGGAGGTGATGATGTATGGGCTGAATTTAGCGGGAGAAGCTTATGTTTGCTTCACGCGCATCCGCAATACGGACACGCTCACTCCCCCAAAGCTGGTTTTCCCTTGACCGCCGCGGGCTATATGTAGGAGCACTTCATCTAAACCAACTCTCGTGACTTGCTGCCTTACGGGTCATTCCTACGATTTATATTCCTTTGGGGGAACAAGAAAGCCTACTCTGCAAGATCACTTCGAGACTTGGGCGATCTGTAGCGGTCAAGGTGCTCAAATGATGCACTCTGATCCTTGTTGCCTGCATTTCTTGTAAGGCTTAACTATTCAACCCATGGGCGGGAAGATTGTGTCCATGTTGCCGGAGGACAGTTGTCACTTATGCAATGGGGACGGGCTGCACCCCAACACCCTCCATTTTTCCTCCAAGCTGCGGGCCAACCTGGCGCCATATCGGCGAGGGTCAGCTGCCAGGCACCCGTCATCAGGAGAACCCGGGGGACAGAACTCGTTTTCTATGCACTCGCAAGGGAGCGTGGTTGGTTGGATGATGGGTGAGTGGCGGAGTGCCCAACTGCTCTGAGCTGTTGCGGGTGCTGCGTGGAAGCTTCCGTTGGGAGCTCCAGAAGTATTCCAGTTGTTTTCTAGAAAACGTCATGGATTGCTTTAGTCGAAATCCACATTTTGGCTGCCGACGGGTGGGCGAGCTAATGATGCGCACCGTTTCATCCCCCCAGTCATCGATAAAATTTTTTCTTCTTTTTCTTATTTTTATTTTTATTTTTAATGGGAAACTTCGGGCAGATTTTTTTTTTTTTTGGGGCGGCCAAGCCAAGTCGGCATGCTTAAGATGTAACGATTTAGGCTTGAAGGAACTAAACTCGGTCAATCAGGTTAACTAAGAGTTAGTTGGCTAGTCATCTACTCCATGCAGAGTAACTAGTTATTTCTCCGTTCAGGGTGTCTTGAATGAGCAACGGAGAATTCTACTCCGCATTCGGTGAGCAAGCGCATTTGGTACAGCTACGAAACTGAGATCCTTATGTATGGTATGTGTGTAGTGTACAAACGGAGTACTAAATGTGATTTTAATTGATGCTTGAAGGCGAATGAAGGCAAGCTTGCGAGCTGTCCGAAGATCCAAGAAGCAACGCTGGTTACCCAAACTGCATCCGTTCCATGGGTAAGTAGCTGCGAGCTTTGTGAGTGGTCACCTTTCCGACAGATCCCAAACAATGGCAAAGGTGGCCATTTTGTGATCAGAAATCGTCATCTGAGTGATGTGAACACCAACCTGAGGTTAAATATCTTTGCCCCGAGCAACCGCCCGGAGCTATTTCCCCCTTGTTCTCTCAAGGGTGATCCCGTTGGACGGAAGCAAAACTGTGGCAAGACTCAGGTGGACCATTGCTTGAAATCCCAACCAACTCCAGAAAAGAAAGAAAAAAAAAAGAAAGAAAGAAAGAAAGAAAGAAAAGAAAAGAAAAGAAAAAGAAAAGAAAAGAAGAAAAGAAAAGCACGCAGCTGTGCGACATCGCCCTTTCCTACCATCATTACCGCAGCGGTCAAGGCCCTACCGTCCATATTCTCTACTCCCTTGCGGTGTACTATCCCCGAGCACCAACCAGACGCCCTCGATCGGTGACGGGAATACGTCCACGGACATAGCCTGTTGCGGCCCCCCTCTTTGTGCCAGCCTTCCAAATACAAGCTTTCTCGGGCTCCTGCGGAGGAGTCGAAGCGCACACCTTGGTCGCCCTGTCACCCCGCTTACTTGACATATACTGGAACGGCACGATTCTCCGACCAACTTTCGCACGCGCCAGCAGGTCGCCCGTTCGTGATATCTATTCTCGAGCTAGGGTGATTCGAGGAAGTAAAGGCGACCGGGGAATCGTACCGTTCAGAGCAAGATTGAACATGGGAGTGTACACGTTTCAGTGGTACGTCAAAGAGGCTGAGACCGGCAAATAATGGTTATTTGAGAACGGAGTGAAGAGCAGAAGACAGTTATGATGGCCCAGAAATTTTACAGGATACCTGTGGTGCTGGATTCTCGATTTGGACCCCTGCACGCCTCTTTGGTAGCACAATGGCCGTATTCCCTCTGAGCCAGTGATGCAAGCTGTCTGCATGAATTAAAGCGTACGGCGTCCTTTGCAAAGGGAAACTAACCTATTCTTCGATCCCGGCAATGTAGGTTGCGCCCGGCGAACGAGGTGTATGTCACCGGAACATTTGATAATTGGAGCCGGAGTGTTAAGCTGGATAAGTCGGCAGATGGCCACTTCAGAAAAGCAGTCGAGCTCCCAGAAAGCAACGAAAAAGTGCTCTACAAGGTATGACTGGCCGGCAAGCCATTCGCTTCTTTGTCCTGTTCTCTCCTTGCCTCCATCTTACCTTCCCCGCTCTCTCCTCGTCTGTCCTCACCCGCCGTTCCCCTCCTTCCGGAAAGGAGCTGGAACCTGCAAAGAGTCATATGATGGTTGCCTTAGAGTTTTGGCTAGCGAGACATCGGGTCGAAACGCAGCATATGGAGGCGCAGGAGGAGAAATGCAGCTGCCTTGGGGCTCGACGTTGCACCCCTCGTTACCGACACAATCCAGGTTGCAGCGCGCATCTCCCTCGGCTCTGCGCGCGTGTCTCTCTGTGTGTGTGTGTGTGGATAGCGTTCTTCGGCCTTCCCTCGTGGCCGCTTGTTGTGCCTGGAGAAACAGCGGTTTCGCTGGCCTGGATTGTGATCAGAACTACGCAGGGTACCCAGCAGCTAACTAACTAAGTAACTAACTACCCCACACTAAAGCGTGTTTTTGCCGCGCGCGCGTCTCTCTACAGTATGCAGTTGGGGCCCGGTACCTTCCAAGCTTGGTGCGCCCATCAGTCCCTGACGTCATACTCTGGTGTGGGAGCCAATCCTGCCTTCCGCATCGGCGCTCTTGCTTTAAAACGTCCCAGGCCCACCCAAATAAGCAAGAACGCAACTGTTGGAAGGGAAGGAGTCCCCCTCGCACTCCGAGCTCCTTTGACCTCGTTCCTACCCCTCCCTTTTATATCTTTTTTTTTTTTTTTTTAATCCCCCACCTGCTTTGGCTTCCGGTGCTGCATCAGATATTTTTTTTTTCTTTTTTTTTTCTTGCAAAGTTGATTTTACTTATCCATCTCTCGTCCAACCGCAGTTCGTCGTCGACGGTCGCTGGACAGTAGATCCCACCGCTCCCCAAGAAGACGACGGGAATCACAACATAAACAGCGTCCTGCTCCCTGATCACATCGACCCTTTCCGTCCTACCACCACCACATCGACGAGTGCCGTCGCGCCAACCGAGAAAGCCGCCACAATGTCTGCGATGACACCGGAGGATACAGCCGGAGGTGTTTTTGAAGAGATGTCGCAAGAATTTTCCGAAACCCACAAATCTGCGGCGCGGAGAGTATCCCAGTCCGAAGAGGCTGGCCCAATGCCGTTCACTATGTCGTCACTTGCCCCGGAGTCTACAACTGTACATCTCGCCAAGGACGTTCCATTAGAACCCAAAGGAAGTGCTCCCGGTGGATTTCCAGAAACGCCCGATGTACAGTCACCGGCAGGGGATGATCAGGCGTTCATCAGCCCTCTTCCGGCCACAGACGGCATCGGCAACCCGATTCACTTGCCACCGGGCCAGAAAGTGCCACATCCATCGAGTTTCACTGACAATACAGTGAATTCTGGCATCAAGACAGATAAAGCTGGATATGAAGGGGATGCCAGCGATCCCACCATGGCGGCCATGGCGACCTCTCATGGCTTCGTTGGTTCTCAGCCTGTCAAGGTCAACCCGCCGACATCCGGTGGTTCTGCCTTCATTCAATCTGCGGCCCCGACCTCGACTACGGCTGCTTTAGCCGCCAATGTTCCTCTAGAAAAGTCCAAAGCATCTGGAACCAAGGATCCCCACCAACCAGCTCCAGATGTGCCAGAAGTTGTAAGAAGATCCCTCAGCGATGCCCACAAAGATCCCGAAGCTGCCTGCAATGAAGAAGCGGTTATGGAAAAGAAGGAGGTCGAGCAAGAGTTGCTTCGAGACGTTAAGCGAGACGAGTCGACCGGTGAACCTGCGCCTGTAATAGCTGCAGGATCGTCCGCAAAGGCTCCAGCTAGCACAGCACCCCTTGCGAAGGGTGAAGCTGGAGATGTGTCGCCAAAGACCAAAGAGCGTGCTGAGGGCTCCACAGCTGCACCGCCTCAACAGCAAACCACAGCAACTGGTCCGACGAAGACGACAGCCCCAGAGACCACTGCGCCGGGGTCGCAGCAAGCTCAGAGCCAACCCTCCGGGACCCAAGCCGAGCAGCCGACGCAGCCAGGACAGACACCGAAAAAGAAAAAGAATCGTCTTAGCGGGTTCTTCTCTAAGTTGAAGGAAAAGTTGAAGTAGATTCATCAGATGCTCGCCCTTGTATCATTTCCCCCCGTTCCTTACAGATGAAAATTGGCGTCTGCTTGTCATACTTCCAATTTGTGAGATCCCTCTTCTCCACCTTCATAAGCCTGTCTGTTTGATCAAGTACATATGCATGTTTGGGATCTAGGTTTCATTAAGATTGTATTTGGTTCACGGGAGGACCTTTTCTATATTTTTGCTTTCGATTGTTCCAGATTCCCCCGTTTTGTCTCACACTTTTGATGTTATCATACATGTAACTTCCCACTTCCAAGCTGGTAATAGCACCTGGTGGTACTCCAGGAAATTGATGTGAAATTCTTCCCTCTAATTTTGCCCCCCCAATCTCTATGGTCCATGGGACCTTTGAAGAAGATTGCATGCTTCTCCAATCAAATTTCTTCTTGCATACCATTTTGATTCGGGGCTGTCACCATGGTGGTGATGAAAACATTTAGAGAAATCAATTGCTGCTGAAGCTGTTCACACCTTCCATGGAAATTATTTGGCGGTGTTGAATTTGTCTAAGAAAGCAGAATAAGGCTGGATTGCGCAGACATTTTATCCCTTGAAAAAACAACAATAGATGGGGAAGACTGATCAAATGTCTCAAAAAATTTTTTGGTGATGTCTCCCAAGTTTTATTAATTGCAAAAAAGCACCTGACCAACAGATGATGGTAATATATATACTATTTACTACCTACGATTGCTAGTGAATTGAATTCATTTGGACCATGTGCACTCGACCCCCCATCACCAGAAACACCATTTGTAGGAACCCAAGAAAGAGATATGAACTGCCTTCCTTTGTATGGGTATCTTTTTGCCTTTTTTTTCTTTTTCTTTTTCTTTTTTTTTCTTTTTTTTTTAGAAAGGAATAGCCTGGCTGATAATTGCGTTCAGTTCAACAGGCATTTGGAGCACACTGCGGGAAGATGATGAAGCAATGGCATATAGTTGTTAGCCACCTGCATTATGAGTTCAGTCTCGTGATGGCTTCAGCACTCACCGCGCGCCAATCTTGGTGGCCCAGCATCCGCAGAACAATGAAGCTGGATAGCATATGATGGCAGAGAGAATCCCTACCGCGAATCCTGTAAATGTTCTAGGTGTCATTCCCCGTGCATGCATAAAAGGAGGAAATGCACCCTCCGTATCGGATGTAGATGATCGGGATAGGGCGGGGGGGGAAGGAGTCCTGACGTACCCAGCGTTGGTCCTACAAATTTACACCGACAAGGATTCTGGTCGGTGCCGCATTGAAAGCAGATGATCGGGAAGGGAATCCAAATCACCATGTTAGCAATATGATATGGAAATTGATCATGGGAAAGATGTGGTCCGTAGGTAAGTGGAGGGTTTTAACGGTAGAGCAACCTTTTTTCTTTTTTATCTTTCCTTTTTTTTCTTTATACTGCCCATTCTTTTTTTTTACTCGGCTTAAGCATGGAAAGGAATTCGAGCTGGGCGGAAACTGTTTTTAACTGGATGACGTTGATTACCAAATTTCCAACCTGAACAAGATCAAGGAAACGATGTCAAGCTTCGGATCCGACTGGGCCAGATGGCTCTCAAAGATGGGTAACCTTGTTACTGAGCAGGGAAATGTTAACTGCTGGGACGAAACGCGAATGGCTTTTCTGATAGACTTTCGTCAGCTGATGTCGAACTTCCTGAATCTCAAAAATAGACAGCCATGGTTATGCGCTGAGGAAACGCACTTGTTCAGGAACCAAGCTGGCTGACGCGTACCGCTGCGCGTTCGCTGCAAAAGGTTCGGCCGGCACCATCGCAAGTCATTCATTCTATGGTGAACCTGGAAAATCAGCGTCAGCGTGTGCGTTCTCAGCAGTTGGCTGCTCCATCCGTAGGTATGGGACGCTTTACATTTCCACGTGGCTCGATTTGTGGCTGATGCACAATGAGCAACCTTGAAAGATACCACCAGTACAGGTATAACTACCCTGCCCAGCGTTATATAACTACAATACAACTGCAAAACCCGCCTCTCTCACATTTTACATATGTATTTTTAGTCTCAAGTCTTTGTGCACGACCCATCACACACCTGATTGGAAGGCCGGGGTCGGGGAATCTTGTTTCCAGCACGCGGAATGGTGGCTCATCTGTGGCTCGGAACGGAAACAAGCCTCAGAGCCAAGAGAGGGGGGAACCGACCGTCAAGGAACTGCTGTGGTGCAATTTGTGGCTCAACCCACCAGCGAACAACGAAACGACATGTGGCTGGGGAGCCGGGATTGGGCCCGGGATAACGACAGCCCTGGGACAGGGTCCGGAGCAGGCATCGGAGTTTGCAACAATGCAACCTCTTTGACCCTCTCCTAGCGGGAAGCAGACGAACTCTCCCAGATATTTTCCTCTACGAAGCAGACCACTTAGCATAGAAGGGGGGAACGGGGTAAGAAATTTTTCGTTTTGTCCATTCTTTAGATACTTTTTGTGGATCTTCATTTCCCGAGAGCAGAATTTCATTGGGACGATGCGGACGGATTTTCCCCTCAACCTACCAGAATTGACGTCTTCTTCGTCGACTAACCCGGATTAGTCCTCAGCCCTGCAGGGCCCAGGACGAGATTGGGTTAGGGCGCAGAATTCTATCGCAATGCTAAAATCAACACCCCTGTATCACGAACCACAACAGAGAGTTATGGTGCATATATAGACTCCAGCCGGGCCCGCGGCGGGCACATGAGCACCTACACGCCCACGTGCTTGTCTTCCTTTTGAGGTCGTCGGCTCTTGCAAATATCTTTGAATATATTGTTTGCCTTTACTCTTGCCTTAGCTAGTTAGTTAACTGTTTGTTTGTCAATCTCTCAGTGCAAAGTTACGTACTTTGTCTATGTTGAAGAGTGTGTCTTCCCGCCCTCCGTCTAAGAGAGCTTTTTTTTTTTTTTAACTACCCCTCAACCGACTTGTCAGCGAAATACCGGGGACAATCATTGCTAATTCTTCTTCAACAGCCGTGCCTGTCACCCAACACTGTTGTGGAAAGCCTTCAATCCAATATTCGTTACAAGTCCCTGAGAGTATATCCAGCTATATATTTCTCCTCAATTACCGTCGTTATCAGGGTGGCTATCAAAACAATTTCCTAACTCACTGTTCTCGTGTTTTGTTAGAGCACATTCCCGTCACGGCAGACGTCAAGTCGGGCCTTCCAAGAAAAAGTTAACTGTGAAGTGGGAAAAAAAAAAAAAAAAAAAAGATCTCGCTTCTAGCCCACCTCGGTCCTCGGGATCCTTTTGATCTTCTTTCTGGTTCATCTTTCCCTCGTCTTCTTCTTACGGCACACAAACAAATTTTTCTTTCGACTGAGAGAGCCTCCTCTTTTTTCATCTTCCAAAAGTCTAGAGACTCCAAAATGGGTCTTGTAAGCCGGCTGCTCCCACTGGCTATGCTATTCCTTTTCCTTGCAATTATTGGATTCCTGGGCCTGGTAGTGTACAACATCGTTATGGACGTGAAGGCGCAGACGAAGAAGCACATGGAGAAGAACAACGTGATGTTCTCGAAGGACGGAGTAACTGTGGAGTTAAAGGAGCTAAACGATGAAGAGTACAAGGACAGAACTCAAAGGTATGTGTGTATGGCTTGCAGCTTTTCAAAAAGGGTGATCAAGATCAAAATTGACTCAGGGTATTAGCGTCCTTGTCGACGTTTGGAATCACGGCGCTCTGCCTGATATGAAGTACCACTGGCGACGGAAGACGCCGAGCAACAACCACGGAAAATAAAGTCCGATAAACAATTCGAATCAGTGGGCTTTTCGGTTACGAAATTTTTTCCCCCGTCCTCGATGCTATTGACATCCTGGTCATCCACGTTTGTGCGCAATATGTTAGGGGGCCAAATCAACCACTACATAGTATGCTTTCGGCGACACCAATCCATGTCCAATATCCACGCTAATTTGCGGCATCCACCACGTATGGGTCAGTGCTAACCCACGATAGGCCATCGGGTGAAGGGGTTTAGGGGTGTGTAATGATACCACAGCATGTTCCCTTGCTTTCAGAGTAAACTGAACTGCCTGGAATGCAATGGATCTAGTTTCAAAGTCGTTGCTGACACAATAGTGTATCTGCTTTGTGCTCACCTAAACATCATGGTCTGATGGATATTTTTTTTCTTTTTCTTTTTCTTTTTCTTTTTCTTTTCTTTTCTTTTTGGTACATTGAGAATGGAGGGTTTTCTATTCTGAAAAAAAGCTCAGATACTCGACACTATTCGATGGCACTTGGTTTGTCAGAGAACAAGTCTCATTGTCATGGAGATTTCGCTACCCATCAGAGTAACATCGACAGCGACACTCCAGGCGCAGAAGGATAGTGCACAATGCATGATGCTCAATGAGCTACTACATGAAATCTGCAGTGCATGTTAACTGACAGTTACCCCAACATGAATGATTTTGTTTTCATTCTTTGTAGCTACCAGCAAGCTATAAATGCAAGAGGTTGCTTTTTCTTTTTCTTTTTTTTCTTTTCTTCTGTTTTTCTTTGGTTGAGGAACTCCTTGTCGCGCAGCTGACTGTTTTAACGCGAATATTTGTGTAACCCCGCAAATTGTCAGCTGTGAAATCGCGACAATGCAGATCCTGGGGTGAGTCCCAGCGGAGAACTCCAGGAAGCTGCTGATCGAGTAAACCCCCCCTTTTCTTTTTTTTGGTGTATCTCTTAGAATATCTCGTTCTGTGTGAGCGGCACGATACCCACCTATCTGGGAAAAAAAAAAAAAAAAAAAAAAAAAAAAAAAAAAAAAAGGAAAGAAAATTTAGACATGAAAAGACTCGACGAGCATGCCGATAGCTCATGCTTTCCCCGGGGAATTCTCGACGCGTTTTCGGCCGCTGGCATCACTCCTGCTCGGTTATTCGCAGTGTGTGCCCTTAGAGCCTAGACTGTTTACCCGAAGGATGAGCCTGTGGGCCACATATCGACCCACGCTGCCAGCACCGTGCCCATATGAGAACAATTCCTTTTTTTTTTTTTTTTTTTTTTTGGTGTCGGCCAGTGTGATCGATTGTTGACGCTCGTATGACGCTGGGCGCAACTGACTATCCCGTCGTCAAGTTTCGCGTGTTCTATCGCATTGTGCTTGGGTGATCGAGTGATATGAATGAATATACAGAGGAAGCTACCTGATGGATGGTCGGAGCGCGTAGAGCAAAAGGCGGAATAGTTGCCGCTGCCAGACTTCGGCGCTCACCCACCGCAGATCTGCAAAAAAAAAAAAAAAAGGCCCGCCCTGTGTTTTTGAAGCCTTTCACCCCCCGCGCCAAGAGTCTTGGCCGGAGTTGTGCTTTCCGAGAAGAGCTTAAGCCCATCAAGCAAACGCCTGGCCCTTGGTGGGGTGGCGCTTTCCTTGGCAAATCCAAAAACGGGGGGATCGACAAAATCCCCACTTGGAAGCCGCCGTTTGAACATGTCCCAAGTAGGTAGGTACAGTACATACATACATTATTGGGGTCAGGCGCGACCTTTAATCGCTTCCTACCCTGCGTGACTGCCGCACCGGGCAGCGACTTCGGCATCTCCCGCCGGCCCAACTGCAGGTGCGCAGCGTCCACGTTGGGCGGCGATTCGAGACAAGCCGGGTCTCAGCGGATCCAAGGAAGGAAAAGCCTGCAGCATGGTATGTACATAGGATTTATTCGGGGGGAAGAAGGAGAATAGTGGCGTTCGCACGGGGTCGACGATCTTGACTCGGGTCCTTTTCCCACATTTATCCCGTGCTGGAACCGCTGTTGGAGAGCGCAAAAAGGGTGGATGGAGGTACAGTAACTCCAGGGCGTGCGTGGCCTGATGATATGGAACTATGTGTGTGCCACCCGGGCGACCGTTGGCCCGCACAACCATCCCTGAGGTCGCCCATCGGCTCGTGCGGATAGCCGTGGTAAACGGCAAAGTTCGCTGACGACCGACCCTGGGTGTCCCGCCGCTCTTTCCCCTCAGTGGCCTGTTCCCAGGCATGTCGATCCCAGCGAGTGTATGTGTGTGTGTGTGTGTGTGTTTTGTGGGAATCGCGAACAGATCCCAACGCCAATGACGTCCTGTGGTGGCACATAGTTACTCCTCTGTGTGGCACCGTACGCCCATCTTTGCCTGCTATATATCCGCGGATCCTCACGCGTAATCTCGACTTTGTGGGCTTCTTTTCTGGACCTGACTTCTTCTTCGTCTCTTCCCTCAATTACCGAGTCACCGTCTGTCGGTCCATTTTCTTATAATAAAAATAATATAAAAGAATGCCAGACAACGAGCCTGCAGAACCAATCGCGAAAGGCACCCTGGCCACGGCGAAACAATGCTGGGGTGACCTCTTCAGGTGGAAGATGCGCGTTGAAACGACCAACGAACTTGGCGAAACCCGCACCGAATGGCAGTCCCCGGGACCCCTAAAGAACCCCATAAGCATGGTCGCCGAGCTCTCTGCGAAGAACTGGCTTTATTTCCTCGTCGGACTCTTCTCTTGGCTGGCCGATGCTTTCGACTTCCATGCCCTGTCGATCCAGACCGTGAAGCTGTCCAAGTACTACAACCAGTCGAAGACGTCCATCACCACTGCCATCACACTAACCCTTCTCCTTCGCTCCGTCGGTGCTGCGGTGTTCGGCATGGCTGGCGACCGATGGGGCCGCAAGTGGCCTATGGTGTTCAACATGATTGTCTTGGGCATTCTCCAGATCGCTACCATCTACAGCGCGACATTCTCGCAGTTTTTGGCCGTGCGAAGCCTGTTCGGCCTCTTCATGGGAGGCGTGTATGGAAACGCTATCGCTATGGCCCTCGAAAACTGCCCCGTCCAGGCGCGTGGTCTCATGTCCGGTATCCTCCAGCAGGGGTATTCGATGGGCTATATCTTTGCCGCCTGTGCGAATCTCGGCGTCGGAGGCAGCGTCAACTCGTGGAAGATTGTGTTTTGGATCGGTGCCGGGCTCTCGTTCCTTGCTGGAATCATTCGTGTCTTCCTCCCTGAATCGAGGCAGTTTATCGAAGCCAGGAAGGCTGGGAAGAGAGGCACCACGGCCAACGCGTTCTGGGCAGACACAAAGCGGATGTTGAGAGAGGAATGGCGCATCGTTATCTACTGCACTTTTTTGATGACTTGGTTCAATTACTTCAGCCACACCTCTCAGGATAGCTACACAACTTTCATGCTTACTCAAAAAGCTCTAAACAACGCTGCTGCCAGCCGGGCAAGCATTCTTATGAAAACTGGAGCCAGTGTGGGTGGGACGATCATCGGATATGTTTCCCAGTGGTTTGGTCGCCGCCGATCGATTATTGTTTCGGCTCTAATGAGTGGCATCCTCATCCCGGCCTGGATTCTTCCTCACGGAGAACGCGGTCTTTCTGCATCGGGATTCTTCCTGCAATTTTTTGTTCAGGGTGCCTGGGGTGTTATCCCCATACACCTCAACGAGCTTTCTCCGCCGGCGTTCCGGTCTAGTTTCCCTGGCCTCACTTACCAGCTCGGAAACATGATCTCATCTCCTTCTGCGCAGATCGTCAACGCCATTGCAGAATCGATCAGTATTAGGGGCGCCAACGGCCAACCGGCTCCTGCATACGGACCGACTATGGGCGTTGCCACGGCGATTATTGCGATTGGTATCGCTGTGACCACCGCATTTGGGCCTGAGAAGAGAGGTCGGAAATTTGAATTGGCCCGTGCTGCTGGTGCCGTTGACTACCCTACACTGAAGGATATCGAGGCTAGCGCTGAAAAGACGGAGGAGAGAGAGTCCCGTGATGGGGCGAAGATAGAGCTTAACTGAAGAATTTAGCGTTGGAATCTGTGTGTCGCGTCTCGTGAAAAGCGATGCTTGGATGGGGCTAGTTTCGCGGCGTGTAGCTATCTCTAGTTAGATTTTTGTCTTCCGCGGCTGGTTGGATAATGAGAGCTGTGCTCATAACAGAAGACAAAAAATTAATGACTCTTTAATGACACTCCAATTTACATAGATTGCTTGTGTGTGTAAGTGTGTATGGATGGGTTGGGGGGGAGGAGAGGAGTTGGGTGATGTTGTTTCATAGAAGGATGGAAAGGTTCATAACTTTTGACTAATCTTGCACGCGATACTGAATGCAGTTTGCCGTGCTCTGTACTCATAAAGACTCTACCCAGGAAACAAATGCTTTTCTGGGATTATTTTTCCTCCCTGTGTCTGAAAATGTCGAGTAGGATCTTTGGGCGGGGGGGGAAGAAAAAGCAGGCTGGGTAATATCAGAGAAAATTGGGCTAAAATGCAGAGTATGCAGTTCCCTCTTGTTGCTTTTAGCAACGGAGGGCCAGTTCCGAACATGCACAAGTCCACCTGATGTCCTAAGCTTTAACGGGTAAGCGAGCTACATATGCAAGAATAGCCTCGACTTCTTAGAACCAAAAGCTTCGATTCGCTGATTTCTTGGGGTAAGACTGAGATTCCCCGGGAGAAAGATTTTTGTCTGGTCAAACAGGGGAAAGGAAGATCTGGGGGTGGCTGTGCTAAAGCCAAGCAAAGTTAAAAAAGACATCAGCCAAAAAAACCTCTCGTGATGTCACAATGTCCTTTCATCTTCAGTTGGATGCTTCCCCTCTAGTGAAAAAGACGTGGTTTGTTGTTTTGCCGGTGGGGGATGACTCTCAAAAAGCAGAAAGATCGGTGCAGGGCTTTGGAAGTAGGGTGTCCGCCCTGGAAGTGATGACCAAGATACCCGAGATCCTGCGGCAGAACATGGATTGATGTCAGAAGAGCCAAGGTGCAGATGTCAACAGTTTTTTCCATTCAGGCTGCTATCTGAGATATTTGCTCAAGACGGATCATCGAGTGCCCAAGGCTGCTCTCTCTGCCCCTTTAAGCGAGATGTGAGGATGAAGGCAGGTATACGCTCGTCTTCTTCCTCCTCCTCACCCCACCATTGCCCAACCGCCTGCGCCTTTTCAATCGTCATAGGCTTCCTCCCATGCCTGGTCGAATTCTTCTTGTGCTTCTTGAAGCTCTCTTCTCTTTTCCGCCAGTGTCGCAAATTCGTCCTCGTCTACCTCTCGTTCGTCGTCAGATGAGCTCGAGTCACCTACAAAAAGCGTTTTAGCGCATTTGAATCTGCCAGCTGCTTAAAAGGGAGAATAGGGCTCTTTCTCCTACCCATTTCATGAGCGATAAGAGCACCGCCCAGTGCACCGACAGCCAAACCTCCGACACCCGCTGCGACCAAGGCCCCAGTTCCGTGTCCTTCTTTCTTTTTCTTTTCCTTTTTCTCCTCCACGACTGTCGTCGTTTCGGCACTTAGGTCGGGGTATCCAGGCGCGCCACCACCACTATAGGCATTTACAGGTGGAGTCGGGTATGGACCCTGTTGAGGAGGCGCTGAGAAATCGGGTGCATCTCGGTCACCGACTTGTTCGACGTACCAGCGGCGAACGTTACTATCCCAATGGGCTGTCCACCCCGGCGGCATTGGCGGCGGAGGTCCTTGAGGGGGAGGTGAGGCTGCGGGAGGTTCCCATTGAGAGCGACCGGTGGCTTGCTCGATGTAATACCATCTCTGGTAGTTTTGATCCCACTGCGAAACCCACCCTGGAGGCAGTGAGGGTGCCCCTTCGGGGGGTGCTGGGCCTTGAGGTGGAGGTGGTTGTTGGCCGTAATACGACATGATTTCTGGAATGACTAATACGAAACGGGGGGAAGGGGGAGGGGGAGCGAGGGGAGCAACGCAACGGCAGGGATGGGCGGATGATGGGAGAGAAAAAAAAAAGAACTCCCAGAGACTTATGGGGACGAAGCGTATTTATATTTGGACACGAGGCACGTCAGCTTGACGGAAACGAAGAGTGTGTGCTTTCCCAAAAGTTCTCCGAGTCCAAGTCGAAAAACTTCCGGCATTATACCCCTCCAACGCTTCGATTTCCCCCCCTCCATGCAACCCCGACATCGTCACCCCAGCATGAGAAATGTGTGTGCATGTTTCTAGATATGGACCGTTGGACTGTCGGAGCCCGTTTGACCCATTGCACCGCCACAGGTGATTGGATCGCGGTAAGGTTTAGCGGCTTGGGGCGAAGAGGCTAAGGGCCACACTAGCCACATGTCGCCTGGTCGTTGGCTCAACACGGCATGTGCCACAGTTCCAAGGAGCCACAACATTAGCGCCCTTGGCATCAGGCCTTGTCATAGGGCTCGACCGACGGCTTCCGGTGCAGGGGTTCGGAAACTGTGTGGGAAAGGCATATTATTCTAGTGTACGGAGTACGGAGTACGTCTCAAAAATTGTGACTTATGTGTTGACGCTACGGCTGGGATTTATGCCTCACTCCCTCAAGGTATATACATACAGACTGCGATTATGGACCCACCAATTCGTTTCGAATGCAAGTTGAGCCGATCTGATAAATGATATTGGTTGGTGGATGCCGTCGTTTTGCTCTCGAATTCTACATATATATATGGGGTATGGAGACCAGGTGAGATGTCGACGAGGGATAGGTGAGCTGAAAAATGCTAGGATGCAAACCAGCCTTGTTGGGCATGCCGCGCCGCCTTCTCCGACACTATCCCGCAGAAGCGTGGGAACACACCTCGAAAAGGAATCCGTTCCTATTTATGACCCCGCAATGATAGCAGTCCGAAATAGTTGGTATTGTCATTATGTAATGCCATTAGCGAGAGGGTTTTACGCGTCTTCCGCTCTCGCTGTGAGCCTCTCGATCTGGACCTTGCATACTAATTCCGGCCGCCAGTGGTTACGGTTGCGGGCCGTTACGCTTTGCCACATTCAGCAACACTTCATTCACACGTGACCTGTTTGAGAATTCAAGACCTAGGAGACTAGGGAGTATGCTTGGGCTTATTCTGCGTCGATAGGGATCCTTTTATCGCCTCCCGCACTTGCGGAAATATCCCACCCCAACAGGTTCAAAGTCATGATAGCTCACGCCTGCAGGTCCTCACCTATCCCCGAAAATCATCGCTACTCTACCATGGATTCGAGACCACTATGAGGTAGGGTCTATGAACTGTGAAAAGGCAAGCTTGGCGCAGGGAATTGCTATGACCCTCCAGTGTATGGAGTGTAAACACTTACATTCAACCCTTACCTTCTTGTGCGTCTGGTGGAAAAACTAAATATTCCGTTATCCTTTTTGGAGCGATTGCTTGATTCTACCGACTTAGCAGGGCCGTCCACAGAGGGCAGCTGGGTTGGAAGCACAATATTCCCTCGCGTTCCCCTAATATTCTGGCGACTATCTATTCTTTTTTTGTCGGGGAACTACGCTAGCAAGCTCGGTACGCGTACGGAGAAAAGTCTCCTTTCCTGAGTATTTCTCCTCGTTTCCGGTTCCTCTTCCAACCCAATCACATCCAACCGTTCTCAACTCTGTTCAATCCTGCGTTGTGGACATTCGACCGTGTTCCCCCAGGATTACTATGTAAACAACGTTGGAAATTTCAGAAAAACCGGTTCTTCAACGAGAGTTAAAACCGCCAAAAAATTATCCCAGCATTTCTTCCACACAATAGCGTTGCTAACATCCAAGAGACTGATGACTAATCCTGACGTAACCGGTGAACTCATCCCGTCGCGAGCTTTCCTTGGAAAGGAGGAAAAGGCAGCTCCCCAGCTCGTGGTTCTCGCCCAACGTGCTTCGATCAGCACGGGCGAGCCACATGGAAGCGGGAAGCTTGATATTCCTTGGATCGCGCGGACATCCGATCTAACATGATTTACGAAAAGCCGTCCGAGTCTGGGATACCTGTGGGGGGGGGAACAAAACTCTTTTCAGGGATGATTGGGAAGGATTCCGGGAGGGTGTATTCCCATTATTATTTTGCCAGATAGGGAATTTTTTCGCAATAAATAGCGACCTGTTTAACTTGTGCTGGAGAGAAAGTGATGAACAATTTTCTTTTTTCCCTTTTTTTTTTTTTTTTTGGAGGGTTCTTGTTCTCTCCCACTCCCAGAGCAGAGCCGGGCCCAAAAAAAAAAGAAAAAGGAAAAAAGGGAAAAGAGAGAGGGGGTCCAGGAAGCTGACGGAGCAAAGGGAAGATGTGGGGAACTTGAAGCCTAAAAATCTTGGGATCTTGCACAATATTTTCCTGTTTTTGCTTGTGCTCCTTTCTACGTATGATAATGAAAAGTAGAAGACTGTACAAAGGCCGTAGAAGCCTGTAGTGCTGCTTAATGTAGAGGCCCTCACATCAGCGAAATTGAGTTGTTATTGGCCTCAATGTTATTATTATTCTACACCAAAGGTCCTCTTTCACAAGGGCATCAAGTGTATTTTGGACAAAGTCAGTCATGTGGAGTGTCTCCAGTCGTCGCAAAGGAATAGGCTCCCCTTACGTCGGCGATTATCGAAGGTTGGAAAAAAAAAGAAAAAGAGCAAGAAAGAAAAAAAAAAAAAAAAATCAAGCAAAAAGAAAAATAAAATTGAAGCGTTTTGCATTTGCCCGATTCATGGTACCTGGGAGAAATCTTCTTTTTTTTTTTGGTTCCAGGGATTCATGGAAAGGGTAAAAAGCTCTTTTGGGTTCTGCAACGTCCACCAGCAGGGCCTGAGAGGTATCTGCCGTGTATTCCGGAGATATATGGAGTATTCAGAAAAAATTTTTCACTCGATAACCCCGATAATGGAGAATAAATTCAGAGCGGGTGGCAGTGTGCGGTTCGCACTCCGTATTTTGGGGCGAAGGAATATGGCCCCAGGCACCAGCATTATTTCTGCCAACGCGTTGTAACACTGCTCCTAGCAGTACTCCGTAGTCACACAGACAACAGCTCTGGAGTTGGGGTTAGCTGATTTGACTCCGCACGCGGGGGCGCCCAATGTTGTGCAGAGTGATAAATGTGTGACGACGGCCCCTGTGGCTTTTGAAATGAAAAGTAGACGCAATTTCGAACATCTTGTCTGTGAGTGGCTCAGGATGCCCAAAATTGCGGGAAGACGTCTCTGTTTTGAAAGCCAGCTCTGTAAAATTGTTAGTACGTCAGAAGCTGAAAGAGGATGACATGGGTTGCCTGCTGAGCCACGAGGGCTTTTAATCTTCTTGAAACGGAGCATGGACGCACTTTCGGTGCCGTCATGCCTGCGCTTCACAGCCCCCCCTTGGCGGGCAATAGAGAGAGGGCTTGTTCTCCTACATGTTTCTTTTCCTTTTCCTTTTTTTTTTTTTGGGGCAGAATACCAGGTTACACAGAGATCAGGAGCAAAAATACGTCCCGCCCGCCGAAGCTGGAGTTGCACCGTGCCAGCCACCCACACACACACACAGAGAGAGACACAGAGAGAGGGTTCGCAGAGTCAGTGTCCTATGTGTATCTGCAAGATTACACCATCGGTCACCAGGTATCGCTGGAGTACCGCTCGGATACATGCCAAGACCGATTTCATTTCGCTACTGGCTTTCCCGGACAGCCCCACATAGCTGTGGCTGCGGCCCAATCACAGCCTTCGAGATCTGCGCCAGCTGCGATTTCACGGCGCTGCTCAACCACTAGCGTCTGCCAGAACTGTGGCCGGTGGAGCTCAGTTGCGGTTTTACGGTTCACGGTGAATCTGCCATTGGCTGCACCCTTTACAAGCTCCCAAGCCGTGCTGGTGTTTCATGGCGCAAGGAGCTCAGAGCTCCCGCTCAGTGAGCTCCTCTCTCACACTCTCTCGTACTCGTAAAGTGGTGATTATCACGGGCCTTGCATCTGCTGCAACAGAGGGGACGGTGACCGGCCAGCCACCACTCAGCTCCTCACGAATCAGATAAATAATCTCGAAAAAAAAAAAAAAAAAAAAAAGAATCCCATTACAGAAATGCCCAGCAAGATCGAATGATCATGTGTCCGCTTTTGTGGGACGCAGATCTGCCCGGCTATCCGCGAGTTCCGCAGAAGCTCGCTAACTCGACTTTAACTCACGTTTCGGTAACTTTACGAGATCCGAAAGACGCAGAGAGGCCGGAATACCGTTACCAGCGCTAATTAAGCCTCTCTGGTGCGGGTTTTCCGCCTGTGACACGGGGAGAGCCAGGCGTGACAATACCGTACGCAGAGGACGTTATAATCAAACAGACAACCAATCACCGCACTCCAAAACCACCCAAAATCTTCCCGATTGCCCCAGGGCGCTTTGGTACCGCCGTTTCATGTCTGTTTTTTATTACAACCCTTTCTTCCTCTTTTCGCTTCAACTCTCGCTCACATTCCTCTCTCTCTCTCTCTCTCTTTTACTTCCTCACTCTCCTCTCCTGCAGATCTGCTTCGTCCTGTTCTTCTCTCCCTTCCTCCTCGAGCATTTCTGCCGTTCATCTTCTACCTCTCCCTTTTCATCCGTTCCTCTCTCCTGTTGACTCTCACCTACGTCCTTGGCGCCGCCGCCGTTCCGACTGGGCCGGCCGTCGTGGTGTCGTCGTTGGGTCGTCAGATCGCGCAGCCAAGATCTTCAAAGGCGATCATCCCGCCGAATCTGAGGTTCGACCTCCGCTAATCTCTTCGCCCGGCGTCACTGTCGATACTGGACAACGTCGCACGGCGATTTCCCTCGAGCCATTTCCTGGTCGTCCTGCTACAATTACCCGATTAGGTGATCTGTTGACTTCCCTCCAAACTGGCCCTCGTCCCGACACGACGTGCGTATCGGCCGCCCGAGACAACAACACACGGAGATGGCTGGAGTGATAAACGCTTCGATGGCCTCGTGGAAGGACCATCCGCAGAAATACCTCGGAAAAGTGTCCGTGATGCTGCCATGGCGGTCCCTGCAACTGCTCTTTCCTCACCGCGTCCGGCGACGACTACGGTCGAAATTGCGCAGCAGAGTCTCTCCGTCCTCCTCGATAGCTTCGCTCAAGACCTCCTTTTCACCCCTCGACACCCTGAAGTCGCTCCAATCCCACCGCTGGACCGTTTACGACGGGCAATACCTGTTCTTAGCAATTCTCGGAATCTTTTGTTTATCCGTCATTGAAACACCCGGACCCCTCATAAAGACCTTAATTTCTCTGGTTATTTTAATCTCTCTGATCCTCCCCGTTACCTGCCAGTTTCTTCTTCCGGCCCTGCCCATCATAGGCTGGTTGGTCTTTTGGTATGCCATGCAGTAAGTCTACCCGCATCAGCTGCCCCCTTTCCCGGTGCTTTCTTCGAGTACCACGCGTTTTGATAGCGATACCGGGGGTGGAAGTTGACTGCTTGTCCCTTAGATATATACCAAGTAACTGGAGACCTCCAATCTGGGTTCGCGTGCTTCCAGCGCTTGAGAACATCTTCTACGGAGCGAATCTCAGCAACATCCTCTCGACGCATAAGAATGTGGTTCTAGATATCATGGCATGGCTACCCTATGGAATTATGCATTTTGGTGCACCTGCTGTGTGCTCACTTATCCTCTTCATCTTCGGTCCCCCAGGACTGACTCCGATCTTTGCCCGGAGCTTTGGGTATATGAACGTGATCGGCTGCGTAATTCAATTTCTCTTTCCTTGCTCGCCGCCGTGGTATGAGAACTTGTACGGTCTAGCACCCGCCCACTACGGAATGCCTGGCTCCCCAGCCGGCCTCGCACGCATCGACGAGTTGTTTGGCCTTGATCTGTACACATCTGGGTTCACAGCTTCTCCGGTCCCGTTCGGCGCGTTCCCTTCCCTCCACGCTGCAAACGCAACCATCGAAGCCCTTTTCATGAGTCACCTCTTCCCCAGATTCCGCGCTGCGTTTGTACTCTATACTCTTTGGATATGGTGGGCAACGATGTACTTGTCACATCACTACGCGGTCGATCTCGTCGGCGGTAGTCTCCTGGCTGCAGTCACGTTCTACTACGCCAAAGCCAGATTTGTTCCTCGTATGCAGCATGACAAGCCCTTCCGGTGGGATTATGATTATGTGGAAGTTGGCGACTCAACCGACAACTACAACTACGATCTTGCGACCCTCCACGGCGAATTCCAGACCGATAGTGATGAATGGACTGTAGGGTCTTCTTCCTCAATCTCTTCAGGATCCCTCAGCCCAGTCGACGAAGCCCAATCGATCTGGGATGGCGACACAGTTGGAGGAAACTCTGATCTTGAAGCAGCCCGATGACCACTCCTCGCCTTATGAACGACCTTCTCGACATGCCTCAGCCCGTTGCCCCTGACTTTCCGCCTGCCTTTCTTCATGGGACCTTTTTTTCCTTTTTTTTTTTTAAATTCTTGCTTAGAAGCGGGCATTGATTTTCAAGCGATACGACTTTTTAATATTTTTTTCACCTTTTATCCGGTCCTGGCGCTTCTTCTTGGATAACCCTCATAGCGGCTGATGATTCTGGACTTTTAATTTACTCGACTATTTGGCTCGATTCATTTCTCTGGGAGTCGAACGGAGGTGCGACGTTCATAATATTAATCCTGATCGCAACTTTCAGTTCCGGAATGGATACGGCATTCTGGCATTCCACTGTCTGCCAACTTGTTGATCTACCCTCGGACGTCAACGAGCGCCGCACTTACTGCGATTCTACTTCCGTCTCGTTTTGCTTCGTTGTGCATACCTCCGGCTTCATGCATATACTTTTTTGTTGCATGGCATCTACGACCTATCTTCGACAGTTTCCACTGGGTCAATCGCATAATATACCATGATGCATCGGGACTTGGAATCTGGGGGAGAATCGGGGTTCATTTTAATGTTTTACACTCGCTGTGCTCATGCGCCACTTAGGCTTGGGGAGTTCGGTTCCTGGGAGAGGATTGCATTGATAGCGTTCGCTTCGAATCATGGACATGAGCACCTATAGACATGTGTGATACCGGAACTATCACATTCTCGTTCGCTTTCAAAACCAAAAATTTATTACAATCGTTTAAAAGTCGTTGCTCAATGCATGTGACGTTGCGGTGTACGGGTGGATCTGAACAGATTATTCTTCGAAGTTCAAGACCCAAGCTTCGATCCGTCGGCAAACACCATGATTAATGACTTGCATCATGCTTTGACTGTGGTACTACGAGGACACTTGCTTCATTATTCAGATTCAAGACAACTTCCACAAACAGATCACTACAATGCATTGTTGATCATTACACCTTTCTACTCCGTTGTTTTTTTGCCACAGCAAGCTGTCCATCACCTCCACCAGCAAGCATATTGTTGCCCTTTGAGACAATAATGTCTTCCTAATTAATACAGATAATGTTGATAAAATGCATGGCCTTGTCTATTTACTTGATTGCAAGGGCAGACATTTTAATTGGATTATGGTGCAATTTGGGCGTGAAAATGCTTTGACAGGAACCTTTGCCAGCCACACACAGAAGAAGACATGACCACCTATCCACAAATAAGAACGTGATCGTGATCAGATTGTCAGCTACACGCAAAGGGTGTGGCATTTTAGAGTCAATCTTCTACACCCAAACGGTTACCAGCAACTGTCCAATGTGGCATGCTGGTCCTCTCAAAGCAGCATGATAACTGGTGCTGTGGCATATTGTATAATGTTCTCTTTTTTTCTCTTGTGCATTTTCTTTTTCTTGTGTTCCGCTTAGATCCTATGACGCTGGATAATAGGCAGTGAACATATTGCCTCTGTTATAGAGACTCCGATGTACAGATACATAATATCATGAAAAAAAAAAATATATTATGATTCGATGAGCTGATCAAGGCTGTTTGCTTACTGGTACGTGATGATCACTCTTCTCAGAAAGTCTTCCACAGATTGGGGTTTGTAGAAATAGCTTTAAGTTGGGATGTCACATCTACTACTTTGTCCATCTCAACTTCACGCCAATGGTCATACATAGTTCTGTTTTCATGGAGGAATCACACATGTTGTGAGCCTTTAATACCCCCCTCCTCCTCTCTTTTTTTTTTTTTTTTTTTTTTTTTTTGTGTGTGTTTTTACTACAGAGTACTTAAGCCACATTGGTTTAGTCCATTATACATTATGTTTGGTGAAAGAGGTGCACCAAACTATAGCCTTGTCTATTTATACATAATAATACCTGTACCCCATACACGGGGGGAAGGGAAATGTAGACATCTTGCCCTTCCCCTCATGCCTCATTGCCTCCTACAAAAGGCATGTGCCCCGGAAACAGCCCATAGGCCAAACAGGCCTATTTTCATAGGAGGGATTAAAAAAAGATTCTATCCTTCTTTTGTTGTCTTCTTTTTATTCCTGTCATATTTCAACAGGCTTTAGTCATCATCATATATTGGCACATTATCTGCATACTCTCGGATTCGAGAGACATAGCGCTCCTCGATCTGCTCACCTCTGCCACCTGCAATGCGGAGGATGAGTTCGTTGAGGGATGAGCGGCCGAGGATGTCAACATGGTCACCTGGAATACTGATATTAGGAAAACCTCATACTTTCTTTGCTTTCTCTTGAAAGGTATATGATTTGGAAAGGAAACAAGGGGGAACACACGTACCAGTATTTGGTCCACCCCGAGGTGAGAATCTCTCCGGCTCATGCGGCATCTCGTACACTTTCACTTTCACCCCTGCAGGATTATATCTCTTTATTCTCCATCCTTTGGCGCACATATACCCTAAGCTCAGCAGGTTCACCGTCCCATCTCCCTCACTCATGACCACCCCGTGATCGACATTGCCGTTTGTCACGGATGTATCGATGCTAACGTGTAATTTCGACAATGGATCGGTGTCTTCGCGGTAAAAATAGCTTCGCTCCGTGGGCTTACCCACGCCGTAGAAGCAGTAGATTTTTAGGTTAGGGGCCAATGGAAGACGGGCTTCCAGCGGATTCAGCCATTTACGGGGGTCGGCTTCGTTAGCTTCGACCTCATTACGGGTGCGCGCTACACCGTGGGAGTAGCTGTGCTGTACTTGGTTACGGAACCAGGGCTCCGCATTGTTAAAAAGGAACTTTAGGCTGCTTTCGATCGTGAGGTTTTGCTGTGTCCAAGAGGAATTCGATTCGCGAAAATTGATCATGTTTCCGTATGTGAAGTTCTGACCAGGGACATCGTCAGGCGCCCAGGTACCATTTCCCCATATGGCATCGCCGCCTTTTGGAAGCATGCTGGATATGCCGGGCATGGCGCGAAATATCTCTGCGCGTTCTTCTTTCGAGAGGAATTTCTCCAGGCCGTAGACTGCGAACGCGTTGAGTTGGGCTGTGTCCTTCATCTCACCAGACAGGACTGCCGTCAGGCCCTTAGTTGCACCGAGCATGCAGCCGCTCACGTTTATCCACGAGTCGATGTGCTTCTCGACCCATTGAGGCCCTCCGCCGCCATGGCTTTCGTTCTCAACCCATTTGAAGAAGAACATAGCTACTTGCGATCCCATGCTGTGCGAAGCCAAAACGACCTTCTTGTCCGAAAGTTGAACTGCCGCTTCGATGTGACTCTTCAATCTGGTAAAATAATGGTCTCGCTTCTCGAGGTTTAGGTACGAGAGGCGCCAGTCATAGGCGGCCGAAAAGGCGTTGGTCGGATCATAGCCTATTGTCGCCAGGTTCTCCAGGATCTTGTTCCAGATCCAGTATCCGGTTATAAAGAAGTCCGTGGCATCGAACCCCTGAGCTGCACGAAGTTTCACGCCCGGCGGATCCAACCCGGTCTCCTTGTCTAACATTATATGCTGCTTCCAGCCCGATTTATCCAAAACCAAAGCTCTCATCATACTCCAACTTCCCCATAGTCGCTTTCGAAAATATTGTCGAGACTTTTCATCTGTTCCCCAACTCTCCAGGCCAGTCGATATAACCCCAGGGATCATAATAACGGGATATTGGGCGTGGATGCCTTGGGCCTGAAGATTTAGGCCAACGGAAAACGCATCGTAGCTGATCGCGTCACGTTCCTGTCTCTAAAAGTTTCACAGAACACAAAGGTCAGTCCACGCGTATAGCCCAAGCATACCAGCAAAAGCTCAGTGTGCAAGCAAGTTTGCTAAGATGGAACCATACCGAAAATTCACTCGCATCTTTCAATATGCCCGCTGGGATAACATCGATCAAAGAATCGAGATTCAAATCCATCAATGCATCCAAGCTGATAACTTCATTGTGATTCGCGAAAAAAAGGGCTAGGAAGACGCCGAAGATCCCTCCCAGTCCAAATATCAATCCATTCCGCCGTTTGCTTCTCCGCTTCGTCACTAGCTCTTCCTGCGGTTTTTGCCTCAATGTGACTGTTTGACTCCTCCTATCTTGCGGAATTTCGGTTTTATTCTCCTTGTTTATCAGTGTATTCACGTCGCTATCGCTGGTCTTAAGATGGACGGAGGACGAGGGACCGGGATTCGCGGCAACGGCGGAACGTGCGGCGGAACGGGCGGCGGAAGTGTTTGGACTGAAGATGTCGCCGAATCGTCGCCGAAATGTAGCCATAACGTTGCGTCAATTGTCTTAAATCATTTTTTTTCCCTCTTCTTCTTGTGTTACGAAGCGAAAGCAAATGTGGGTGGTTGTGTGGTTCTCGTCCGTGAGGGAGGAACTGGGCAGAGCTACCCGTTATCGAGGTGGGTGAGAATCACATGTAGGATTGGGACATTGGGGGCGACGTCTATGGACAGAGAAGTTGGCGCGTCTCTTCTGGGTCCAGAAGGATAAAATCATCTAGCCAGCGTTCTCAAATCACTGTTACCCCCTTAAAGTTGCGTCGACAAGAAAATGGATGTATGAACGGGAGTCGATCGGGAGACAAGGGCGAGTGCTACCGCCAACCAACTACAAAGCTAACTCGCTGCGCTTTGTCTCAAGAGCCACGGTGAGCCAACCACTCCACGGTCGCAGCTTCGGGTTCAATACACGCAATTACCATAAAATCATGACTCTGAGTGAATTTGCTTATGATGAAGTGCCCTTTGTATTATGCATGGAGTGTCGCGGCCGATTTTGAGGGCCGCCTTTGACGGGGGAAGCCGTTAAAATACAACTCCGAATTGCATAGACCCATTCTGAAGTAGGACAAGGCCCGGAAGATCAAGGTTTCCAGCGGTGGTCCCCTCTCCCGTTTTCCAATGTAAAACTGTGCCGATTTAGATATGAAATGCAAGGAAGCCAGATGAAATGAGGCAGTATATGGAACACCAAAAGCACCTGACCCGCCATCATCCTTAAACCCCGAAGGAACGCCTTCCGAAGATTGGAAACAAGTCAAAAGAGAAAAACCCAGTGTTCTGCCATGTGGTGCGCTGAGATTTGCGTGTGTCGGACGTCTAAATTGATCGCGTGAAACGGACATGCGTAAAGTGGTGCAAAAAAATCCTGACCTTGTCTAATACACCACACAGAGGAGCTCTGCTTCGAGAATGAACTTTCCTTCCTTGTATTTCTCGGAGTTTTCGTAGGCTTTATCGTACTTCCAGCCCACTGTCTCCTTGCACTGTCTGCAAACTATGTCTCGAACGATGTGCCGGCCGGTTGTCATGCTCCGTTCCACAGCTTCGGCTTCAGTGACGTTGACGACGCCGTTGAAAAGGTACGCTTTGCCATGTTGGCCGCGGAAGTTCTGCAGCAAGAAACACGTCAGCAGATGCTGCCGTAGAGGTTCCAAAGCAAACAGCAAGTAACAGAAGCGTGGATAGCCGAGGAACATCACTCACCCGACTTATGATATCATGATAGTCGGCAAGATGGGTCTTGCAGTTTTTGCACCCAAATATTTTGGTGGAATTAATGTAGGTGTTGTACGCGAGTCCCATCACGATAGCGCCTCTCCTACCTTCCCACGCAATCAAGCCCTCGACCAGGGTTCGTTGGTGCAAGAATAGGAAGGGTTATGAAGGCAAACTAGCTAGGCTTTGCTGTGTTTTAGTAGTAGTAAAGTACGCGAGGTGGCTGAAGGTTTCAAGAGGACCCCGAGGACGATGATTCCGGGAGTCTTAGGGAAGTTGGCTTGAATAAGGCCAGGGGTATGTAACGCTGGTTCAATAAAGCGGGGATTGGCTCAAAATTAGAAAGGACTATTAACTGAATGCACTCAAAATTAGTACCTTCGGGCCCTTGGATCGTTCAACTCTTTTCTTTTTTTCTTCTTAGCAAAAGAATGATTTGCTTCTTGTCGATAGGCCACCGGGTAGCTCTGGGGAGGTCTCTGAAGTGAACGATGTGGCCAGAAAGCTATTGGGCCCTGGTTCGTGTGCTATACGGCAGACAGCTTCGTCGGACCACTTGACGAAGGTGTAGAGTTGAAGAGATGGCGGTTGGGAGTTTGATGCCACCTCTGACGTCTTTGAGAGCAAGATGTGGGCAGATAAGGAGGCAGGGGGAGAACGGTGCTTATCAGTCCAGCGATAAGATAGCAGTGAACTAGTTTAACCGGCCAGCAATTGCATGAGAGAGATCCTGCTTTGCTTCTGGACCGGATAGTAAGAACAAGCAGTAGCAGACTGTATTTTTCTGCGGTCAGTAAACTTGCGAGCGGGCACAGGCAGCAGCGAGGAGGCGGAGTGGGTGGGAATAAGGTGAGGAGAAAGTGAGGAGGTTTGGGTTACTTTAAGTAGGCTTCTCGGAGAAAGTGAGTAGCCGTTGCTGGTGCAACTCGGGCCAGGTCACGCCCACCACGGCTCACCTGAGCATGGAGCATACTTGGATGACGCCAGGAAACATGACACTCTGCCAATTAACACAAAGTTCTTGCTTGCTAGCAGAGTTTATGAGATACAAAAATACGCAGCGAAGCCCCGTATTATTCCGGATATACACACATACGGGAACATCTTTGAAGGGAGATAACTGCGCCGCAACACCCGCATTTCTCAGACTACAGAGAGGCAATAAGGCGACAGTGGGATTAAATCTGACCCTCCCTAGACGACAGGAGAGGACGGAGAGGAGATGTATTAGATGGAGATGATGTTCCATATATTTTGCTCCTAAGGTCCCACGGCTTGTGCAGATTCACCGGACGAGGCCTTGGTTTCGGTTCCTCCACGGCGACCCAACGCCGTTCGCGCAACCCGCACACTGCCCATGATCAAGACCAAGAATGCGCCTAATAATACCTAACGTGCTCAGCCGAGGGGACCCTTCACCGTAAAAAAGGCGGCCTGTGTGTCCGAGCATGGCGTTTTGCTTGGAGTACAAACAACCAGGATCACTTGCTCAACGTTGATCCAAATTCATCGAATTAGCTTCCCAAAAGCGTTTGCAATCAGAGTGGCCCCAGTGCTCGGTCCACCATTCCTCGAAAATATCATCAACGTTCTCGTCGATTTTGGAAACCCTTTCTTCCCGTCGCAGTCCGCAGAGTGCACATGCATGCGGCGCTTTCAATGCACCCTCCTGAGTAGTGGCGGTTCTCACTTGAAGATTACCAGCTACGAACTGAACTGGTGATTTTCCTCCCGCTGAGGCTGCAGAGTTTAAGAGCCCATTGCATTTCTTCCATATGTCAAGGACTTCGACAGCTTCTTTTTCCTCTCTCACATTTTCGCTTTTGTTAACGCTGCTCAATTTCATTCCTCCAGGCCTCCCTGACGCAGGTCCTATCCTGATACTTTGGCTGAGGATCGAGTCTCGCTTCCAGCGTAAACTGCGTCCTGCTATTATGTGTACCATAACTTTCAAGCTATATGTGATCTCTTCGGCTGGGCCAGTGTCAGGCAGAGGCCCGGCCTTTCTTTTGGCGTGAATCGTGTAGTTTGTCGCTTTTACTCGTAGTTTCTCTAATAAAGACGGGAATAGCCGGAGAAGAATAGAAGGAGGGGGAATATTCGTAGGCCTCACCATTTTGGGAGAACGTGCAACAGTTCGAAATGGAACGCTCGCTTTTGTCTTTGGTACACCGGATCGCGGTGCTGACGGCGACTGTACTTGTTGCATTGGTAGAGTGGCAGTTTCTAACATTCTTGGAAGGTCTTCTTGCTTGTTTCCAACGTCAATGCCATCAGTGAACTCTCCCCAGTCATCCTCTTCTCCAAAATCTAGCCATGCTGTAGTAGGCTCGGAGTCTCCTTGCTCCTGTTTGATAGGATATCTATCATGGACATTGCAATCCAAGGCTAACGGGGCTCGGTGCGGGATTTGTGGCGGAGGATTCGAGTCTTCAGTGGATAAAAGATCCAATAGGGGTATTTGGCGTGGTTTCGAAGCTGGAATACTCAGCTTATCCTGAGCACCATGGTGGATTATGAATTCAGTCGGCTTAATACTATCCTCAAAACGTTGGACGGGCTCGTCGTTTGTGAACTCAGACTTTGCAGACTCGAATTCCCCCCATTCATCTTCAGTGGCTTCATTAGATGCAATTTCAGTCGATGCATCAAACAGAACTTCATTCGATCCGGCTCCAGATACACTCGTATCTTGTATAGCCTGAGAGAAAGGTGATAGGTGCGGCTCAGAAGAGAAGTCAATGAGCGTAGAGTTACCAGCAGCATCAACTATGGAGTTCCATGTTTTGGGGCGATTCCCAGAACTCGATGACCCGCTATTCGAATTTGACGATACTTTCACCGAGTTATCGAGAGTTTTTGGATTGCCGAACGCCGCGAAAAGGTCTGCTGACATTCTTGACTTGTGGTGGTTTCTGGAAGAGGGGTTGGAGGTCAGGATCGACGTCGTTGACTTATCGACCTCGTATTTTTCTCGTGGCCCTGACTGTTGCTGCAGGTTCAGCTGGGCTTGGCTACATCATTCGAAGATCGACTTGAAGCTCAAGCCTCCCTTCTGATTGCTGCTACTCCGTACGGAGTACTCTCAGTAAAATATGGAGAACGCGCCTCTGGGGGATGCGCCAAGAAAGCCATCGGACGCTAACGAGCAAACGGGGCGACAGCAAAACTGCGTCATTTCGGGGGTTCCACCAGCGAGTTGTTCAGAGAGTTACATCGCCCATTTCAGAAAAGGGAAGTGGAATCAACTGTCTTCGAAACAGCAGATGTGACATCGACGGAGTGCCTATGATGCCATGAGAACTGCGGAGGAGTCGCGGTTAGCAAGCTCTTTGACCTATCGCTGCAAAGTTTCCGAATCTAATACCACCTCTCTAGCCAGCGATGGGACACTCTGTTCGATCAGCACCAGTGCGCTTCACTGGAAGAGCTGGGCCAGAAATTGAAATCTAAACTCCATGGAGATCCCTGTGAGGATGGACTGAGATCTATTTGTTGGAAGGCAAGTGCCCTTATCGAAAAGCCCCTTTTCTCGCCCCGTCTAACAATCTGTGATAGGCATTTCTCGTCCACAAAAACGTTGATCGAGAGTCATGGCCCACACAACTTTCGGATACAAGGGGAGCGTATACCGCGCTGAAAGATCATTTCCTGAAGTACATTGACCACCCGGATGATCTGCCGTCGGCGGCGGATCCATTGGCTGAAGATGACAATGTATGTGCTACCCCGTGAAAAGCAGCAAATGAATACAGCAACCTAAGGCTAGTCGCAGTCTCCCTGGCAATCTCTCCGGCAAGATGAAGCTATTCGAACTGAAATATACCAGGATGTAGAGAGGTGTCTCCAGGAAAACTATTTCTTTCGGGAACCAACAACCAAGAGAAGAATGTTGGACATCTTATTTATCTTCGTCAAGTTGAACCCGGACCTTGGTTATCGACAAGGGATGCATGAACTTCTGGCACCGGTCCTATGGGCTGTTTGGCAGGATGCAATTGAAAAAGATTCGGTCTCTGAAGATAATTTACCAAGCGAGGACCGCGAGCTCTTACTGCAAGCTTTGGATTCTGACTACATAGAACATGATGCTTTTGCAATTTTCTGCGCAATTATGCAAACAGCGAAACTATTTTATGAACACGACGAAATGAAATCGAATTCGGACCAGCAAAACGTCTCCTCGATCATTGCTCGGAGTCAACGCATCCATCAAATCCTCCTAGGTAGCATTGATCCGGAATTGATGTCTCACCTTCAAACCATTGGCATTCTGCCGCAAATATACCTAACGTGAGTTCCCCCCTAGAAGCTAGCTAACGCCGGAAACTTACTGATTGTAGGCGTTGGCTCCGTCTATTCTTCGGGAGGGAATTCCCTTTTGAAAATACGCTTTCCATGTGGGACTTGATGTTTACTGATCTCCGACCAGAACTCGTAGAGCTAGTATGTGTTTCAATGTTGATAAGGATTAGATGGCAATGTAAGATGCACCCTTTGTCTATACTTTGCACAATTGAATCTAATAACCCTCCTAGTATTGTCATGCGACTATTCGTCGGCCCTCGCTTTGCTGTTGAGATACCCTTCCCCGGAGCCTCATAAACCTGAGGTTTTCGTTCTTGATGCTTTATTCTTGGAAGAGAATATGACGTGGGATGGCGCGTCGCTATTGATCTCAAAGTATACAGGAAAATCGCCAGATCTCCAAGGCCGGAACTTGCGATACCAAACAGTGCCTACAGCTTCACAGAAAAAGAACTCTTACAGCAGGGACCCCAGCTCCCGTGCTAGTGAGGATAACTCGCCAAGCAGGTCGCCACTTAGAATAAATCAAAAGCGTCTTGATTCTTTATTTCAAGACGTATCGGACGGTATTTCTCGACGGACAGAGGCATGGGGAGTCGCCAGAGCCGTCCGCGGGGCAATGATCGAAGCCAGGCGCAATATACAAGGCATCCATTCCGGCCCTGCCACCCCCGGACTACCTTTTGAAGAAGGCCCAATCTCCAAGTTATCCATACCGTCCAAGGTTGAAGCTGCTGCGCCTCATGAGCTGAGTTTGAAGGTAGCCTCTCTCAAAAACCGGAACAAAACCCTAGCAAACCTACTTGGAGATGCGTTAAAAGATTTACGAGCTTACAACGGAAAATTGGATGACGTCTCTCGGGACCAATCTACTAGAGATGTTGACGAAATAATCAGAAGAATCGAACGTGTGCAGAAGTTGCTCCAAGATTCGTCGCTCCCCATCATAGAGAAGAGGCGAAAAAGCAGCACCAAAGTGAATAGTTCGACGGTATCCAAGGCCTCGCATGCGGAGACACACAGTGAGGCACTGGCCGAGAAGAGTGAACAACTTGAAACTGACTCAGGCTCAACGTCAACGCCGCCCACGCCATTGAACTCCAAAGAATCGAAACCCCTTAACCTAATCAAACCGATGCCAATTCGACCTGTTCCGCGTACCTCCTTGGCAGAGTCGTCGTTTTCGTGGATGCTGGGAGAGGATGACCGCCGTTCGGCTTTTGCGCCCTGTGCATCAGTTCCGCCCGAGCACCTGCGGAGACATGAGCTTCAATCAAAACCGGGTCCGCTCTTTAGAGATCAGCGTAGCGATGATAAGCGGAAGCGGGCCAAAGAAGCGGAGAGTGATGGCCTCGTTTTAGATCCGTTGCAAGGAAAATCGGAGGAATGACGATATGGCTTGGACCATGGTCGGGGTTAGCTGCAATAATACTCGTCTTTTTGATCCCACTCTTTTGCAGTGGCTTAACCCACCGTTTCCCGTTAGGCTGTTAGTGATCCTGAAGAGAAATTTGCAGAAAAAGGGCTCCAGATTTACTCCCTCCAAGTGCTCCCTCATCGAAGTCCGATATGCTGGAAATCCCACTGTTGAAAGCATGCTTACCAGAAAATTCCAGGATGTGCTACCTTCTATGTATTTCAATCCAGTCCAGGTGGGTAGCTAGCATAAGGAACCGATCTCTTGAATCCCAAGGTGCTGGCAAACGGCCTTTTTTTTCGCGGCCTCCTGATGGTAACACCTATTACGTCAAGACACGGAGATGCGATCGTATGAGAGCTCCACACTCCAGTGCATCTCCCGATCCTCTGAGAGGCTTTCTCAAACATAACTTTGCATGGAAATCCATGGCATTCGGGCGCTACACGTGCCCGTACAGGTCCATCGAGGGAGTGGTGGGCGAGGTACTTGAAACCTTGTAGTTTTGGCGGGGTAATTGGCAGAGAAGCTACCTGGGCGAGAGTAACAAGGTAATGAGCGGCTTTGCCCCGCATGTACCTATTTAACTAGGCGGCTGTGCTCTCCTCCAGCTTGCTCCGATGACTTGTTTTCTTGTAGAATGGATTGGGTTGAAAGCAATTGTGTGAACCAAGAGTCACATTCCAAAGCTGCCTGAACCCACCGGAGCTGAGCAGAATTCGCCGTCAATGCAAAAAGTTGAAGAGGCACACGGCCTTGGCCAATCAGCCTGTCGTTAACTGCGGCGTCAATATCAAATACGACCTCTCTCCCTCAGGAAGAGGTGTCCTTCGCTGACATCCACCACACTGAGTAAATTCTTTTTTGGTTATTATTTGACGATAGACATTTCTGCGAGTCATTTTATGTGGCTGCACCCATCACCTGCCTGGCTGACTTGCTGCCGAGCAGTCAGATGCCTCTTGAAGTTTCTTCACCAGCCTCACCCGTAACATAGGTTCGCCAGCCCTGCATCTAAGACATCCAGCCTCAATCCATAGAGTGACGCCTATCGCACCACAAAATCAAAGCTCTTGCCATGCAGTGAAACCTTACCCAGCCCGCCGCAGTTCCCAGAGCTAACCTCTTTTGTCTCCAACAGAGCATAAGGCGAACGAACTTCCAGAGCACTCGAGACACCCAGAGCTGCTAGCTGGCCTTTCACATCAAAATTCCCAGGATAACAGTTGCATCCTGATGCCATGCTTTCGTGAAGTCAAGGCCTTCGACTAGATATTCCGTGTGGATCGCTGAGCTCACCTTCTTGTGGGCGGCTTTGCCCCCATTCCGCTACCTTGCCGGTCCTCTTCCCTAACCATAGCCAATATGGACCCTGGGCCCCTACAGTCCGGCGATGGTTAGTGCTATTTTTTTCGTTCTCCTATCCCGCCCCTTTCCTCACTTATACAACTGGAGAGTATGCATCGATATTTCGGAAGCAACTCGAATCGTTTCAGTTGCTCTGACTGTAATCTTAATCAATGTCTAATCATGCTGGAAGGCAGCACCATTCTGCTGGCCAGAACGTCCCCTTAGCACGGACACGAAAAGATAAAGATGCACACTATTCGCCAGAGACACCGAGGCACCATGGATTGCTCTTTCAGCTTTACTCCGGGCGCTTTTTATTCGCAGAGCTTGAACTGACTACTCGTTGAAATAGGCGATCAGAGCCGTACATCAGCCGACCGGACACCGTTGTGCTCAGCACCCGAAATGTCAACGCAAAAACCGGAACCGTCGTTGAGCAAACGGTCATCATTATACCTCGAAGACATTGGGCTAGGCCAAAGCAAGCGTCTATCCATCGATACCGGGTCGTCGGAGTATGATTACTTGACAAGGTCAGAACCCAGTCACCTTCGACTTTAACCCCGATAGGAGCCTAGGAAAGGGTTAATATATGTCACCAGGTCGCCGTTACTCGAACCCGACCATGCGCCTGCGCCATCAGGCCTACCGCGCATTCGACAAAGGCCCCAAAGCAGAGCCCCCTCCCTCCCTTTGACATCTGCGTCGTCCGGTGCATCCGCACTAATGACCCCGGCTCCATCAATTGCATCCTCCGCGGTTTCGGCTTTTCCACCGGATACCGCTTCTCCCGAGCTCGAAGATCTTCACAGGTTTCCTTCAGAATCACTCCACTCTTTCTCGTTTGCCCGCCAGTCGGAGGAGATGCTGCATACCCGCTATAATGTGTTGAGGAGGACTATAGATTTTATGAGAGATCGATTTGGCTGGGCAGCGAGCAATACAGGTACTGCAAATACTCAAGCCAAGTTAAGCGGTAATCCAGAAGTTCAGAGCATGGTCGACGTGGTCGACATGGTCGCGAGAGCAAATCTCCGTGACGCTGGAAAAGGGCAGTATCGATTTCCTGGATTCTTGGCGAGTCCTGTTACAGGCCCTCCTGCTTTCCATGGCGAGAACGTATTTGAGAAAGCCTTCGCAAGCGAGTCACTCCAAACGATCGAGGATCAGGGTGAGTCCATCCAAAAGTCCCCGCAACAAACCACCAGTCGCGAGGAACTTCTGTCTGTGAAGGAAACTCAGACAGCAACCCTAACAAGAGGGCTTAAATCCGCACCAGCATCGAGAAGGGTAAGCCTAAAACGGACGTATACAGATATTGGTTCAGCTTCGCTCCAGAACAAGCTCATGGACGCATTGTCTGCGCAACCCTACTCAACAATGGATCTCATCTCTCCTGGGAGCACGACTTCCTTTGCCCTTGGAGCTAATGCCCCTGCTGTTCATTCCCACAGCAACAAGTGGTCGCCTGCAGCCCAGGCTGTGTTTAGAACGGAGGCCAAGCCACGATGGACCATTCTCGCTGCCAATGACTTAGCGTGCCTGGTTTTTGGAATTACTCGAAGAGAATTTCGGACATTGAGCATCCTGAATCTTGTGCAGGAAGAGAGACGCGAGTGGCTTGAGTCGAAGCTCAAAAGCACAAGCGTCTACGCAAGCACCGAGTCGCCTAGCACGAGGACTGCTAGGCCAAGTGGGCATAGCTCAAGATGTTTAAATCTTGGTAACGGCGTGACAGCGCAGCTGCTAAGCAAGCCTCCAGCACGGCTGACCAGGTCAAAAAACCGCAATGACACTCAGTCTAGTCATGGTTCAACTAGACGCACAAGGAGCCCTAACCATACTCCAAGCAAATCGCGTGGCGTGCTAATCTGTGGAGACGTCGTTCCAATTCAGAAGCGCAACGGTCAAACGGGCTCTGCCAGCTTGTGGGTAATGGAGAAGAAAGGTGGTCTAATATGGGTAGTTGAGGAGATACCAGAGCACGTGGTACATCTTCGGTGTAACGAGAAGGGACAGATTGTCGATGTCAAGGGCGATGTAAACAATATCTGGGGTCGCAAGGCCATTGAACCAGGGACACCCCTTCTCGAACTTCTGCCTCACATTCCTACCATCTCTCCTGATTCTGAAAGCCCGGATTACTCCAAATCAAATGAGCTAAAGTACTGGACCGCGTTAACGTCATCTGGGGCATCTATCCCGACAACAGTGACGGCCATTCCTGACACTCACACTCTTCGCATATCTAGTTTCCCTCATATTGCAGGAATGCTGGTTCTATCACCAGAGACTTTGAATGTTATCAGTGCAAATCCAGTCTTTGCCTCTTCGCTGTTAGGGCATAACTCACTTGAAGGAGTGAATATTACAGATTTGGTTCCTGATTTCGATCAATTCCTTGATGCTTTAACCGAACACGATAATATCCTACTGGTTGATGGGATGGTTATCCCAGAGCATAGCTTCCGAAGAGCCCGCGCGTTATCCATCCTTCGTAATGGTAAGGCCGACGCAGCCTCCTTATTCTTGCGACCCACCGGGCTCCCTGCGCGACACCGGGATAGTGCAGAGATCATGGTGGATGTTCAGATGCGAGTGGTGAAAAGCCAGTCAACCTTCCGTAACCAGCACGCTATCATTCATGAAGATCGAGATTCTTACCAGGAAAACGAAGCTTGCTTTGCCATAACTGAGCTCGTCTACGCCTTATGGATAACTTATTCTCGGCAATTCCATTCCACAAATGGGGTTGAACTGCCACCCGTAAACCCACTGGTGCCGCCCCCCGGATCACCTCCGCGTCAGCCCCCTCCTAGACAGATGTCTCCTGCAGTATCACCGATGCTCGAGACTCCACCTAAATCCAGCAGACCGCAGGTGTCTCTTTTGGCCCAGCAGTTGAATGAGGCGGCATCTCAGCCGCTTACCGATAAACCCCCACAGCCTGTTCCTGAGATGAAACTATCTTCCTTAAGAGTTGAACCTCCGAAGAAAAGAACAATATCGGACTACGCTATTCTTGAGGACCTCGGATCAGGTGCTTACGGGCAAGTGAAGCTGGCTCGGTGCAAGTGGAATCCACCAAAAAAGATGGTCCTGAAATATGTCACGAAGAAACGAATCCTGGTAGATACGTGGACGCGAGACCGTCGTCTGGGCACTGTCCCACTGGAAATACATGTTCTTGACTATCTCCGTCGTGATGACAGGAAGCATCCGAATATTGTGGAAATGGAGGGCTTCTTTGAGGATGATATCAATTACTATATTGAAATGACTCCACATGGCTTTCCAGGCATGGATTTGTTCGACTATGTTGAGTTGCGGACGCATATGGATGAAGCTGAATGCCGGAATATTTTCTCTCAGGTTGTCAGTGCGGTTCACCACCTTCACACTAAAGCTTTCGTGGTACATCGTGATATTAAGGATGAGAATGTTGTCCTGGATGGTGAGAGGCAGGTTAAATTGATTGATTTTGGAAGCGCAGCGTATATCAAGAATGGTCCTTTTGATGTTTTTGTCGGCACGATAGGTGAGTGTTTCCCTCTGCTAACCGGCCAACAACAAAATATGATGGTGGCTTACGGTGTACTAGATTACGCAGCACCCGAAGTCCTTCAAGGCAGATCATACCGTGGAAAAGAGCAAGATGTATGGGCGTTGGGAATTCTTTTATATACGATTATTTACAAAGAGAACCCGTTCTACAATGTCAACGAAATCATGGACCACCCTCTACGCATTCCTTTCTTACCATTTACAGACGATTGCATTGATTTGATCCGCGGCATGCTTAATCGCAATGTGGATGAGCGGTTGACCATCACTCAGGTCATGGAGCATCAATGGATGAACGCAACGACGAACAACCCGGGCCGTGGCTAAAGTTTGGATAACCGCTCTTTGAATTTAGCAGCTTTGGCGATTATGCCCTCCGGAATTTTACCTTTAGGTTCAATAGATCCCTTTCGCGCACCACCCTTTTTTTGGCCCTTGAGCGGTTCGGCGGCATTTGACCTTATTTTTGGCAGTACGATGATTATATATTTCTTGGCCGGCCGAATCTGCCTGTGGTAGGCAGAACGAATACGTGGTATCTACAGAGTAGCCCGCTGGGCGGCGCTATTCGCATTGGAAGATTATAAAAGGAACAATGTGGGACAATCATTTTGAATTCAGCATGAAACTCCTCGCCTAACCGCGAGGTGTACTACATGAATGGACGAACTAAGGACTCACAAAAACAAGTCGCTCAATCGACAACGAAAAAGGAAAACAACAGCCAACGAACGGAAGACGTACTATGGTCTAGTAATGTTTGTGATCATGGTGGCTGGGAGTTAACATGTATACCATGATTGCATTTTGCCTCCTTTCTTTTTTCTTTTTTCTTTTTTTTCTTTTTTTCTTTTTTTTTTTTTTTTTGAATATTTGGGGAATTGAACAGGCCGATAAAAATGTGAGTGTGAAAAGACGAAAAGGATGGAAGGGGTTGAGGGATATATATTGTCCCACAACAACACGGGGTGAAGCAGGATGTACCTCGCGAGGTGAAATAGATTGCATGGAGGCAACTTGATCAAAGATTAAATGGCAAATTGCTGGATGATGATACCCTTTGATTGTATGCGATACATTTTCTATGATCATTCGCTGTTTTCTATCAAGGATAATGGGCAGTTTTGGATATTATAAGTATCCCATTATTTCCCTACCATCTTATGAAATATTGCGCCAGGTCACTCTCTTTACATGACCCTGTATTTAGGAAATTCAATATTCCTGGTCTCATTTTTTTTTTTTTTTTTTTTTTTTTTTTTTTTTTTTTTTAGAAGCAGCATTATATAGAATTATTGATTTCATTATATATCTTGAATCTAATCTCCAGCATCCAACTTGGCTCATGGATGGAGAAGCACTGACCATCTTCTGGCTTTGCTATCCATGTGAACATCTCTGGGTTTTGCTTACCCATAATCTTCGCGGTCAAGGATGTCGATTAGGGGGCTCACATGTAGAAGTCAGACTGCACCATCACTTGGCACCCGAAGGCACACTGGGGGTCACAAGAACATGGGCCCGAAGCCAGTCCAGTCTAGCAGCCCAACTACCCACAGCAATCTTGGGAAGGGAGGGGGGGAAAAGAAAAGTTGGAAATAAATGTCTCAAACGGCGAGTTTTTTTTTGGCCGGAAATGCATCCAAACCTCAAGTTCTAGTAAGTTGAGGACGTCATGACATGTACGCATATATGTTTACATCTTCTGCGGACAGTTCTCTGCACCACCTTCGCTGGCGAGTCCGGGTATTGATCCGGTTTCCATTTGCCTTCTGTAGTCTTCTTCTGCTTCTTTATTATTTTTAATTCCTTCAAGTGTGCAACGTGGCAACCACGGCCACTCTCTTCTTACAGGTCCAGAGTCTGGAAACTCCGTTTCAGAGGAGGGTGAGTTCGCCACCACCTTTGGCCGGTGTCGGAAAGGAGCGGGTAGGAAGTATGAAAGTACGCGTCCGTTAGACTTTGATAGTTCGAAGCCGACAAAAAGCAATATGCATACACCAGAGAATAGTAAGAAGGGAAAGTGAAAAAGAAGCAGCGCTGTTTTGTATGATGATGGTGCTGGTCACCAGATGCAGTGTCTTGCTCGCTTGTTGCGGGTTGAAACAGTTTCTTCTCGTCTGCAAGCCGGCCAGAGGGGCGCTAGGCCTAATCAAGCCAGGCGGGGACTGTGGGTCCGGGTTGGTCTTATCGCTGAGTCAGCCGGCCGATAAGGAGGCCGAAAGAGGGGAAAAGCCACAGGTACCTGCTGGTGACCTCATCGCGCGCGGTGTGTTTGATACTGGAAGCCCAAGCAAACGGCCCCGTGCGCTGAGACTGTCCACTGTTAAAACGGGAGAAACAGCCTGGCTAGACTCAGTCAACACGGCCCGAGCCCAGGAAATAGCTGCAGGAAGAGGTTATTCCTGGAAGTAAGACAATCCGGGCCAAAACTATCCGCAGGACAAACATCCCGGGCTGAAGCACAGCACGGTGGATAACGCGGCTCAGAGGTACCAGGGAAGTACTCGTCCCGGACCGGACATTGCTGGTTCGTCACCTTTTTCCGGCGCACAACTCCAGCTGCTCCTCCCACCGCTCGCCAGGACGTCTCTTGACTCCCTCTCTCTCTCCCACCGCTCCAGCAACCCAGGGCGATGAGGAACTTGACGCCCACATGACTGGCATCGACGCAAGACGACAGTCAGTTTAACAATTCCTCGTCCTCGATCACTCGACCCTTTTGGTGCTGCTTCTCTCTCCCCAGGTGGCCACCTGATGTGAGGATGAGCGAGACGACGATCGTACAATCCACCACTCTTCTTCAATGACATCCTATTGACCCTTTCCACTTCGATTCTAAAGATCTGTGATCGCTTTTTTTTTTTTTCTTTTTTTTTTTTTTTCTTCCCCTTCCCTTTTGCGCCTTTCACCCGACTGACCTTCTCGTCTTGTGGATGTGTACATACATACTGGCCTGAAGTGAGTTTGACTGCCTTGAGCCAATCGTGAACCATGGGTGTAAGCTACAACTTGGAGGATGGGCTGACGGCATGCTTGTTTTTAACCCAGTCCGGTCTCGGTTTTCGCTCTGCACATTCGCTTCGCTTTGTCTGGGATATGGACAGCTGATTGATTCATCGACTTCTCCCATCTTGGCCGTTTCCTCTTAACACGTTCCCAGTTATCATCCACTGTCGTTTCCCTAGCCTCGTAAACTTCCGCAACGCAAACCCGTCGCTGGTCGATGACAGCACCCCCAGCGCGATAGTTAACTAGCCTTCAGCAGGGTATCGAAGCCGTACTCATTACCCTTGCCGAGAAGAATCCACAATGGCTTCAATCCCACACGATGAAATCCTAACTACCTCAGCGGCGCTTCCGGCTGCAGAGTCCGGGGCTGCCAGGCCGGATAGCCCTCCCAAACTGAAAGGTCGCCGAAGATTGTTGAATCGCCTTCAGCGTATGACATCAAGCCCTTCTCTCGAACAAACTGGCAGAAGCCGTTCTTCTTCCACCGGTGTCCGCCGACTTGGCAAAGGATCGATGTCATGCATCTCGCTTTCATCGACCCTGTCACATGGGCAGTGTTGGGAGAGCTCCAGCTCTTCCCAATTCTACGGGAAGTTCTCCGGTAAGCCGCATGGTGATGATACTGGCCCTATTCGGGTTGTGGAGACGGAACTTATTTCTGCAAATGGTTCCCAGCAGACCACCATCCCGCTACCCGCTGAGATGCGGCCTTGCTCTAGAGGATCGCTACTTAGGTCTGCGGTGGCTGTACTTGAGGATGGTGAAAATACCCCCGACACCAAGGGCGAGAAATTACTCAAAATGCAGAACAAGAATTACTGGGATTACTTACCCGTGGAAATACAACTGCGAATCCTTAGCTGGCTTATGCCTAAAGAATTGGGTAAAGTAGCCTGTGTGTCGAGATCATGGCGTCAGCTTTGTTTTGATGGTCAGTTATGGGCGAAATTTGATACCTCCACGTACTACAGTGATATTCCACGGGATGCATTGGTGAGACTGATATTTTCCGCCGGACCTTTCATAAAACATCTCAATCTCCGAGGATGCATTCAAATGGCGGAAGCCTGGTTTCAATGTGGAGAGCAAATAGCCGATGCTTGTCGGAACTTGGTCAGCGTTAATTTGGAAGGTACCCATATCGACAAGCCAACCATCACCTACTTTCTCGTTCGAAATCCTAAGCTGGTCCGTATTAGCATGACTGGACTTGCAACGGTGACAAATTCCGAGATGAACGTCATCTCCAAGAGCTGTCCACTCTTGGAGTATCTCGACATATCGTGGTGCCGCAATCTCATCAATGCGAACGGATTGAGGCGCGTTGTCAGGGCCTGTCATCGACTAAAAGAGCTACGCATTGATGAATTTCGAGCCGTTGATGACGAGGAGTTTATGTTGGAGCTATTTCAGACAAATACCCTAGAAACACTCGTCATGTCTCACTGCTCCTCCCTTACCGACAGCGCTCTAAAAGCCCTTTTGCACGGTAAAAACCCAGAGATAGACATCCTAACAGGCAGGCCTATTGCTCCACCTCGAAAATTGAAACATCTGAATTTATCTCACTGTCAAGGAGTGAGTGATTTCGGAATCGGACATCTCGCAGGCTTTGTTCCTGAGCTAGAAAGCTTGCAGCTATCATTCTGTCCTGCTCTGGGGAATGATTCCATCATAAACCTCATCGGTACAACGCCGAATTTAACACGATTGGACCTTGAAGAGCTGGAAGAACTCACCAATAATGTCCTGCTTGCGTTATCGAAAGCCCCCTGCGCCGCCAGGCTCGAACATCTCAACATTAGCTATTGTGAAAAACTTGGCGACACAGGAATGATGCAAATCGTGAAAAATTGTCCAAATTTAAAATCTCTGGATCTCGATAATACGCGAGTTTCTGATCTGACACTGATAGAGCTTTGCTCTCAGATGCGCAAACGAGGTTTTGGCATGCAGCCACCCAGATGCGGATTAAGGGTGGCCGTATTCGACTGCGGTAACGTTACTTGGGCAGGGATCAGAGAAATTCTCTCCAACAATACGTTCGTGCCGCGATATGCGGAAGCCGCGGTCCTGGCCTCCAGAGCAGAAGAAGAAGAAGAATCTGGATCCGGATCGTCGTCGCCATCGTCGTCCACGACCTCTGTGACTATTCTCCCTTCGCCACCTCCAGAGACAACGCAGTGCAAAGCGGATTTATATCCCAATGAAATTATTCAGCTAAAGTGTTTCTATGGCTGGCAAACGACGGTAGACATCCATACGAAACGCGTGTTGAACGGCAACCTCGGGGCAGCAATGAGACTTGAGCGCAGGTGGACCGATTGCATGATGACCAACGAAGAAGCTGAGGCCGGCGGGATTGGTGCCAGACGAAGGCGACGGAGAGCGAGAAATGCTGAAATGATGTACAACCTGGATGACGACGATGACGCTGATTACGGGTATGGACCTGGCGGGCTAGTTTCGCTCGGCAATCGCAGAAGACGGGCACGGAGTGGAGGCTGTGTTGTCATGTAAAATACGATCGGAGTATGGCTGGAACGATTGATTCGAGAGGCAGTGGAGATGGCCCTATAGAGCATGTCCATTTTGATCGCCCGTCAGGGTCTTCACACACCAGCCTTTCTCGAAATGCTGGAGTTGATATATGCAGGGTTTCTAACTAAAACATTTTGTCTCGACAGCTGGAGTATACATAGAAAGCTAGGAAATATGAGGGAACGGGATCGGGTCCGCTTGGCGTCGATTAGTTAAAGGGGGTAGTATACTCCGTACGGAGCAGAAGAACTGGCGTTTCTTAAAAGGTTCGTTGAACAGGCATACGCTTCTTTGAATATTTATGCATGCTTTTTCTGCTATGAAGCTGGATGGTTGTATCTCAAAACATTTTCAATAACTACGTATCCTTCTTTTTCTTCTCTTGCTTTTCCTGTTCCTCTCTAGTGCAACGTTGTCCTACCTTCTCATTGCATTTAGAACTGGACCCTTGGGGAGCTGATTAGCTGATTAGCTGGTCTACTGTATATATATATATATAGAAGGTAAATATGTAGAAGGAATTGAAGCCTGCGAGAAAGTTTCTCTCGACGAAACTGAAGCTCTGGGGGACATCCTAGCAACCCTCGAAGATTTTGGCCAAAGCTGTTGGTAGATATGGACCACATTGGTACTGGCCACATTCACATCTCAACCCACTTGCTTTAAGCTGCCGAAAGCAAGGTCCCAATGAGCAGACAATTCTCTCACCCCTATCACACCGCCGGGGTAGTTTCTGGTCGCATTTACTTTCGCTTTTTCACAATCATTCGAAAAAACCGCCGTCACTCTCACTCTCAGCATCGTCATCCTCTCCTTGCACATCCTCTTTTGACGTTCTCTTATTCTCGTTTCTGGTTCCCTCTTGCACTGACCTAGCGGAGCTTCTTTTCGCATCCTCATCGCCGTCGACTTTTATCTTGGATTTTGGCTTCTTCTGCTTCCTATGCACGAGTAAACTCATTGTGTTGCTCTTCAACGATACATCAGCATTGTTCGAATCTTTCTTTTCACCCGACAACCCAATTCCCAGCTTTCCATCTCGCAATAGCTCGAGCGTTCCGTCTGCCATGCTCTGCTTGACTGTGTACCACAAGGGGGGCTTCTCTCCAGAATTCGTGCGGATGACGTTTGATTCCTCCGGCTCCATTGGCTGTTGTTTCCGGCGTTCGTTGGGGTACAGGGATATGTACTTCTCCGTGAGGGGAGAGTAGATGGTGTAATTGAGATCGATCTCGGAGGCGCTTATCTTCCTATTAAGGGTTTCAATGCTATTTTCTCGGGCATTGGGGTCGAGTCTGTCATCGTTTTCGAGTTTGTGTAACTGTCCCTTAAGACGCTTGAGCTCTTTAGTTGCCCGTTTGCGCTCTAGACACAAGACTCCGTCAGCAATCGACTTATCTAGGGGTGTGGAAAGGGAAAAGGGCTAGCGAGCTGGTCGTCGAGCAATGAGTAGCGTACCTAGAAATCTCACAAAGTGATACTTCTGGATCATCTTTGACCGCTGCTTCTTCACCTCGGCCTTTTCTAGATCCCGCTGACATTCTGCCAACTCTCTCTCTTTCGCAACCCGAACATCTGCGGGGAGATCGTCGATTCTCTTAGCAAGGAGGCGCTTTACATCCCGGATTCTAGTTTTTAGCTCGTTTACGCTCGGTCCGATGTCGTGATAGTGCAGTCGCTGGGTGCCCGAGTGCAGGCGCTTTACGCGCTTGGGGTCAGCGTTGGAGAAGGAATCGCGTCGCCGCTTTTTGAGAGAAGGTTGGGCTTCGGGCTCGTGCAGAGACATTGTGCAGATTCGGCAGCTGGGGATATGTGACTATAAGCTTCAAACGGTAGCCAATGCGGCAAGAGATGAGGGCTAGAAGTGAATGCAAGGGTTGAAGCACAGGTCATGGCATAGCCACTGCATGCGGAGTGTAAGGCTACCCGGGATCACTCAATGGATGTCTGCTGTTCACCTCGCAAGCCAGTCTGCCGTTGAGCAAAATCGGAAAAGCTGCGACGGGAATTCTTGCGTTGAGCCGGGAGCGAGTCACGGAGGCGGCGGAACAACAGTCGGCCCGGGAATTGCGCTCTCTGGAACGAACCGCCAGCCGCAGATGCGAAATACCAGCAACTCGATGAATGTCAGCGGCCTCCTGGTGATAACGCTCGCATGGTCGGAAGGGTCGTGCTGGTAGATGGAATCTCTGTGATGATCACCTAGATCCCCGAGAAGTCAGATGGCTATCTCGCTACGCATCTTTCCCTGAATTTCTTGTGGTTCTATTGGTATTTACTGAACCTCGTTCCAGCATATCAGCGCGCGCGAGAGAGAGAGAGAGCACTGTCCAGACCGCTCTCCTCTTTATCATGAGGACAGCTCCCTTCAAGCCTTTTTACCTTGCTCGTCACAATGGCCATTGATTTAGATTGATCTTGACCTTTTATCTTTGAGAAAAATGGAGACCGCCATTCGGTGGGCTCCCGCCTCTACACCTGATGATCAGCGCTTCCTCTACGTCGACATCAAGGGACAGGAGTTCAAACACTGCAAAGTCACTTCACGACCTGATAAGTTTACATTGACCTATGATGTCCTCTCTGCCTTCTCCCATGGCTCAGAGTTCCGCTCCTTTGACTGGTGTCCCACCGAGGAAAACTTGGTTGCGGTTGGGCACGCGTCGGGAGACGTGGTTGTTGCTCATCTAGACACCGGCGCTCTCATCCCGCTCGCACTTCCTTCCAAGGTCCAACGAGCCTGTCATGGGCTTGCTTGGAATTCCAGTGGCCTACTGGCCGCCGGACTAGACAAGTTTAGGGGCGACTATTGCCTCAACATCTGGGATCCCCACCAGCGACCAGTGCGGATGGCGTCGCGCGGTGGCTCGGAGCGTCAGGTCCCAGATCCGTTGAGAAGATATGCAAACGGGGAGCCGGTGGCCAGCGTGAGGTTTTTTAATGACCAGCCAAGTCTTTTGATTGCTGGTATGAAGGGGCATTCCGTGCGGCTGTATGATCTCCGGGGTATGAGATCCTTTACTTGTGAATGTAGTTGTTTCTGGCCATAGTGGACTCTAACATGATTTCTAGAGAGCCACGGAAACCCATCATTGCAGTTCTCAACCCGTTGTGTCCATGAGCTGACCGTTAATCGGCTCGATGAGAACTACTTCGCCTCGTGTGCGCCATTTGACAATGCCTCTATCTGCATTTGGGATCGGCGTTCAGGCTCGCGATATTCAACCGCAGCTGGCACCTCTTCGGGCACTATCGACGCTGGCCATGTGTTGGAGATCAGGCCAGGTATTGCTTCTGGGTCTACGATCCGGAGTTTGCGATTTTCCCAAACTCAGCGAGGCCGCTTGGGAATGTTGACGGACAGGGGAATATTCAGAGCTTACCACATCGCAAAGGACCACTCTCCGGACGAACTCCGAGCAGCCCTAGAAAAGACAGTTGGCCGTGGATCCAGTAAGCACTACCCTGAACAGTTATACACAAAGACTGTGCGCGACTTTCAAACTAGCTTTCCACCGAAAACTCGAAGCGAGGATTCTTCACAGCGCGTTAGCGCTTTCGATTTCATGACCACAGATTCGTTCGATGGGCTGGAAGCTATTACTATTTTGAACGACAGGAACGTCGCAGTTTACAGCCTCCCCCTGGTTTGTGGTCGGGTCAGCTTGTCACCACAAGGAGCCCTAGTGCGAGGAGGGTTTGCACATGGACAGGACTTTAGGGTCTTCGCTCCAGCCCAAGGATCGAAGGCAGCGCAGACCACCCAAGAAATCCAAGATCGCGCATCTAGAAAAATGGAGAGTAGTATGGAAGGAAAGGAAGCCAATGGCAAGGCAGGAGAAGACGATGGGAAGGACTCAGGCGGTACTGGAATAATATCGAGCAGACAGCGTCGAGAGAAGTTACTGCTTCCTGAAAAGTTGGCCAACGTCCAAGATGCCTTGACCTTGATGACAATCCCACGATTACGTCTTCGAGAAGGATATACACTTAATCCTGAGAGAAATCAGAATATAGTGTCTGATGACACAGCCTTACAGGACCTTTGGGCCTGGATTGAGCGTAAGCTGGTCGTCGTCCACTCTCTTTTGATATGTTTTCTAAATGTGTACATGTTGAATAGGCGCCCATACACGAGCATCTGATGGGTCGATGATTATTCACGGGGTGGACATGAACTACTTGGGTGTTCAAAGTATCTGGAGTGGAAATCTTGGTGGGTCTTACTTTCTTTTTCATCTGTCAACGGTGATAGCTAATACAATATAGGTCTCAGTCTCGAGAATCGACTTGCTAGCTCCGATTTAGACGACGACGTTGACGTACCTAAGCTTATTGAGCAATTGGCCAAGAAGTTAGATTTGCAAGAAACCAAAATGTGCGATACAGATTTTATGCCACAGCGCCAGCTCTGCTTGTATATCTGCGGCGCCATAGCGTCAGTAGATGATCTTGAGGGTGTTGTTACTCAGCTTGTCGAGGAACGCCAACATACGCAAGCTGCTGCATTTGCATTATTCCACGACGAAACGGAGTTGGCTTACAAGGCCCTACGTAACAACCGACCAACTCAGGCCCACAAACTTTTAGCTATGGCAATCGCTGGGGCGCCGAGGGGTGACCCTAATTTCGATTGGGAAGAAGCTTGTGCTGAGATCGCAAAAGAGCTCACTGACCCCTTTGCCAAAGCTATACTTGCGCTGGTGAGCAAAGGCAGCTGGGAGTCCGTGCTCCGGGAAACGACGCTTCCCCTCAGATATCGAGTAGAAGTGGCCGTTCGTTGGCTTCCGGATGACCAACTTACAACTTACATCAGGGACACATCCATGGAGGCCGTGCAGCAAGGTGATATTGAGGGCGCGGTGCTTACGGGCCTTGATCACGCTGCGATGGATCTGTTCCAATCGTATATCAACAAATTCAATGATATACAAACAGCTGTCCTAGTTATGAATTACGCCGTTCCACGGCTAGTTTCCGACGCTTTCAATGCGAATCGATTCCATGCCTGGCGCGAAACGTATCGGCAACAAATGAATTCGTGGAAGATGCATCTCCATCGAGCCAAATTTGACGTCGATTCACGCAATTTGGCAGTATCATGGGACGGTCGCAAGCTCACGAGGTCACAACCTCAGCAGGTCAGCTTGGTCTGTAATTACTGTACTCGGCCCCTTTCGCAGCAAGAAGAAAGGCCAGATCACCAGCTAGCAGGTGCGGAGAGTACCCATCATACGCCGAACAATCCTCTCGGGTCAGCACAGATGGGCGGAACAGTCTGTCCAAAATGCGGTCGTCATATGCCGCGATGCGGAGTCTGCTCTCTGTGGCTCGGTTCCCCGCATCCACTGTCCAGAGCGGCAATCGCAGATGACTCAAAGAAAGGAGAAGAGGCGCACCGCCCGGAAGAGATGCTAAAAAGATTTGTGGTGTTTTGTATCAAATGCAATCATGGATACCATGCAGATCATGCGAAGGTGTGGTTTTCCAGGCACAAGTCATGCCCGGTTTCTGAATGTGGATGTATTTGCGAGGGATAGATGATTGTGGTTACCCGGCTAGTAGTCTTTCGAGAATGGCGTCTGATTCTGTAGGAATGATACCCTTGTGTCTGTATGAGACACACAAGGTGATGGGTGTTGGCAATGTAACGTCTTTCACCACATCAGCTCTCGGTCGCTTTGTTTGCAGCGGGGGCGATTGATTGCATGTATGTCACACTGTTCTACATGGATAAGAAACTGCTTCCTCTGAGTATTATGACTCGTAAAAAGCAATTGAATCCGGACTTCGTAGGTAGTTAACTCCGGTAGTGAGGGCGGTATGTGTGCGCTGGCTCGCCCTCACCCAGGCAAAGGAGAGGAACTAGTTGGTTACAAAAAGAACAATACAAATTCAACTCCCGCCAGGATTGATGGTGACAATATTTTTTTTCCTCGAGTTTGCACTGACCTCATTTTTGATCTGAAACCGCCAACTGACAGCTTCCCCACTCAAGCTGACACTGAAATAGCAACTTCATGCCCACCCAAGCTCTTGTTTCACTTACATCATACCTCCAGCAGTACGGGATCGACCGCTCCACCTCCGCGAACCGAACGAAGCGACTGGGCACTCCCGCGACATCCGATACGAACGGCATTGCAGAGATTACTCAAAGCCTCTCGAGGAGCTCTTCGAATGGCGAGGACGGCTGGCAGAGGAGAGAGAAAGGAGCCATCGCGCGCGGTAGCGGTTTCAAAAGCGCTGAGCTACGTCCTGCGGCACGCGGCGGAGCGAGAAGGTGTGAAAATCGACAGTCAAGGTTATGCGAATGTGGGCGAACTGGTGTGTTTTCATCCGCTTTACCCGTACAGCTGCTTTGTTTTTTCGTTTTTTTTTAAATAATTGTTTTGACCTGGCGGGGGGGCTAACAAAGTGGGAAAATTTCGTTTTCCGTTGGCATTGAGTCTAGCTGCTATGGAGAAAGCTGAAATCGCTTAAAGTGACATTCCCCGATATCATCGAGGCCGTGTCATCATCGGATAAGCAACGATTCGGACTTCTCTACGTCCCTTCGACCTCGAGCTCGCACAGCCATGATTCCCTGACTCAGGACGCCGCGCTACAATCGGCCGAGGAGAACGCGTCCAAAGACCCCGGGGCTAACGAAGATGCGACGGCGCAAGCCCTCGCCGCCAGCGCCGACGACACCGATCCTTCGCACTACCTCATTCGAGCCAGACAAGGCCACAGCATCAAATCCATCGAAGCTTCGTCTCTCCTCAAAATGCTCTCTCTGGAGGATGACAATCTTCCGGCGACGGTGGTGCACGGGACATACCACACGGCCTGGCCGAAAATACTCGAGACCGGAGGTCTTAAGTGCATGGGCAGGAATCAAATGCATTTTGCTACCGGACCGGCGCTGTCTGAAGTGCTACCCAATGGTGATGGAGGAGACGTCATCATTCCTTCAAAGTTGAAAGGCCGGTCCGCCGGTGGTGGTGGCGGTGGTGACGGCTCGGTGATCTCAGGAATGAGGTCTGACTCGCAAATATTAATCTACATTGATTTAAAGAAAGCTTTAGCTGCAGGATGTCCGTTCTGGATTAGTGAGAACGGCGTGATTCTAAGTGAGGGGTTGGAAACCGGTGATAGCCACGGGAAAGTCGTAGGGACGGAGTTTTTTGATGTTGCCGTTGAGCTGAGGAGAGGTTTAGGCGTGCTGTGGGAAAAAGGCAGTTTGGTCCAGAGAACGCCGGATTGGATGCTCCAGGCAAAAGGTCCACCTGGGAAAGGCGATAAGAGACATCGTGGCCCCAAAGCAGCGCAGAAGCGGGCTCTGCCCCGAGTACATGTTGGGAATGATGCTGATGGAGCAGATGTTGCAGATCAGCCTTAATTGGCAGGTCACAGGGATTGTGGACAAGCACTGGAGCTGCATGTCTTGACATGAGCTATTTCTGTCGAAGTCGGTACGTTGATAGTGAGCTTGCTCTCGAATCTACTCTCTCCACATCTCAACGATCATCGCGCGTCCCCAAGAAAATGGACCGCCCAGAACGTCTCGCCATAACTGTGCAGACCCCGGGATCAGCATAGCCCTTTGGCCCCCCAGTTCTTCTTAAAGACAGCCCATGGGGCACCAAGGAGGCTGTTAGACACTAAAATCATGTTTCGGTTGGAAAGGATGCTCTCATTCCCCCTTCCACCCGAGAATCTTCACAACCTGACCCAAGCACCCCCGTTTTTGCCTTTTCGCTAGCGAAAAAGATCGGCGCAAGGAATCACGCAAAAACAAACTATTCGCTAACCATGTGGTGCGTCCAGCGTTCTCCGCTAGCTGTCACCTCAAACTCCGCGCTAAAATTCTGGGGTAGTCGACTGCGCTAGTTAAGTAGCCTCCTGCTTCTGAATTCTCGCCAGAAAAACACAAGCCAAAAAAGAAAAAGAATCGCTCTTACAAAAAGTCAAAAATACGGGAGGTGGGCTTTGAAGGGACCCTCTGGTCCCCCTCTGCTGCCCAATCAGATCATGATGCCACCGCTGTTTTGCTTGGTGGCTTTTTTGACTTCTTCTCGTCGGAGAATTAAACCCGCTACACGCACCTGTCACAGCTTCAGATTTGTGTTTTAGATTTGCACGACAGACCTGTGACTGCCGCATCATTGGTGCCCTCTCCCAACGTGCCCGCTCTCGAGCCCAGGTCCCTCTGCATGAATCAGCTCTAATATGGCGTGATGTGGATGTGTGGGCGGGTTTACGAAGTACTAGGGATTTGGCCTTTTTTTCAAAACTCAAAAAAAACGTGGCAGATGGGGTTCGACGTTCCCCTCGGACTCCATTGAGCGGTGCAAAGCGGCGGCCCCCCCATCTTCATAACCATGCTTTTCTTTGCTTATCTGGCCGAGATGTGATGTAGGGCATTTCCAGAGCCATGAGTGCTTAAACACTTTGTGTCAAGAAAAATTTGATGCAATTTGATCCCCTGCATCAAGAGGACTGCAGTATTAGTTTAAGGTATGCGAGAGTTTTTATCGTCGTGCATGTACAGTACATTAGTTAATACATTAGTGCATGGAAGATAAGAATTCTGACAGGAGGGAAAATTCGCTAAAAACAAAAGGGCGGAATATTCGGGTTGGTGGATGGTAGTGATTGGTTCGTCTGTCTTTCTTTTTTTTCTTTTTCCATGCTTCATGTTTATCTTTTCAGACTGGCGCATGAGCCTCGTGAGGTCTCAGGCCATGATTATACGTTATCTCAAAGTTATCCGTCCTCATTATCCCGTCTCGAGGATTGCGCTCCAGTGGCATGGAGCTAGAATTGCTGTCCTTGTCCCACTCGGTGGATTTGGTATGACGCGGCGTATTTCGGAGATGGTAGGACTGAGCATCGTGCTCGAAGTGATCGCCTGGGTTGGTGGTGTTCTTACTTCGGCTTGAGTAGCTGTTCTGAGGATAGCCGCTGCCGTACAAGGTGCCTCGGAGGAACCGTTTGAAGAGTGGTCGGAGAGGTGGGATGGAGGCACAGATGATTCCAAGATTGCATTCAACCACAGTCCATATCCATACTTCATAAGCAACCCCTAGAGAAAAGGGTTAGACAAGGGATTGAATGGGAGAGAATTCGAAAGGGAGGTCGTACAGGTAATATCATAGGTGCGATAAAAAATGGTATAGTAGTAGTATATCCGGATCATGCCAGAAATGCAAACGCTATGCGATAACACAAGTCAGCAATGCGGGGCAATTATTGGCAGCGGGTGAGTTGGACTTGGGAACCTACATGAAACCCATTCCAAAAACGGCTGCAAGTGACATCTTTTCTCTGAATGGCATCTTCAGCTGCACAAAGAGGAACATGGGCAGACAGGTCACCATCAGATCAGTAAAAACATTGAAGATGACTGCATAGAGAGGCAGTATGCCTTCATCCCAACATGTGTACTTTTCCTTGGGTGGATTTAAAAGGTTGAACTGGTCCCAATATGCCGTGATCGGCTTGCACTGCAGGCACAGCAAGACAATACCGGAAGTGGCATAGGCCACAAGGATGCCAATAGCCCCTCTGACCACATTAAGAAAGATTTTGTTTGCTGTGCCTTTGATCACGCGCATGTACAACACAAGAACAGAGATCTTTGTTAATATGTTGCTAAAGAGAAAACTAGAAGAGAGGTCAGCTATTGTACCCCAGCGAGGCGATGTTGCGGTTGATATAGGAAGGTAAAACACACAAGACTTGGGCAACCCAGTTCAGCTACAAGAGTCCAATGTTTGTCAGCATAGATCCAGCCCATGTCTGTGGTGGAGGGCCTCACCTTTATTATTGCAACGAAGTTCTGAATGGGGGTATCCCAGATATGTCGGTACCCTTCATGTAGAGGATTGACTAAAAAGATGAAAGCCGAATCAGCAACGGATACTTAGAAAGGGCTATACTGGTCGAGGGAAAAGAGGGCGTCATACTCAGGCCCATGCAGACGGCCAAGCCAATTGCCGGTAGCTACACAGAAAACATCGTCAGAACGGAGAGCTGAAGCCAGGAACGAGGCAAGTTGGAGGCAAGGACTAACCACAGCTCCAGCAATAATGTAGTCGTCAACGCCTGGCTCACGCTGCATCCTGAAGCGCACCCATAGCCGTAGGCCAACCACGATTAACATAAGTACACCGAACACTCCAGTCAAGATGACCACGCCGTCACCCCTCTGCTCGGGATTCACATAATTTCTCGGAGGCCAGCTGAGCATGACCTCCTTGGGAGGGTGGAAGCCGCCAGGCATGGTTGCTAGCTTTCCGGAAGCAAAGCACAGAGAAAGTAGAAGTTCGATTAAAAGAGCCGGGCGACGTGTTGGTTTTTCTCGAGGAGATGTCCAGATCCAGCCAGGATGGCCAGGGATCCCATGGACTTGAGAACAAATGACGCGGGGGTGGGAACGGCCGGACCTCTATATTATTATGCACATTGTGGAGGAGGCAGACGAGGAGGAGGAGAAGAGGAAGAAGAAGAGGAGGAAGAAGAAGAAGAAGAACCCGCCCTGTCGGTATGTGGAAGCGAGAGATGGCGCGGCGGAGGAGGAGGAAAACCTTCTTTTCGAAGACAGAGCGGCGGGAACATATTTTTCTGGGAGAGGCGGGCACACAAGCATTCCGCGATCCTGGATATGTTTGCCCCAGACGAGGCCAGAGAACGAGAAGCCGAAAGCCATCGGAGCCGGGCGCTCATCGGCAGGCGAGAGGCCCCCTTGGCGTTTTCGTCTGGAGATTGCCTGGGTTGTGGGTAATCCCTGGGCCAGCCGTCGATGTGCATTTCGCTTCTGATGAGAGTTAGTAAGTTTAGCGCAGGCCGTCTCCACCGCCCAATACGAGCAGATCGTGCCTGGACTGGGGCGAGCATGAGGGCCCATGGATCGCCCTCCAGGTGCGGAGTTCCTGGAAGTTTCGATCCCAAGCAGTTTAGCCAAATGAGAGTCAGCGAATGTAATTTCAGCACGCGATCTGAGCGCCAGCAAGCCATTCCCACACAGTTGCCAGAGAGACTCAAGAGGGAGAAAACCGTAGGGGCCTCTCTAGGAATAATAGGTATTTTCTGCGCCTCCTGAACATTTAGCCGTGAGCCACCGCATCAATCTCCGGCGGCGACAGGTATCATCCCTCGACAGCCGACCACACCAGGAAGAACCTGCTAGCCGGCGCTCGTCCAGAGAAACGCCCGGCACCAAGGCCAGTTTCCCACAACTTCGCGAGTAAAGTTAGTGGGTAAGCTCTCAACTCAAGAATCACGCCTTTCTCTCGGCAAGGTGTTGCTAGTGAGTCGTCGGCAAACCATTGAGGCTTTAGCTGCAGTGGACGCGGTTAGTTCGCGAGTTGAGGTTGTGATGGTGGTTGGTAGCGCGATGATCATCTTCTGGAATGACGCGCTTGACTGTTGACAGCTGTTTTTATTTTTATTTTCTTTTTCTTTTTTAGTCTGCATTTCCTTTCTTTTCTTTTATTTTTTTATTTTTTTTTTGGATTCTGAACTTAAAATCCTCATTGCTTTTTCCCTCCCGCTATGGTTGAGTTGGGACCGGCCTTCTTGGCGCTGTTTCAACCTCGCCGACACAACCGTCTGGCACTCGAGATCTCGCGTGCCGTCCGGAAAGTTGCACTTTGGCTGCCGCCACTCTGCTCTCCGATTAACCGCAAAGGTAAGGTGTCTGCAGGACAGACTTCTCTCTCTTCGTAATTCATCCATAGTTCATACATACTATCATCATCTGGGCTGTATGGCCAAAAAGCAAAATTAGCCCACAGTACTATGTATCGCCGGGCTGAGCGGGGACAAAAACAAAAATCCTGACCAGGGGCTCTCTCGCCACTCCACAATGCCACGCAGTGACAGGCTTGTTTCTCCTCTAATCGTCTCGCGTGTCCCGACTATGCAAGTAGCCAGCCAGAATCAGAATCCCAGCCGTCGCTCCCCTCCAAACACATTTGTGGTTAGACAACCCTCGCAAAGGTGTGTTTCTGCACTGCGCGCAACAGGAACCAATTTGAACCCCTTGCTTGATTCTTGAGGATGAAGCAGAGTATTCATGGCGGGGAGCTTCCATGCCAGCATCCATTGTTGGCACGGTTTGCTGCTTCATCCAATTTTTTTAGTATATCCAAGATTGCCGCGCGCAGCCCGCACACAATGTGCCGGTCGCTTAGGAACTTTTCTGAAACCAGGGTTTGGATATAGGGCTCAAGTTCATGGGCGTCCGCCAATTCAACAGCCAGACAATTGAAATTGAAGGTCTCAGGATCAGCAAGACTACTTTAGAGACCAAAGTCGCAGGACAAACCGCGCAACTCTCCATGATTCAGATACGAGCCTTTGTCCTTCCAGCCAGAACACCACTTGTCTCATCGTCTATAATGCTCTTGATATGCGTTCCTTCTCACTGACATTCCAGGGATGAGGTTTTCCCCCCCTTCTAATTATTCTTTATTTTTATTTTTTTATTTTTATTTTTTTATTTTTTTATTTTATTTTATTTTTTTTTTTCCCCTCCAGCAGTTTATTTTTGGATGAAGGGGAAATTAGCCGCACCGGAGTCAATCACCACCCCTGGCTTCAAAGAGGCTCAAATCTCTGGTTAAAAGCCGACCCCTGGCCAGGGCTGGAAAATATATTCCCGGATTTGTTTCTGTTCAAGGGGTTCCCAATTCTCCGTGCAATTGGATTAAATCGAAGGCAATGGACCTGGAGGTCTTCCTGGCCCAGAACGAAGTCGGAGTAATACTCCGTACTCCGTGCTGGTGAGCATTCAGAAGCAGAAAGCAACACCCGAGGTATGAGCAAAGCATGCGATCGTCTTAAGTCCGGGCTCGCCTAAATGTGGAATCGAGGCATCGCCAGACATTGCCCAGAGTAGAAGCACACTCTCCCGTCTGTACGTGGTACTTATAGCATGTTAACCAGTCAATCCAAGAGAACGACTAACGACCCAATGTACAGTGCATAATGTGCATTTCTGTAAATATGTCTGTACTGCATATCCATTCACGTGGAGGACTGCATATGAAGGACGGCGACAATTTTTCGTCCACCAAGCAATTTTCTTTTGGGGCCTTGGAATTTCAATAGTCGGAGCCCGATGAAGCAGATCTTAAGAGAAGGCATTAATGCAGGGAATCTTGCCAGGGAATGCCTAGTCACGATGCAAGCGTCCTGAACAGGACAGCTCAGAACTGCAAAATGGATTGTCCTTGTCGCTCGCTCCTTTTGCTCTTCAATCAGCACTCGCCAGCTCTTTCACCTTCATAGTCTTTGCGATGCTAGGAGCGTTGAGGAAGCTGTGACAGACGATCGCCATCCTCATGGATACCGAACCACTGAGGTCGCTGATCGCGATTGTGATGGCGATCGAATTCGATCAACTACTTTTCGGTGTGGGGCCGATTGGCTACCACTTACTCCGTACCCACTAGAATTTTATCTCGAGCCCCGCCCTTGAGAAAAACTTGTGGATTGCGTTCACAATCCCACAACACCGGGCTATGTCCAGCAGTTTGAGGGCCGAAAGGATCCTGAGGATGAGACAGGTTTGACGTAAGCCTAGGAGCAGATGAGGATACCACGGCGAAACTCGCTGATGCCCACTGCCATCTATATAACTCACGGTATATCTCCTCAGGTCGGATCCTCGGCACGTCTGGTGCTTGGGACCAAAATTTAGTTTATCCTAGCCGGAGCGATCCCCTGGTTGAATTACTCTTTGGACGTGTCTCTTTTTCCCTTACCTTGTGAGGGCCGATGGGGCATATGTTCTGCATCTGGAACACAGATCGCTTCATCACCGATACCGGTTAATAGCAAACCAACCGGCAGTTAAGTTGCTCTTTTTCTTGATGCCACGCTGTGTCGGCTCCGAAAATCGGTCGGGTGTTACTTTTGCGGTTTTGACGACATAAACGGGGAATGGTTTCGCGGCTGTGTGAACATCTGGCCCGCCATATTGGGGCTGGAATGGATAGGTATTCGCTGCGATATTACCCGCCAAGGGCCTTACGGACACTTTGATGCAGCAAATTTGCCCATATCGAATCCCACAACTCGCGTTTATTGATCCTGCAATCGCCGACGATATCCATAAGGAGCCCCTTTTCCGTCGGTGTTCAAGACTTGGTAACTGTCAAGCGCTTCTCCCCATCATGTGGGGAAGGAATCCTGTGTCCAACAGGCGTAGACTCAGCCGTCAGAATGTTCCCGGCCGGCTCTACCTTGCAGCGTATAGGACGAGTTGATCCTCCTCAAACCGAACAAGATCCGTGGACTTCATCAGTGTAAAATGGTGTCACCTAACGCGGGGCCTTTAGTATATTCAGGGACTGTTTCCTGCCTCTTCTTAGGAGGCATAGGCCGTGATTCTCAGAGGACTCAGGTCCTCCCGCGGATGGCACTAGCCTTTGCAGCTGTGTTCAATAAAAACCTGAAGCGACTGCGTGAAGTATTCTTCCGTGGATTCCACCACTCACATGGACATGCACCTGTCAATCAACCAAGAAACATCATAAAAATCATCCCTATCTCTACACCTCCTTCGAGAATCTACATCCAAAAAATACCCTCACATGGAATCAGAACCAATGGAACTTAGCAAGTAGGCCGCTCTCTATGTGGCTTATAGAAATGAACTTGATGCGCATAATCATGCTACAGGAAATAAGCAGAGTGTTGGGTTGGGGGTAGTAGAAAATAGCCTGGGGAACCTCAGTGCGCTGCAAAATGCCGGTATAAATGCAGCCGTTGGAGCAAACGACCCATGCCGTGTTCCCGCGTATTCCAAGTATCCCAGCCGCGCTGTTATGAATATCCGGCATTCATCAAAACATGCCGACTTTGGTGGGTTGCTACTGGTTCCCAAAGATCAGGAAGAACACGGCTTCACTTCAAATGCCAGAATCTTTGTGGCAACATTGAAAAGAATGCCGCAGCAAATGCAAGGACCCCAGGCTAATTCCATGTGCGGCATGTTACAGGCATGTTTGTGGAGGAGGTAAGAGTAGCAAAGCCAATAGAACAATCTAGAAATCCAGCCCATCTTTTTGTAGAACGGTGACTTACCCCATGTTAACAGCTAGCATGACTCGGGATAGATGTAACTGTTACCCCCCCCTAGAGGGACGGCTCGAGTCAAGCCGCAAGCGAAGCAAGGGTGTCAAAAACGTGGTGAGATTGCAACCAGCCTGTCACCTGTGTGTAATACTTTGAGGTCATTGCAAACGTCCCTCGTTCGATCTTTTTGTTGAAAGCTATGAGCCCTAGGATTGTTGTGAGGTTGCTTGAAGGCAGACACTAACCTACCCTCTCCTGTCTAGCAAAGCATGCAGTCTTGCTCCCGTGGGTTGAATCTTGACAAGGCCAAGACACAATTGTGATGTGATCATCAACATAAAAGTGCTCTTGGGTCCTTGGATAGAAGAGAGCACGCTTAAGTGTATTATAACACTAGGGCTGCTCCAATCTACCAAGTGTGGCATTTTCTTATTTGGTTGCGCCAGCGCAATGTCGCAAAGCTTAGTACGAGATCCCTACGCGAGGTCCAGCAACTCTAAAGAGAATCAGGATAAGCAGCTACAACACTTTCCACTTCCGATGGGAGCATAGTGATACCAGTATTGCCTGTGACAAAAAATCCTTGAAAGAAATGTTTTGGATGATGGGTTTTCTGACTGCAAACTTCACAGCTTCCTAATACACGTCTTCAAGATATTTGACAGGCAAAGGCATGAAGCGAATGGCCCAGCCTTAAGTCGCTCTCTGTCTCAAATTATGCAGCTATGAAGGCCAAAAAAATCAGCTCTATATACTTTGACCACAGTTGCACATGCTTCCTGCACATATGTGGCTTCTTGGGCTGTCAATCTCGTTCATGGTTTTGTCCGAAATTGCCTTTTCTTTGCTTCAAGGTCAACTTGGATTTTCTGGGGAATAGTGGTGCCTCTCGCAAGGATATATGACCCAGGCCCTTTCTTTCCTTTTTTTTTTTTTTTTTTTTTTAATTACCCATTTTTCTATCGAGCATATTCTACACAGGGCTTCAGTTATAGAATGAACTCCAACAGGAACATGGTTATCATTTCCCCCGACTCAAACCCCTCTCAATCAAAAGACCAGATGAACTGAGACCAAATCCAGCAGTATGCCCCAAACCAGACATACTCATTGCCCAACTAGATACTGCATAATGATGGACAACAATGCTCGAGTCTGGGATGAAACGGCAGCAATCCAGTAAACTTTCTGAGGACACCGGATGGTGCAGCGCTTAGACTTGAGTTAGGAGAGCCTCCATCCAACAGCAATACTGAACCTTCAAATAATTATCAGGATGAGGAAATTCAATGAGCTTGATTTTGTCGGACTCGTTATTCTCTTTTAACCCAGGATCCAAATATCCTGTTCTCTGATTTTATCTTCAACTGAGAGAGTGGGTAGTGGTTTATAATGTATGGAGGTGTAGGATTAATTTGATCCTATTTCCCACATTCCAATCTATGTCCCTGATTGTGCAGTCCTCTAGAATAGCGCCTCTTCAAGGCCACAGTATTTTTGTGAAATGAATTCAGACAAAGCGAGCTGTGTTGACTCTCCTCTTCCTTTCCGGGACCTCACGAGGAACCACCAAAGGTACTTTCAGTTGCGACAAGACTCATTCAATTCATTGGATGGTAATTCCGCATTTATAAGTGAGGAATCTCTGGGACATATGTCAGTCACATCTATCCCCCTCTCCTGCGTAGTGCCTTTTCACAAAGAGGGAACTATCAAATCAACCAATCATCCCCCCATCCCAAGTCCACATCTCATTCAATATCGTGCCAAGGCCAGCAGCCATCGTCTGCCGCACTATTTGTTATCAGAAGGCTTAAATAACCTTGCAAAATCCTCCCGATACATGGCGTCCTTCAGCAGATATCCCGCCAGCTCACTCCTCGCGTAAAGTAGCTTCAGCGCAGGAATCAAATGTTCCTTCGGTTTCTCGGGATACAGGTCGAAGTCTATGCGCAGTCGTTTGGACACCAGCCACCGCAGGGCAGCTTCCATGTCCCGCTGGTCATCGTGAGCCCTGGCTTGAGTCATGGGACGGGTGGATTGGACATCGAGCATCCATCTCTCACTTTCGTGAGCAGGAGGGCGCTAGGGTGGAGGATCGGAACTATGATTGGTGTTAGAATGTTATTTTGTCTTATGCAACTGAGCATCAGAAGACCTACTCTTAGAGCTGGTCCGGACTGCTTGAACTGCGGATGGTGCAATGTGAATCACAGGTGCTGTTGTGATGTCTGGAAGCTTCAGTTTGCTGATCAGCACCTCCTTGTAGGATTTTGACATTTATGGGTTCAATGCCTGAATATTCGCCCTGTATATGATTTAATAATTTTCATGACATTGTGTGAAATGGATGGTTGCATACTAGGACAAAAATGAATTTATTTGAACCCTTCAGTTGAAATCGCCCATCCTTCCTCAGGAGTTCTGTTTGAATCATGGCTCGGGGTGCGTCCACAATTAGATCAGCATCCTACATGTTGATTCGTGTTAGCTGTTGATGTACACAACAAATATTTCGGGTCAGGAAAGCCATTGGGGACAGATAATATGGATACATTTGTCTCCCTATTTCCTCCCAGGAGGGTAACAGCGTAAACCCCGATGAATCCATGCCTATGACCACCTGCTTCAAGTGTGGATGTGATAGTCATCGCTACAAGATCAAGAGCTTGGGTTATTGGTATCGGCATTGCATCCAACAGACCAGAACCCACTGGTCCGGACTCGCGTCCAGACTGGTCAAAGATGGATAATAACCAAGGCATGGTTCAACCAGGACATCAGAACATCAAAACATGACACATGGAGGAGTTCACTTCCATGAGTAGTTTTGTGTTGAAGCAGAGGGCGCCGCGGCAGCCACTTTTTGCAAGAAGTTGCTACGATGGGGTGTGCGCACAGCATCACCCTGGTGTCAAGATAATGATAAGGGCACTAACGTTCTCAGTTATAAAGTTCCTTGGGTCAAGGGGAGTTCAGCAGAACTTCTAACAATAGGAACGAAGGCCCAAAGAAAAGAAAACAATCGCAGCTTATATGCCCAAAAGGGTATTTACCGTTCTTGGTACTCAAGAGAGTAGCTGAATAATTCATGCTCTTCAACTAGGGGCAACAAAGCACACGATATGTGCAGGTATCACTGGCTAAGTTCTCCCAACAACATCTAGCAGAAAAAGCCCATAATATCTCTTCTGCCAATGACTTTGAACAGAAGGAGAAAGAAACACCCGGAGAGGAGCATCCATACTCCGTGCCGAATGGCATCAAAGCGCCGGCAAAGGCCTGAAATTGATAGTTTGGGTGTCAGAACGCTGTAGGTATTTCAGCGGGGAATTTCCAAGGTCATATCATATCCGACCAGTCGAATATTGACGTTTTCTCAAGTGATCGACAATCTTCCGCTTCAGAATGAACACTCCAGATAGACTCTGTCCTCCAATCCTGTTTTCGCCGCATTATGCGACGAAACACATTCATGTAGGAGGAAGATCGATGATACGCTCTCCCCGCGATTTCCAAATCCAGCGGGAGGAGAGAAAACATAGGTCCGCCTCAGTACCTGGCAGTTTGCACAAAATTTATGATGCCATCCATGGCTTTGGACACCTACCTAAACAATTGGGAGAGAAAAGACACCTGAGACAGGGCGGGTTCGACGTGTTGCTTGCGTGGATCGCCTGCAAAGGCTCTGCTCAACAACACGGGAAATGACAGCTCAAGCCACTGAGGCGATTGACGTGCGCGGATGGAACACATTGCATGCCGGCCACTCAATCAGGCGAGATTGGATGACGATGATCTCCAAAAGACTATAGGGCTGGCTGCATAAACTAAGTCGCGAACTGCATGTTTTATCCGCTCGTGCGATCGCTTCTTGATTCTGCCTGGTCAAGGCCACAGGGAGGAGGGGGAGGAGGTTGGGAGAAATGTAACTGAATGCTGCGATGGCAACATAACACTTTTTTTGTGAGGGGTTTTCGGGGACGTGCCCGCCGGCAGCCCGTGCACAGGTAGCGAGCACGAAGACCCGAGACAATCCTGTACCCCTCAGTTGGGAGGGACGGAGGTGTAAATTTGGGTGTCGGGTTGTACCTGGTACCCGTCAAGCCTCCAGGTACCCGCGCAGATCAGGAATTCAGGTTGTCGCGTCTCGCAAACTTCCTTGGACAGTTAACTTTGTTGTTGGTGGTGGTGGGCCAATTACGTCGTTGCCATCGCGCATACGACAAGAAGCAGTTCTATTTTGGGGGAAAAGTTACTCGGCAAAACCACTTTTATCTGCACTGGTGAGGATCTGACGCAATAGGATGCCAGTTGTAGGTTCTCTCACCAGGCTTTATCTCTCTATTTCTCTCTCTCTCTTCCTCGCTCGCTCTCTTATCCGGTTCTCGGTATCTCGGTTTGTCCAAGAACGACGGCCAGCCGGTCTTCGCCGGACTTTCGTGTCTTAGGTGTCTTAGGTCATGGAGTGCCCACCACATCCATGCAGAGCAGGATGCATGCCGGAAGAATTTGTAAATGCAACACACGGAGAAATGCATTCGAGAGGCTCTGTACGTACACTGCGATCCCATATGCAGCACATACGCATGTTTCATTGGTCTACAGCATGTTCATCGTCCGTTCCACGGATACGCTCTTGCTTGATGCGATCCCAGCGAGTCGTAGGCGCACATGGGGACACCTGATTTACCGCGAGAGCCCAGGGCACCTTGGACAGGCCTCATTGTCTGCGGGTTCTGGAGCAGTCGGTAGATTATCGTGCTGTTCCACAATACCCCGGCGATGATGAAGGCACCATTACGTACATGTGCACCAAACATTCCGTCGGTACCTGGTCAATTGCCTGGCACCTACAGATTTGTTTTCGGTAATTCGGGCGATGATTTTATTTTTCCTGGTTTGACTGTGCCTTGTTGGATTGTAAAAGAGCAAAGCAGCTAGTGCTGGCTTTGTCCAGTGAACCATTGCAGCGACGCGGGGGGTCAGCCCAAAGAGAAGCGCATCGTGAAGATGTCACTGGTACTTCGTACGCTGGAGACGATGTACGGGGGCGTGACTAGTGGTCATGTATGGTAAGCCATGTAACGGGTTCCAAGGTACCTGTATCGTGTACCCACCCTAACCCTAAATAGCAAGGCACGCAGCGTAAAATACAGCCACCCAGCCCGTCACGTGGGGCGCTGGGTCGCCGCAGTAGGCCGCATCGGGCCTAGCCGGTACCTCCGCGGGTGATTGGCAAGCGTCATTCTTCCCCAATTTTGTTACGGGGATACAAGACACAAAGTACCCTGGAAGGGCGAGGAGCGCCGGAGTTACAAACACGCCCGTCGCAGCCATCGATCAGCCAGTCACTCAGTCAAATCACTTCGTTCATTCAGCCCAGCATCCAACCAACAACTGCAACACACGCTCTCATCGCCGGAATTTCCACTTCTTTATAACCAAAGACCAGTCGCTCTGCTTCCCTCTTGTCTCCTGCTTCGCCAGTCCCGTCTCCTACTTCTTGTTGGTCGACCCCCCTGACGTGCTGTGGCCACCACCACCCCAAAAACGCGACCGCACGAACACGCCCTGTTCTTCAGCTGCTGTCTGGCCATCCTGCTCGGTTAGCATTCGAATTATCGACCGTTTTAAAATCTGTCGGACCCTCAGACGGCCTTGCGGATAGTCTTAACTGACGTGAGAATTATCCTCTTCACTTTCATCCGACCTGAATACTCCTCCTGTGCCTTATCTTTTTCTGTACTTCCGTACTGACTCACCTTCATCCACGATCCAGTAACTTCCCAACTCGATTTTGCAATCATGGCGCTTCGTCCAGCTACTTCCAACATCTCCATTGCCCTCGCTGGCAAGACGGCATCCGTCGACATCCCCAAATCCCATGATACGCGTCGTCCTTACCCTGACAGGGCCGGTATGGGCCCTCAGCATCTTCAGTCGGCCATGTTGCCCACGCCTCCCAGCTCCATCTCTCCTTCCTTCCGCTCCCACGGCTTCAAGCATCGCATAATGAACACTCCAGACTCTCCACCGTTCATTTCCGAACACGTCGAGTCGGATATCGACCTTCACGACGCCGTCGACCTCCAGAAACCCACCCACAGGTTGGTTCCTGACGCCTTGGATTCTTTGGATAGTGCCGAGGCGATCACGCCAGCGATGCTAGCGAAATACCACCTTCCGGATATCATGCTGAGCAACGGACCTTTGGCAATACGTCATATCATGGGCTATCTGACTACCTCGCTTCCTGGATTCTCTTCGATTCCCCCGGCAAAAGCTCGACGTCTGGTCGTCGCAGCCCTGGAAGGCAAAGGTGGAAACGGAGAGACTGGAGGAATACATGGCGACGTGGAGTTTGAAAAGGTTGGATGGGGTCGATGGGATGCCAAACGACGCGGACAGGATCCCGTCAAACGGCGTATCCCTGGCGCCTCGTCGCCTTGCACCAAATTTTCTTATTCTCATTCCCGTGGACTGTCCCGTGGCTCAGCTGGTCTGGCTATGAAGGACGACCAAGACCAGTATGGTTCATCATTTGCTGCAGACTCAGCCGTGTTCTCCCATTCTGAATGGGGATACGGCGACAGAACGGACCACAGTATGTTTGATGAAGTGGATAGAATGTCTCTAGATGGAGATGACCGAGCGTATTGCTCGTCGACGCAGGCTTCAGACGACGACTCTCTCATGCATGGCGACTGGGACGAGGCAGACGCCACGGACGAAGAAGATTGGGAACAGATTGGAGCTGCCGCCCTCAGAGCGAGATTTTTGCCTAATGGCTCTGACGGCAGACAGAACTCATATAATTATTTTTCGAAGAGGTCGAAAGGAGGCTCCGGTGGAGGACCAGCGTGGTCGACGCTCACGAAATCCCCACCGGGCCCAATTCCAATCCAGAATCTTGACTTTTCTTACTCAGACGGCGTCGGCGGTAATTTTGAGGAACGCGCTGCGGTCGAAGCGCTTTTGCAGATGGGTTCCATGTAAAATTGGGAAAACGGGGAATTGGCGTTTAATTACTCTTTTCGATTTTCCTTGGGATCAACGAACTATTTAAGGTTTTTTTGTTGCTCGTTGAATGTTTTGGCTGGACCGAAGACACCTGCGACAAACCGTCAATCCATTGGTATACCTCTCTTTACCTTACCGCCATCGCTTTCCTTTTTTTACGAAGCCCGACATTCGGTTCAATTCGATTCGCGATAAATCACAAGAGAAATACCTAGCCTCACGAACATCCAGGAGAGTCGTGGGAGATGACCGAAACGAATAGCAAACCATCATCTGGCCATGGTATCATGGCGTTTCGTTATTTTGTTCTCTTTTTTCTTTTTCTTTTTCCTTTTTTCTTTTTGGTGCATACATACCCCAGGATCAGATACTCTGTGCATTTATTTCCACTCGGCTTTCATAGGAGAAGCCGTCTTAAGATATCCAACCGCTGTCTCATGCCCAGGTTTCGTTTTCTTTTGTGGATATGACGTTATGCCCGACCACTCTCCACTCAGGCAATTGACAAGCCTACTTTTCGTTTGAGCGAGCATTGATTGCAACCGAATTATATACTTGTTTTTAATCTCACTTTTCCCTGATGGAGCGTTTGGCCAATCTTTTTGGAAGGCTTTCAACAGCTTTTTTTGGCCATTTGTTTTATATGCTCCTTTGGCAGACTACCTCATATTCCCTTTTAATAGCTGCGTTTTCTTTTGCATTGATATCATACCTTAATACTTTTGTTTGTGGCAGGCTGCAGGCCTCATTAGCTTGGAGCTGCATCGATAGTTACTGAGGATTGGGAAATATCTGAGATGGAAAAGTATGCTGCGTACATTGTACTACGTGTTTGCCTGCTTGGTCATCTTTACTGTACTGCACTAGGTTGGTGAACATGTCCTATGTGTGCTCTATGTGCTCTGCATCCATTTCCCTGCCGTTTTACTGCTTTTTTTGCTTTGGTCATCTTAGCTGTATTGCACTAAAGTAGAGGCAGTTCCTATAATGATGATGAATATCCGAAGAGTCTTCTGTTCCAAATCATTTAGTGAGCTTTGGTCGTTTGAATTTAGTCGACCTTCCAAGGGCCCCCCCCCCAAATTGAGGGCCTTATTTTCGCGGGTGGCGGATCGATGCGGCTGGCGAACTTGGCGACTGGTCATCTGTATCGTCCTGCTGACTGCACCCCGCAAACAACATCACGGATCATGTACCTCGTAAAGGCTTGCAGCCATGAGCGTAACCATTGACCACCCTGGGAGGAGGGACGACGACGGGATCTTGTGGAATGGTCGGGTTATCCGACGCCTCGGATCGATTTTCCCCCCTCCTCCGGCTCCCAATCCACTGAACCCTCTCGGGGTCAAGAGGGCGGCCTCATGAAGATCTCTCTTTTTTTTCTTTTGTTTTTGTTCCTTTGCTGGACGAAATGGAAAATAGCACCGGGCAAATCCAGTGAATATACGTGGTTTCTCCCATCGAGGATGTTCAGTCTCAGAACACATCATGGCAGAGGAAGTATGTGACTGCATAATCGTAAACCCCGTCAGTGCAGAATGGGGCGCCGTGTGTATGTCCGTACTATACATAATAACAAGGTACATCCACCAGGAGTACTTTATGTAGCTACATTTCCTGAGAAAAGAGAAAATCCCCGTCCAAAAAGTACATTCCCGCAAGATGCTCCGTATTTATGGCCAAGCCAGAAAGACAAAACAAAATAAGCCCGCCCTAACCTCGCAAGCATGCCGTTGAAATATTCGAACGGGTAGCAGGTATTATAACCAGGCGACCACCCAGGGAAAAAAAAAAAAGAAAAAAAAAAAAAAAAGGAAGAAAAAAGCCCTCTCACACCTTCCGATTCACCCACCTCCACACCCCCTCCTCCGCCTCCGCCAGCCGATTCCCCATCGCCCGTCCCCAATTCTTCGCTCCCTCCCACGCCCATTCCCCCCATTCATAACCAGCATTCCCCGCTCCCCAGCCACTGTCATCATACCCCGCTCCCCCGTTCCCAAACTGATCATTCTCAGACAAATCGTACCTATGCGCCGCGCGCGAAGCCAGCGACGTTTCCGCAGACGTCCCCGGATACGGCGACGGGACGGGGGCCGGAGAGCACGATGCAGAGTAGACGTATCTGCCGCCGGAGAGGTTGGGTGCGTCGGACCAGTACCAGTGGCCGGTGGAGGAAGGCGTTGGGGGCTGTGGAGGAGGTGGTGGGGGGAGGGAGATGGCGGCGGAGTTTTGGATGTAGCCGGGGGGGTGTTCGAGGTTGTGCCTTTCGGCTTGGGGGATCGAGGGGGGAATAGACATGTGTGGTTGTGATTTCGGCGGCGGCGGCGGTGGTGGTGGTGGTGGCTGTGTGGAATGTGGTTTTGTAGATGTAGACGTCGGTAGAGGAGCAGGATTCGGGCGATATCGATCCGTGGGATTGAGGTGTGAATTTTGGCGTTGGCAAGCATTGTGGCTGTCATTCTCTGCTTGGGGAGGACGGGAGGTTTGGTCATCTTTGTCTGATCCTCTCGTTCCCGCTGTTCGCGCTGGTTGCGCTTTATTCTCTATCGTTGGAGGCTTCGCCGGCACGGACTGGGGCGACTTGTCAGTGTCCTGAGGTTGCCCAGTGTCCGTTGAAACTTCTCCTGTGGGTAACGAGTGCTTCACTGGCCCATCCCGGGTCATGGCAGCCAAAGAGCTATCCGCCATGTTTTGAACGGGGATG